CAGTGATGACAATGTGTCTCACACAACACAACACAATACAACAAAATGAACAGTCCCCACCACGATCCTATGTCTTCTATTTGTGGCACTTCCCCAATGGCCAGTGATGACAATGTGTCTCACACAACACAACACAATACAACAAAATGAACAGTCCCTACCGCGGTCCTATGTCTTCTATACGTGGCACTTCCCCAATGGCCAGTGATGACAATGTGTCTCACACAACACAACACAATACAACAAAATGAACAGTCCCCACCACGATCCTATGTCTTCTATTTGTGGCACTTCCCCAATGGCCAGTGATGACAATGTGTCTCACACAACACAACACAATACAACAAAATGAACAGTCCCCACCACGATCCTATGTCTTCTATTTGTGGCACTTCCCCAATGGCCAGTGATGACAATGTGTCTCACACAACACAACACAATACAACAAAATGAACAGTCCCTACCGCGGTCCTATGTCTGCTATATGTGGCACTTCCCCAATGGCCAGTGATGACAATGTGTCTCACACAACACAACACAATACAACAAAATGAACAGTCCCTACCGCGGTCCTATGTCTGCTATATGTGGCACTTCCCCAATGGCCAGTGATGACAATGTGTCTCACACAACACAACACAATACAACAAAATGAACAGTCCCTACCGCGGTCCTATGTCTTCTATACGTGGCACTTCCCCAATGGCCAGTGATGACAATGTGTCTCACACAACACAACACAATACAACAAAATGAACAGTCCCCACCACGGTCCTATGTCTGCTATATGTGGCACTTCCCCAATGGCCAGTGATGACAATGTGTCTCACACAACACAACACAATACAACAAAATGAACAGTCCCTACCGCGGTCCTATGTCTTCTATACGTGGCACTTCCCCAATGGCCAGTGATGACAATGTGTCTCACACAACACAACACAATACAACAAAATGAACAGTCCCCACCACGGTCCTATGTCTGCTATATGTGGCACTTCCCCAATGGCCAGTGATGACAATGTGTCTCACACAACACAACACAATACAACAAAATGAACAGTCCCCACCACGATCCTATGTCTTCTATACGTGGCACTTCCCCAATGGCCAGTGATGACAATGTGTCTCACACAACACAACACAATACAACAAAATGAACAGTCCCCACCACGATCCTATGTCTTCTATACGTGGCACTTCCCCAATGGCCAGTGATGACAATGTGTCTCACACAACACAACACAATACAACAAAATGAACAGTCCCCACCACGATCCTATGTCTTCTATACGTGGCACTTCCCCAATGGCCAGTGATGACAATGTGTCTCACACAACACAACACAATACAACAAAATGAACAGTCCCTACCGCGGTCCTATGTCTGCTATATGTGGCACTTCCCCAATGGCCAGTGATGACAATGTGTCTCACACAACACAACACAATACAACAAAATGAACAGTCCCTACCGCGGTCCTATGTCTGCTATATGTGGCACTTCCCCAATGGCCAGTGATGACAATGTGTCTCACACAACACAACACAATACAACAAAATGAACAGTCCCTACCGCGGTCCTATGTCTGCTATATGTGGCACTTCCCCAATGGCCAGTGATGACAATGTGTCTCACACAACACAACACAATACAACAAAATGAACAGTCCCTACCGCGGTCCTATGTCTGCTATATGTGGCACTTCCCCAATGGCCAGTGATGACAATGTGTCTCACACAACACAACACAATACAACAAAATGAACAGTCCCTACCGCGGTCCTATGTCTGCTATATGTGGCACTTCCCCAATGGCCAGTGATGACAATGTGTCTCACACAACACAACACAATACAACAAAATGAACAGTCCCTACCGCGGTCCTATGTCTGCTATATGTGGCACTTCCCCAATGGCCAGTGATGACAATGTGTCTCACACAACACAACACAATACAACAAAATGAACAGTCCCTACCGCGGTCCTATGTCTGCTATATGTGGCACTTCCCCAATGGCCAGTGATGACAATGTGTCTCACACAACACAACACAATACAACAAAATGAACAGTCCCTACCGCGGTCCTATGTCTGCTATATGTGGCACTTCCCCAATGGCCAGTGATGACAATGTGTCTCACACAACACAACACAATACAACAAAATGAACAGTCCCTACCGCGGTCCTATGTCTGCTATATGTGGCACTTCCCCAATGGCCAGTGATGACAATGTGTCTCACACAACACAACACAATACAACAAAATGAACAGTCCCTACCGCGGTCCTATGTCTGCTATATGTGGCACTTCCCCAATGGCCAGTGATGACAATGTGTCTCACACAACACAACACAATACAACAAAATGAACAGTCCCTACCACGATCCTATGTCTGCTATATGTGGCACTTCCCCAATGGCCAGTGATGACAATGTGTCTCACACAACACAACACAATACAACAAAATGAACAGTCCCAACCACGATCCTATGTCTTCTATACGTGGCACTTCCCCAATGGCCAGTGATGACAATCATTGTGTCTCCACTCCATCCTTCGTGAGAGCATAATCACGAGTCTATTGTTTAAATTTGAACTTTTGCAGCCAGACATTTGAATAGAGTAGGTCAGGCACCTGTACCAGGTAGGTGCGCCGTGGGGGGCCTGTCATGGGCCACGCTGTGGGGTGTATAGTCTGGGCCACGTGGGGTCAACCGTTCTGGCCTGTGTGACGTCGTGTCACGTGTGTGACGTGTTTGTGACACCAAATTATGTGACTCTCAGAACACGTGGATAGATTATTGTGGTTGAGGTGTAAAAGATGCCAAATTTTGTGGGTGACGTGTGTGATGCCACACTGTGTGGGTGACGTGTGATGCCATATAGCGTGTGTGTGTGTTAGTGTGGGGGGGGGGGGCTGTTTACATGCGTTACAATGATAACCTTCAGTCACATAGCACATTTTTATAAAGGTGTTTTTTTTTTTAAATTCCGTGATGGTTTTAGCGCAATTGGAGCGCAATATCCCTAATAACTGTTACTCAACTTTAAATAGCTGTCAATTTGGTCAATTTGGAGGAGTTTTATAGCGGGGGTGGGGGTGGGGGGCACCATTTTCCCCTTCCCTTGCATACACCACTGATAACATTAATATAATGCCGAAATTACTATTGCCACTATTACGGTTCAACTACCTAAGCAGCCCATTACCTGTGCCTATTTCAGTACAGTTTTGACGACTAATACAATGGATTGGGCCCAACTCTTCTACCTAATTCCTCCCATTGTTTCCTTAAAATAGCAATCTCTTCATGATGGTTTGTTTGATTTCCTTCAGTCAAGATTATGACACTTCGTGACGTCACGTCCAGGCGGCGAGGCCCGCGAGTGACGTGTCATGGCAACCGCTCCACTTCCTGTTATTTTACCGCGAGCTGAGCGAATGTATTTTTTTTATGCGTTTACCTTGAGCATAGGTTTGGACTACTTGTAATAAGACAATTTGAAGACTAGATCTAGATCTAGTAGAGGAATGCAGTATTTATTTTTATTTAGATACTTTTATGAAACTAATTTAATTTAATATTAAATTATTTATCTGGATACTAATTAAATATTAAATGCAACATTTAATTTAACTTTGACATGACGTCATTACGTTGATTATTATCCAACCCCTGAGGGCCTAGGGATAAAAAAAAAAGTCCTTTCTCGTGCCTACATTTCGCAGCAAGGTGCAAGCTTTCACGGCGATCAACATACACATGTGTACATGTCGTGGCGCGGTGCGTGCACGCATGCACACATGGTGCAACTTTCACAAGATGTGCAGCGTGTAGCATCTGATACCTCTGCCGACCGTCGCTGCATGGTTACAACTGATCTCGCGTGACCTGTGACCCCTTGACCTTAGCTGGGGGTTGGATCTTTACACACATGGCTTTTCTTTCCCTGACTGAACAGGCTACACATATTGTTACATATATAGTTAATGCTATATTTACATCCTTTTCAAGAGACAGCAATAACTATAGTTATTGGTACAGCTTCATAGATTGCTATATCAAGATATGTTGCAATTAGCAGAGTTATTACTATGGTTACAGTTATTAGTATAACTAGAAACAGCTATAGGCTTATTGCTAAACCTAGACTACTATTCCTTATTGCTAAGATGTTTTAGTTAGATCTCTGTTTATAGCTACAGCTAGAAATCTTTATAATGACATGTCTTGCCACATAGTGAGATAAATATTGCTGCAGCCAAAAATGCCTACCCAGCTAAAATATATTTGGATAATCAAGAGTTATGTGTTTATACGAAAGATATAACGTCGAAGGCTGGGCGCAAATAGGTGTAGTGATGTAACTGGAATAGAGTAAACAGAGACAAAGGATCGCTTGTTTAATCATTTAGCCTACTGCTGTAGCGTAGCGCGTATGCACAATGAACGTCTTAGTCTACGCCTAGCGAATGTGTAAGAATACATGAGTTGTAAATGTTACTTAACCGTAGAGGCAATGCTAAGGTATTTTTTTCTTCTTCTTCATGAAATGTGTCACTGCGTAGAAGTGTGTGTGTGTGTGTGTGTTGGGGGGGGGGGGGGGGCGCAACGGCAAGACGAATTGCATGACAGGCTTCCACACCATCTGAGAATAAAGTTGCTATTTGCTACCGATACCCATTTATTTTATACACTAGCGTGTGTGTATGTAGGTCTATTATGCATTATTATTATTTTAATACGTTTTAAACAAATGTATACAGTTTAAAATATAAATGCGTTGAATTATTTTATGAGCCTCGTGCCTTGCTTGTCAGGGGCAATGGGTGATCCTCTTCATGGACTCAGGTAATTTAAAAAAAAAATTATAGGATCTTTCCTTCACCTGTAGTTTTTGTATGCCATGAATATTCACTAAAAGAAACTGGCCAATCAGAGAGGCGCACTGCAATGTTAGCGTCACCGCACAGCGGCCGCGCGCTAGGCCTACCTCGCGTCTGCGAAACTGACAACAATCGGACCAGAATGCTTGACACTGCCTAAGGTCGGTGTGCCAAAAATTATTGCGTTCAGTTCAAAGTTGTTTTCACCATCTGGGATTTGTTTCCATTATTCAGTGTGTTTTTCTGATTTTTTACTCTGTATTTTGCACAGTGTTTGTGTGTCGCTTAGTAATCGACACACCTGGTTCGGTTTGATCTAAATTTGGACGTTGGTACTTCAAGAAATCGGAAGAAATAACTGCCGATCGCTGGTGTGTTGAACACAGCAGTGTTATTGTGGTTCTATTTTCTTGTGTTAGGGCGGCTGTGACCCCCCCTGTGTGCTGCCTATTGTGTGTAGGAATAGTAAGATAGAAAGAAGTGTGTTTTCCCCTGAAGGATTATTTCATTACGCTAATGTTGAATTACAAGATGCAGAGTTCGAGTGTTGGGAAGCACAGGTAAATCACATAAAAATCTAGCTCGCCGCTCCTTTTTTTCAGTAATTTTTTATTCATTGTTTTGTTGTAGCAAACGTTTTTTTTTTTTAAAAAGTTATTTTTGCTCATCCCAATCTGCGCATTGCGGTGAGTCTGTGTCATTTGAAATGCTAGAAACTGTCTAGAATCTAGATCTAGATCTAGATTTAGAATCTAGATAACTGATGTTATTAGACCTGGAGTCTAGTTCCAAACTAGTGACTAAAATCAAGAAATCTAGACTAGACTCTAAACTCTAAAGATTCAAGATTCTAGACTAGATTCTAGATCTAGATCTAGATCCTAATTGTTTATAGATCTAGATCTAGATAGATTCTCTGTGCCCTACAAGACTCTTAGTCTTATAGTAGGAATAGAATTCTATACACTAGAAGAATGTGACTAGATCTAGTCTAGATCTAGACTCTAGATCTGAATCTAAGTCGTAGGTTCATCATTTGACTTTAATACTTTAAACAATATAAGTCAAGAGGTTTAAAAGCCTCTGTACTGCGTACATTGTACACTTTTGTGTGTGTTGTAATTCATCATTTTGTGTCTATGCATCAGTGTAGAGTCTACATAATAGATCTAGATCTAGACTATATTTATAATATATAGATCTAGGCCAACTTAATATAGGCCTACTTATTCTAAATACAACTTAATCACTTAATCCAATCCTTATTTTAGGTGTCTCTAGTAATTCTTCATAAGACTGGATTTTATCACAAAGGATATCTAAAGATTTATTCAAGTGTTTTAACTTATTTCTAACAATGGAGTACTCAAGGATTTCTTTGGTTCTGGTACTGCTAGTGGCTGACCTATACTCAGTGATGTCCAGTTGGCAAGAAGAGTGGAATCCCAATTCTGTGATTGCAAATCTTGGTGAGTATTGTGGTCAGCCTGTTGTGTCTTTTACTATGTTCTTAGTAAACTTCATAGTCTAAGTCATCATTCATATTTGTAAGATTAGAAATTAGTTTTATAAAACCTCAACAAAGATAATTAAAATTAAGCATCATTAAGGGTGGTGAACATATGGTTATTAGATCTACCTGTATGTGAGGTTCATCCAACATAGAGTCAACAGATCCACTTGTATGTGAGGGTCATTGAATATATGGTTACTAGATCTACTTGTATCTGAGATTCATCCTCTATATGGCCTCAGGTCAAGGTCCTTAGGACAGTTGGACTCTACTTCACCTGCCCCATGGACCATAAGGTTCAAGAGAGTACTTTAAATACCAGTTAGAGTTGTTGTAGAAGTGGCCCAGAAACTCAGCCATCCCATCATTTTATCCAATTATAAAAAGATCTATTTAAAGTAGCATTACAAATAGTTTTCCCCATTACTAGTGATATTGGTGTAGTCTTAATTGAATAATGCCTCGGAATAATTGATGATGTAATTTTAAGATTACATTGTGTTCATTTTATGAGTATTTATAAATTAATTTTTCCAACTTCCCTTAAAAGTGTCTAGTCATTATGACAACTTAAAATTGAATCCATTCAAAATTGCAATATTCCATGGTTTGAATGACTCAATACAAACTACTTTTATATCTGGTGTGTGTTGGGAAGAGTGTGGTGAGGGAACTAAACCTGGTATCGTGGGCCAGTAACTAGGGGGGGTGTGTGGTTGGCCAGTAACTAGGGAAGTGTGTGGTTGGCCAGTAACTAGGGAAGTGTGTGGTTGGCCAGTAACTAGGGAAGTGTGTGGTTGGCCAGTAACTAGGGAAGTGTGTGGTTGGCCAGTAACTAGGGAAGTGTGTGGTTGGCCAGTAACTAGGGAAGTGTGTCGTAGTGTGTGGTTGGCCAGTAACTAGGGAAGTGTGTGGTTGGCCAGTAACTAGGGAAGTGTGTGGTTGGCCAGTAACTAGGGAAGTGTGTGGTTGGCCAGTAACTAGGGAAGTGTGTGGTTGGCCAGTAACTAGGGAAGTGTGTGGTTGGCCAGTAACTAGGGAAGTGTGTGGTTGGCCAGTAACTAGGGAAGTGTGTGGTTGGCCAGTAACTAGGGAAGTGTGTGGTTGGCCAGTAACTAGGGAAGTGTGTGACTCAACACTGATGCAGTTATTGACTCAGTTGGTGTTGTGCCATTAAAGTCCTTGTATGCTGTACAAATAACCAATTGATGTGGGTTGGGCTGGGACAAAATGTATAAAAATGTTCTAACTTGTTTCTAATCATATCCATTTCTTAAAATTATTGTTGCCTTGCATATCTGTTAAAAAAAGTATTACGGAAACATTTTTTTAAGAATGTAATTGAAATAATTAAACAGTGTTATTAGTCTAACTATTATACCTGTCTCACAAAAGAAAAGTAACGGGGTATGTTTGTAGCTTAAATTGAATCCATGATACTCTAGTTCTTGTATTGTTTCCCTATTTCCATTGCATACTTAAGTGTGGCTAACTTGTGGTCTTCAGGGAGATGCCATTACATATTCTGTAATTTAATGTAAGAAAACAACAAGGTTTTTTCTAAGTTGGTGTCCTGTTTGCTTCTCCTGTAACACATGTTCCCCGTACAGAACCATGAGCCTTATGTAAAGCAGCTTCCCCTGCAATAAAGGGCAAGATGTTCTTATCAAAACAGACCACACTTGGTATGCTGTTTCCATAATGTAACTGTGTTCTACATCCCTTATCCATCTTACTCTTGAGTTTTCACCCCACCAAGAATAACATATACATGCTAATGTATACCAGTGTAGTGTAAGTGGATTTTCCATAATACAACATAATGTTTCCCCCAGCTCTACCATGCTCCCACACACACACAAACACACACATACAAAACAAATACACACAGCATCACATTACTAATATAGACCATCATTGTAAGCTGTGTTTCCACAGTCTGACACATACAGCATCACATATACATACTAATGTAGCCCAACACTGTAAGCTGTGTTTCCACAGTCTGACACATACAGCATCACATATACATACTAATGTAGCCCAACATTGTAAGCCTTGTTTCCATAGTGTAACAGCCTGACATGACCCTACATGACCCTGTCCTTATTTAGCCTTGTTGACTTAACACGTTACATTAAGTCACTGTTGTCAGACACAAGTCATTAACATTTTTAGTGTAAACTTCCCGAGTTGCGTCATCTCGCCCTACCTGGCTGTTGTGTCAGACATCACGTCCTCTTCTGTAATCACCTGGACCCTAGTCCATCACATCCCTGTCCATGTAATCACACATAGTGACTGATATCTTTGGTACTCATTGGTTTTCCCCATTCCCAAACTACCATTCTCAATTTCTATATTTCAACTCCACTCCTAACCATACCTAATCCGGACTTAGATTCAACCCCACTGTTAAAAGATATAAGAACGTTATCAACACTTTACACTATTAATAAACGTGTGTACGTCTCATCGATGAGAACTGATAAATTCACCCACTCATTCATCCTACAGGACTCTATTTTTTACGGTCATTCGTCATACAAACCTTTATTGTTTCTTGGGGCTTTTGGGAGGGGAGAGAACCCTCACTTTTATGAATGTGATTTATCCCCCTTTCTCGGCAAGATTCCGGAGATTTGGGCAGTAAAAATGGCGAGATGGAAACGTTTTAGTGAAATTGTTCTTTTCACCCTCCACCCACGCGGGTCTTCCCCATACAACTTTCAGACTTCCGATCGACCTTCTATTTAATTATTTTTATAAGATGTCTAGATTTTTTTTTCTTGTAGAATCATGTGATCTTTACAATATTCTAGGCCAGGGGTCTCCAAACTTTTCAGTCCGAGGGCCGCATTAACTATCAAATTTTAGTTCGGGGGCCAGTTTCTTCCAGGCATGTCTTTTATCTGAGCAAAGTTCCTCAGCCATCACCGAAAAACGTTTTTTCCGTGGACAAAAAGATCTCCGCGGGCCGGACGCGAGGACCTCGCGGGCCGCATCCGGCCCGCGGGCCGTAGTTTGGAGACCCCTGTTCTAGGCCAATACAACTGTTCCTACACGAACTTAGAAACATTTCATGGCGACAGTTTTAAATTTCATACCAGCTTTTAGCATTGCTAAATGCTTTCCATTTACTTAATGTTTAAATACCACTCTGCGAGCTATAACATCTACGTGTTTTATGTACTTAGTGGTGAAATAGCGTTCTGGCGTGGAATCGTCCCAGTCCTGTTTACTGCCACAAATCTCTTACGGTCTTTTTGTTCGGTTCTCATGTTAAAAATAGTTGTACATTAAAATAACGAGCGACTGTCGAACCGGTTTAGTAGAATAGTTTAGGCGGTTGTCAGTATGAAATAATAATATGCTAAAGAACGTCTGAATAGCCACACTTCATGCGTGCACGGCCATACTTCACGCTTGCCGGAGCGTGTGGCCGTCTTTTGACTTCAGCACGATCCCGTCCGTCTTTGTTGGGGCAGTACGTCAAATATCTTTATGACATCACTGTAGAGGTAATGATCGCGCGATCATTAGAAACATTGTACTAATTACATTCGTCTGCTGGTCGTTACGATTCATTAGCAGTAACAATTCTTGGCCCAGTTCTCACTTTTTTGTCTCATTAAGTAGAGCCGACACTGTTGTTGGTACCGACTTGTTGTCGCTTACTTCTGCCGTTGTGCGTGTAGTGCTGGCTGTTTTATTTGTTTGTGTGTTTAATGGACTGGGTGGTCAATTTGTTGGATGATCAGTAGCAAACCCAAAGTATTAGAGTTCTGTAATCTCTAAGACGCATAAGTCCACGTTAAGTAGTTATATGTCAGAAATAGAAAATGTACTGACCACACTATTCTCTCGTATACCTTTGCCACTCAGTCCTTTTTCGGACATGTGCCGTAAATATCAGGTTGATCTACCATCTCTTCTGTTGATGAACGTAACCGTACTCGAATATAGGAATAAAGACGAAACGTTTGGCGGATTGGTCCTCTAGTAAACAAGTTGTACCGTACACCGAGGGTCACGTTGTCGCGAGCACGAGTCGGTCCTGTTGTGGCGCTACCACTGTACATGACCAGACGGCCTTATAGAACGTGACACAGACGTCAACGTGAAGTCACTAGCTCGACAAACACACGACGACTTAAAAATTTTCTAGGCTAACGGAAAATGTTTACCAAAAAAAAAAAATCAAACAGACTCGGTAACTTTAGCGACAATCTCATTACACGAGCAAGGTAATAGAACAGAGCGGAGTTGTGATGAAGTGGAGGTTAATTAACTCTCGCGTTACAAGTCCCATGGGAAATGTTGGATTGGATAGAGGCTATTAATGATTGCGGTCAATGTTTTCTGCTATCACTACAGTAAAAACAATTTGCCATTGTGTACCAGAAGTGTATGCCGAGTCCAGCAAATATGACCGGTCGAGAGAGGCCGATTCCGAATAAACATCCGTGCCCGTGGGGTCGATGGTCAAATCTGGTGTTGTCATGTCTGTTTGTGTGTGGGGGAGATGGGCCGGCACAGGCGGAAGTACGTGACACCGAGGGGGATGACTTGGCTGACAGAGGCTGGCTTCAGGTTAACATAGAGGGAGCATTCAGTGGGGACAATACGGTAATTCACGGCTAGGCATGCACGGGCTCGTGTAAAAATCAACAGTCACATAACAACAGACAACAGCTCGTGTTATAATCACACAACTACATAAAACAGCCCCTGTTATATAGTCACACTACTACAGACAACAGCTCGTGTTATATTCACACAACTACATAAAACAGCCCCTGTTATATAGTCACACAACTACAGACAGATGCTCGTGTTATATAGTCACATAACTATATCCCTGTCTTGTAAACTGCACTTGTGCGTATAACTCAAACACTGGCGTGTACAACTCCTTCAATGTCGTTTTAAAACCTACACCAGCGTTTGTTATAGCGTGTGTAATACCTACACTAGCGTGTGTTTTAGCGTGTGTAACTCCTACACTCGCGTGTGTACTAGCGTGTGTAAATCCTACAGTAGCATATGTATTAGCGTGAGTAATTCATAGACCAGCGTAACTCCTACACTCGCGTGTGTAAATCTTACACCCCACATTTGTTTGTCCAGAATCCACAGTTGGTCTGAATGGATGTGTGAACCTCTGCTTGAATTATTTATTTGGGATCTAACAGTTCCATCTTCGAACCAAGTAATTACTCAGCCATGATACCGTTTAATGTTTGTTGTGTTTGGACATCGTTGGTCTCTGCCTTCTTTCAGTCCGCTTCGTGTGTTGAGCAAAAGGCTTATTATCTCATGATATCATTATTTCTCCATGGATACACACAAAAGCTGATACGAATATGTAGTGAAGGGGTTGAAAAAATTACGTCATGGGCTCTGTGTCTAGTATTAGGACTGTCCTTTTTTGTTTAGTCTGTCGTTCTGGGCTAGTATTAGGGCTGTGTCATTTGTTTAGCCTGACGGCTAGCACTAGGACTGTCCCATTCCTTTGAACGACTTCCAGCAGAGCGTAACACCTTGGAACAGTTTCAACTTCTTCCAAAGAGCCCGTCCTATTGATACATGTCATAATCCTTTATGTGTAGGTCTACAACAAATTCGAAATCGTCAGCGTCAGGAATGTTTCATTATGTCCTGGTATGTTTCATTTCTATGGCTGGGGCAAGGATTGAATCAAGAGAAAAGAAAACAAAACTGCATTGCTTTGGTCTCCGCCTGATACACAGGTGCTTTCGATACAGGCGCTGCGGAAAGGTTGGCAAACAGTTAACTAACCCTTGTAAATATGTTGAAATTTGGCAGCAGTTGCAGTTTCGTTCTGCTAGATAGAAATTGATATTATTTATGAAGAGTTATATAAACTTGATTTGAATACGTTTGGGAAAAACACGTGGCTTCGACGGGGATTGAGGGGAGGGAGGGGGGGGGGGGTCGTTTCAGAGACGGTTAGTATTTTTTTCAATTGCAGTGTATGAAACAAAGATGTAGCTTGTAAAGACAGCAGCATGTTAGTGATGTTGTGTGATTAAGTGAAAAAATGGACATTACATTTAACTTTTACACGTAGTTATCGGCTATGAAAAAAAAAAAACAATGCAAACATCCATTAACCAAGACATCAGTAAAATTTCATGCTCTTTAGCATACAATTTCGTGTGGCTTTTTTTTTCTTGACATTTTCTTCTGTAAGGAATGCAACTTAAAACTTTAATTTCGCCATTTGTATTGATAATTAATATAATACAGCTCAACATTATCCCAGACAAGCCTGTCTGAAATTAATAGAGCATTTCTCTCTTTGTTACAAGTTATTGGGGCGACTCTGTCCCCCTTGTCAAATTCTCGGCAGACATTTTTTTGTTTCGTTAGTGGAAGGAAGTGGGGCAAGATTTTAAAGAAAATTTGAGCGCGTTCTGTCAGCCACAAAGGGAGCAAATTGCCTATTGTAACAGGGCAATCAGACAGGGGCGAGCAGCTGATTGTGACAATCTACCGACTAGACTTGCTGGGGATGGTAATTTAATTGACACTTGTCGCACGGGTAATTTGATTGACTTTTCCTTGGTGCCTTGCTTGAACAGTTTGCCTTCTGTTGGCCGTCACTTCTGGCTCTCATTATTAGGTCTGTGTTAGTCGAGGACAGTTTTCTCCCTTTTCTTTTGTACTTTTACACCATGGGTTTTATCTCAGCTACATTTTTAAAGTTCCCTCACAACATTTTTATGGTGTCCTCTCTTCTACATTATGATTGTTTGATTTTAAAATTCATTTCTACAATTTGCGTATCTGTTTAAACGTGATAGTACATATTCGATTCTATTTTTAAACCTCTTTTCACACATTTAATTCTGGTTCTAAACTTTAAAATAATCCTAACCTTCATCTTAACCACGATATTCACAGAAAAGAACCCACCAACGCGATACTGTATCCAGTTTTTAAAGCTATACTTTGTTACATTAATGTTGTACTCTATAAACTATGTTTCACTAAGTTAAATTTTTGTCAAACTTTTTGTTTCATATCCACTTTATCGGGTTAATCTTCTGTTTATCTATGTGACAATCAATCCATCCACCATAAACAATCCATCCATCCCCCCAATCTGATTATGAGTGACAAGTGCCCAAATATAGTAGGCTAAGCCGTCAATAGCTCCAAGCGCTCAGGTGCGTGCTAATTGCTGGACTAGCCACTCTATTCTCTTCAACTTCCTCCACCATAAGACGACATCTTGCTTCAGATGGTCTTGACAGGTTGAGAGCTACTACTGTACTTTGTTGTACTGTCGTAGTTTGAAGGCATGGCCGGTGGACATCTTTGAATTTTTTTTTAAAGCTATTTGAACTTGCGAAATAGGTGGAGAACGAACTGCTGGTGTGTTGGCTATTGTAGTGGTGGATGTGGGGCGTCATTATTTGCTTGACGTCACTCACTTCGTATGACGTCACAACTACTACTACTTATCGCTTGAAATCAGTTTCGTTTTGCGTGATAGTTACGTATTTCTTGACGTCACAGTTGCACTCGTACGCACACCACAATTAATTACCACCTTCCTTTAATATACTTGATGATAGTGGACCACATGTGTCACCATGGGCATGAAGTGCACCATCAGAGTACCGCTACACAACGTGTGTACCACCATCACAACGAATACCTCACCAAGCCGTTACATAACTGATGCATCACCAGTAAACCGTTGACTTAAACCGCCATCACCAACGCACCACATGACCGGTAATTAGGACTTAGTTAAAACATTGATTGATAGACTGTCACCTGGTCAGCGGTGAGGCCATCCACACATACCCCCCCCCCCTCCCCACAGGTTGTACATCTCGTTAGCCTGGTGTCAAGGAGAGCGTGACCATGTTGCTACACACAAATCCTTGACACGCATCAGGTGCTTCACTTCCAACAGCACATTTTTTTAACAACACAACAGATGTTTTATAGGAGTTATATTTAGAATTCGAGACAGATTTCGTGTAGCAAATTATCACGGCGATTATAGACAATCAGGTTCATGCTTTCTAATGGGTCCAGTTTTTGGCTTGATCTCTGTGAACGAATGCGATGTTACGCATAGATCTATATATTTTTGTAGCCTCAGCTAAACATATTAGTATGCAGTGAGCCACCGGAGTTAAGTCAACATGGGAATGTTAGTGCTCGGCAACTTTAAAGGGAGCTATGTCCCTGTTAATACACGAGGGGATGGCGAGGGATTAGGAAAGTCCGAGCACATTTCATTTTTTATGACGCGGCACACCTGAGGGAGTATTACGGCAAACAATTACGTTACATTACTGGTAAAAGGGAAATAATTATACTCTGTTAATTACTCTGTGTGCATTTTCGGTAAATAATTGAACTTGATCTTATGTCTGGGGATTTTCGGCTATATTGTCTTCTCGTGTCGTATCTAAGCATATAGCTTCGTAAAATTGCATTTTATGAAACTTTTCATGCATTATGATGCAGATGCAATAGGTGTAGTTACCATAGCATCGAGACAATGTATTTAAAAAACCTTTTTATGTAGTAAGATGTAGATGATATAGCTATTAAAAGAGCATTAGTTGTCTGTATTTGTCAACGTTTTTTGATCTGTTTTCAGACATCAACTCAGTGGATGAGTTTCTGGGAGAAAAGGGCAAGGACAACAACTTCAAAATTTTGTTAGTGGAAGGGGACGCCGCTTTCGTTGGTGCCAGGTAAATGTTGTTTTGTAAAAGATTAGACATTTTTAAAAAAAAAATTTTAACTTTAAAGTAAAATAAAAAGTTGGACCGTTAAAGTTTGGACATTTTTTTTTTTAAATTTTGAACTTTAAAATAAAACGTGGACAGTTACAGTTCGGAAATTTTTGTTTTCAATTGAGAAGAACGTGTACCAAACCTGTCGTTTGAAATCTTTCAATTATTACTGACCCTTCATGTGAAAACTAAAATTTAATGTATGTTCTCTTTATTTTTCAGGAATCATCTGTACTACATTTCTTTAAGTAATTTTACTGTAATCTCTGTAAGTAGCACAATATTTTCTACTTGAAAATAACATTTGCTAGCATTTTCGCTAAATTCCTTATTTATGGGCAAAATTAAATTGGATTCGACCTTCATTAATAAATATGTCATTTTAATGTTGTCTCTTTAGTTTCTATAAATATTTACTTCTCATCTTCTAGGACCTAACGTGGGAGTCAGAAAGTGTTGCAGCGAATACGTGCAACATAAGGGGGAAGGTAGGTGTTTTTATATATATATATATATATATATATATATATATATATATATATATATATATATATATATATATAATATATATATATCACACTAGCCAGGAAACCCGTTCAGTGATAGAATAGATGAGAAAAAACCCCAGTTCAAGCTCCACTAGGTTTGATGAAGGCTCAATGACTCGGAGAGTGAAAGGCCGTACAAATGAAAACATTCATTAAAAAAGTACTCCTCGCTGAGGCCCTACCAAACCCTAGAGAAATACGTATTGATTTTTTTTACACTTGCATACACATGCACACACACACAGACAGACACACACACACACAATCTTGGTCTTAGCTTCAATGCCAAGTGAACCTTGTGAGAGACACTTAGACTGGACTTTGTCCACTTGTGGCCAAAGGGACGCTCCTTAATAAATTAGGAGATAATTAGGTTCCCCCTTCTGCCAATTTGTTTGGATTAATCTCATTTAGCCATTCTTTATAGTGACGTATGTCGTGTGCTAGAGTTGACCACTGGCCATTTCTTATTCTGGTGGCAACAATTGGTTGGATCGCCATTCGTCCTCGGGTGTGTGGCATTGATTTACCCCAGGGGTAGGGCACTCGGTCTCTGTGGTCGGGATTTACCCATAGGGTACTAGTGTATCCTGTGGCTGGGGTTTACCCATAAGGTACTAGTGTATAGTGTGGCTGGGGTTTACCTATAGAGTACTAGATCTGCGTCATGTAGCCGGGATTTACCCATAGGGTACTAGTGTATCCTGTGGCTGGGGTTTACCCCTAAGGTACTAGTGTATCGTTTAGCCGGGGTTTACCCATAGGGTACTAGGTCTGTGGTTTTATTTACCCACGTGGTTTATCGTGGTAGTTGTAGAGGACATTGTTTAACAACACCAAACACAACAGCCATATCTTTTAACTCGCGACCATTGGTTTTCAGTCAAGCGTAGACACAAACATACACCTTAAATAAATTGAAGCGTAGACACACACATACAGCTTAAATAAATTGAAGCGTAGACACATACATACACCTTAAATAGATTGAAATAAAAATAAAAGCCAGTAAACCAACGTACAACCTACGTTATCCGATATCGGCGCCACACACTACCAACGAAGAACTACTCAACTTAAAGCCATCCCAACCTAGAAAAACCTATAGGTCTATAGACTCGGACTATATTTTTTTTGACCGAGGGCCGTGTTATCTCCCCTGCTCTGACCTTAGAGCCGTGTTTGGACAGTACCGGACATTCTGACACGCATTGTTATGTTTGACCACCTGTTATCATAGTACGTGCATGGCTGGGCTGTCAGGCATGTTTGCCTGTCTGCTTTTGTTTAATTATGTTGGACAGCTCGGGGTTGGCTGTTTATAGCGGGTAGCTGTTGGACAGCTTGGGGTTGGCTGTCAGACAGCTTGGGGTTGGCTGTTTATAGCGGGTAGCTGTTGGACAGCCCCGGGTTGGCTGTTTTATAGCGGGTAGTTGTAGGACAGCCTGGGTTGGCCGTTGGACATCTCGGGTTGGCTGATGGACAGCTCGGGGTGGCTGTTGAACAGATCGGGGTTTGCTGTTTGAAGTTCAGGGTTGGCTGTTGGATAGCTTGGTGTTGTCTGATGGACAGCCCGGGGTTGGCCGTTGGACAGCCCGGGGTTGGCCGTTGGACGGCTCGGGTTGGCTGTCTACAGCATGTCGCCAGCCACTTGAAGACAAAATGTCTTGATGTCCACTTGAAAGCGCGGCCACACGCCGCCTATCCTGACACCGTACCAACACCACTCAGCATGACGTAACACCCGACGTCCATTCTATTTGACCAGTGACGTCACCGCTCAAGCGGACCATACACGGGGTACTTAAGTGATTAAATGTGGTAAAACCGTTTGACCAGTGCTACGTACCCGCAAGCGTATCCCCAACTGATTAGGCTTAATGGGTCAGACAGCGACATTAGGCGCTAAGTCTACCAGCACGGGATGGGCATTGGGTTTACCTTGGCTGAATAAACAATAGCATTTAAAGGTGGGCCCGTGGAATTATCACAGCTAGGCATGACGACAATAGGAAGCTGCATTCTTAAAAACATATTTATATTCCGACATCTGCTCTTATCAAAAGTATACTTGTTATCTGCGTTGCCGTGAAATATTTTAACGTAGCAATTTGTATGAATATCACACGCTAAAAGATCAAGGACATGCATACGTCCCAGGGTAAAGGGGTAAACGTAATGTTTATTGGTTGTAAAAACAAAGTTAATTCGTCGTGATGTAGGGAAGAGATTACCGGAGGCTATGTCTTCAGGTGGTTCTCATAATGTACACATCGTGTCTCTAGAGGCTCTCTCTTCAGATGGTTCTCAAAATGTACAAATGGTAGGTTCTGTCTTCAGATGGTTCTCATAATGTACACATGGTATCACCAGAGGCTGTCTATTCAGATGGTTCTCACAATGTACAAATGATATCATTTTATTCTATGTCTTCAGATGGTTCTCATAATGTAAATATGCTATCACTTTATTCTATGTCTTCAGATGGTTCTCGTAATGTACAAACGATATCACTATATTCTGTGGCTTCAGATGGTTCTCGTAATGTACAAAGGTTATCACTATATTCTGTGGCTTCAGATGGTTCTCATAATGTACACATGCTATCACTTTATTCTATGTCTTCAGATGGTTCTCGTAATGTACAAAGGTTATCACTATATTCTCTGTCTTGAGATTATCGTTTCTGGTAATGTACAGATGTACCACTAAAGTCCCTGTTCTCAGTCCCGTAAAATACAAACATTTGACGGGCCTCAAAAAGCCCAGTTGTTGGTCAGAGGCTGTTGACACTCCGGGGAGATAACCTTTCGTTGACCTAAATTTTCGCTTATCAGTTTTTTTATTTATTGTTTACACAATTTTAAATCTCCCTTTTTACAACGAGAGCTGTATGAGATTGTGTGCAGCGGGTACTTCACTGGGCTAAAGTGGAGGCAACAAAAAATATTCTGCTAATAACAATTCTTCTTCTTTTAATTCTACTTTTACATTTTATTGTTTAGAAGAAACCAAGCATGACTTTTAAAATAGGATCGTTTTACATGAGTTACGGTCCGTGATTCTTTTGACGAAAGGGGGAGACACGGATATGGTTAGGCCCGAGGGCCGCTTCCCTCCACCGACCATCGTCAACATCTGCGGACACATCTTAGTTTTCCATCTATTTTTCTCGCATGAAACCCCGACCCCCTTACTCTTCATGACTCCCCGGACCAGGCCATGTCAATAGTACACATTTCCTACACCCTGATCGAAAGCTTGGACCCATTTTAATAGCAGGTGTTAACTGGCCACCTTCCCAACCCCACTCCCTCATCACGTGACACCGGTTGAATAGTGTCTTGTCCCGGCGGGGTTGAATAGGTTAGATTTCTGCAAGGGACCTTGTCGCGGCCCGCTGAAACCACGGGTTTAAGTTTCCCTCAAGCATACCTAGCTATACGGGACGTGGCGCACACAAGGGAGGACATGTAACCGTTCTATATTCTAATCATTCCCCAGCGGGAGAGGGGCGGCGTGGCCTCGTTTTTTAAGGGTCCTATGCCTGAGACGGGACAACGTTGTGTTGCCGTATGACTCATTGCTTGCACAGAAAGAGGGGCCGTATACTCCTGACGGCTCTCCTGTCCTGACAAGCTCTGACTTACTACCTGTTACTACTCGTCCTTCACAAAAGCCGGCTATATTATGTCATCATAAAGACATCACACCTTGCATACTGTCTAGAAGGTGTCCGTATATATAAGATTTAGTTGATCTTTACCTCATTATCTAGTCGACTTCCCATCTGTAACACGGAAAACATTAAATTCATATTCTATACCAAGCTCCTGAGATTTAATTGTTGTTAGAAAAAAAATAAACGTCAAATCTTTGTTACAACGGCGATTTAATACAGCTGATATATGTGTATTTAACATATTTCGCACATCTGTGTATATTATAACATCCTTAACACAGATGATATATGTGTTTATTATTACGCCCCGCTGTTCTGAAATTGGGAGATAATCGATTAGAGGATCGTTTTTATAACAGAAAAATGATATTATTAGTTTGTTTTCGTTCAATCATTGCTGTCTAACTAACTACACGGGTTAAAATGTCTTGGGTTTAGGGGTTGGGGCGCCAGTCACAAGGGGTTCTTGGGTTTAAGCGCTGGTTGCCTCGGTAAAAACAGCTTTTTGTGTTCAGGTGTTGGGTTCGGCGTTGGGGAGCTAGTCACTTGAGTTAAAGTGTCTTGGATTCGGGGGTTGGGGCGCCAGTCACGTGAGCTAAAATATCTTAGGTTCAGTGCCTTTGTTGGTTAGTCACCAGAAAAAAAATCTATCGTTTTTAGGTCCCAGTATGACGTCAACCCTTGCTAATCTTTCGTTATCAACAGCATTGAATACGTGCGGTTTGCCGTGTAATTAGCCGCATTGTTTTCTAAGGCATGTTTGTTTAAGTAATGATTTTAAAATATGACCATTGCTTAACTCTTTGTACTATAACTTGACTGACCGTCACATATGGATTTGTTTGCAACACGGCTGACCGTTAGATTCATCACGTGGTCAACTAGTAAATGACCTTAAATGTCTCTAAATTAGCAGTTTAAAACAAGAACAATGTCCATCACTATCTTAAAAAAGATTGTGTATCTGTGGCGTAGTTCAGGCAGTCTGACGTGACAGATGTCACATAATAATTTACCCATGTCCTTTACCGTGTGGGGAAGGGGGGGGGTAAAGCTAGTCGTTGTCATACTTTAGTTCTCTGTAGCTAACCCCTGCTGGTGGGTGGGGGGGGGGGGGTAGTCGTTGTCATACTTTAGTTCTCTGTTCTCTGTAGCTAACCCCTGCTGTCATAAATCATAAACGTCTTCGCGGGTTCCTTCTTTAAAAAAAAAACATTAAGCATCAGTCAACTGTTACTTTGAAACGTGTCGCTGGTTGCCTCAGTAAAACAGTTTTTGGTGTGTTGTTGTTGTATGTTCACATAGTTGACATAGCACATTCCATTTTTATATCTCTCTGCTGTTTCTTGGTCCATCAATTAAATATATCATGTTTTTTTTTCTTACGATCTAACTAAGCATATGCTTTGTTTTCCTCGCTAAGTAGGATAATAATGTAGGCATAATTTCTCTACTTGTGCTCTTTATTATATGTGCCATCTTCTCTACCTACTTGTACCATGTACCTTATTTATACTTGTATCATGTACTCTCCTGGATGTGTCATGTAATCTGTCCTGTACTCTCCCTACTTGTACCCTGTACACTCCCTACTTTTGCCCTGTAGTCTTCCTAATGTGTTATGTAATCTGCCCTGTATTTTTCCTACTTTTGTCATGTACTTTCCCTGTGTGATGTAATCTGCCATGTACTCTCCCTGCTTGTTCCCTTTACTATCCGTGCACCCTGTACTAGCGTACTGCCTAGTCTACAGCAGTACTAACCTTATATTGATCCGCCTCTGATATTGACGCTAGGGGTGTAGAATTTGTGAAGGGCATGTTGACTACAACTTTACCCCGGCGTGTATTGCAATATTTACTTTGTAATCCCTGACTCATTGGGTTCGTTTTAAGACCAGAATTTTCAGAAACATTTAGCGCAGGGTTAATCACATGCCCTGTTTTAATCTAAAGACGCTTTGGATTATTTTAAAAGCAAACTGTCACGAAGATTAGTCACTATAGATTTTGTTATTTTAGTAAATGGATTATCAAACTCAGTAAAGTCTGCATATTTCCTAAGCTAAAAAAAAAACGTTATCCAAAGTGGGCAAGCCGAAGTAGATTTTCTCTATTGGTAATTTGGAGCATGTTTGCCCCGAACAGGTTTCGCGTACCCCAAAAGTCAATAACGTGGCGTTCTGTTTGCTCAGTCAGTGGTCCCCCTCATGCGTCAGCACCAGCCACCACACTCGAAAGGCAAATGAGCTCCTAATCTAGAGCTGAGACTCGCTTTAAGCGTGACACTGGGCCGATCTATTAGATGTGGTTGTCCCCACTCCTAGACGTGGCTTTCTCCCACCCCTCAACTGTTGCTCCCTCACCCCTCAGCTGTTGCTCCCTCCCACCCCTAGACTTATACCCCCCACCTCCCAGATCTGATTTCCCTCCCCAACCTAAGGAAATCACTTGTAGTAGTTTGAGTTGGATCGGTGAACCTTGGCGCCGTGTCAACTTGATGCCAGATTTCTGGAGTATTTTGTCGTCTGCTGAAACCGCGAGACAACGCGAGAATGTTTTTGTTGTAGATGGCACATAAGTGAGGGACCTCCACAGACGGGAACACGGCAGATAGCAGGACAAACATGACATCAATCATGTCTTATTTACCGCGGACCCGCTGGGGAGTTGGTTGAGTGGGGTTCACGTATAGTTAGTTCACGGAAGTTCACATTTAGTCAGTTCATGGAAATTTACATTTAGTCATTTAGTTTAGAGAGGTTCAAATTTAGCTTTTAGTCGTAGAGTTAAAGAAATCAGAAATAAAATTAAATATCAATTGAAATTATAGAAAATTAAAATTAAATACTCTAAACTTGAACGTTTAAATGTTTTCTTAATCTCATTGATTTAGTTGTGGATGCTATTAAAAGCTTACTGCTTAATCTGAACCTGCCGAGATAAACATGTACGTGTGAGGCTACAGTGACCCCACAATACCATGGTCACAATCAGTATCATTACTCACACCAACACACCCATAGCTCCACCAATATATCCCCTGCCTCAATGTCAGCCATTTTAAGAAACCTCCCGCCCCCCCCCCCCCCCCCTTACCCCCCGCCCCCTCTCCACCAAACGTCCATTAAGCCTTGCGTGATTCAGCGTTGTTACTTTGTTGCACCAAGAATATCGTATTGCTAATTACGTTTTATGATACACATTTTTAATTTCGCCTCTCCCCAGACGGACTGTGGGAACCATGTTCGTGTCTTGGTGAGGAAAGAAGAGAATCTCCTGTACATATGCGGTACCAACTCCTACCAGCCCAAGTGCAGATACTACGAAATGAGGGTGAGTGGACTGTTAGTCAGAAACAGCTGACCATTAGTCAGATGTCATTGACCACTTGTAATTGGATAGCCAGTAAAGCCAATCCCATTGAGATATTCTGATATTGTTGATTTTATTCCAGCCATTGTGTTAATTTAAATCCACTATTGTGTTTTATTCACTCCAGCCATTGTGTTGTTTTCATTCCACTCATTGTGTTGTTTTTATGCCAGCCATTGTGTTGTTTTAATTCCACTGACTGTATTGTTTATTTCCCTAGGACAACCAGTTTTTTATGACACAGAAGTTGGATAGAGTGACTGGTGAAGTGAAGGGTGGGGAAGAAGGAGGAACTGGTGTTTGTCCTTTTGATCCCAAACACAACTCAACTGTTTTATATAGTGGTAAGTCAACTGTCTTATATAGTGGTAAGTCAACTGTTTTATATAGTGGTAAGTCAACTGTTTTATATAGTGGTAAGTAAGCTGTTTAGACCCTATAGTGTAAGGTAGTGACCTGTTTGCCTGACCCTATACTGTAAGGTAGTGACCTGTTTGCCTGACCCTATACTGTAAGGTAGTGACCTGTTTGCCTGACCCTATACTGTAAGGTAGTGACCTGTTTGCCTGACCCTATACTGTAAGGTAGTGACCTGTTTGTCTGACCCTATACTGTATGGTAGTGACCTGTTTGCCTGACCCTATACTGTAAGGTAGTGACCTGTTTGTCTGACCCTATACTGTATGGTAGTGACCTGTTTGCCTGACCCTATACTGTAAGGTAGTGACCTGTTTGCTTGAACCTATACTGTATGATGGTGTCCTATTTGCTTGACCCCATATTGTATTGTGGTTACGAGCTGATTGCTTGACCCCACAGTGTATGGTCCTAAGTGTTTTTGTTTGTTCTGTACTTGTTGTATTGTGATGTTCTCCCCTGATAAAACTAAAACCACTTAAATATTAATCATGCGTGACCCGTGTATCAGGTAAACAGGTAGCCCTCTGTCTGAGAGCCAGCACAACACCTGTGTCCTGGTCCCCCATGTCCTGCTTCGTGTGTCCTGTTACCTAATTAAAACTGTTTGTGTCAGTTGAGAGCATCCTTTTGTCTTGCAGCAAGAGTCTTCCATCAGTTGTCAGGTTGACACATGAAAAACACACTTTCTCTTACCCTCATTTATCTCGGCATACCCCCACCCCTTCTTATGTCGCTCCAGACCAGACATTTTGTTTTAAATGTTAGAATTATTTTTACTCTGTTGTGTAGATGGGAAATATGTTTTTACATGGCCAGCACCTGGTCCCTTATTCGGACGCTAGGGGGACATGCAGCATATTTAGCACCTGCACCACAATTTAATTAAGACAAGATTTAAAAAAAACCTTCCCAACATCTCAACATCTGTGTGTAATCACAACATTTATTGTTAGCTGTCTTCACATTGTAAAGTCTCCCATGAAACATGTATGTTGTATGTTAAAAAAAACAGGCAAGATTTACTCAGCCACTGTGGCAATCAAAGTACTTACTATAGTCTTTAAAATGTAGTCTCCCATGAAACATGTATGTTGTATGTTTAAAAAAAACATTTTTACCTCCAGATGGCAAGATTTAGTCAGCCACTGTGGCAATCAAAGCACTTACAATGTAATCTCCCATGAAACATGTATATTGTATGTTTAAAAAAACCATTTTTACCTCCAGATGGCAAGATTTACTCAGCCACTGTGGCTGACTCGGAGTCCAGAGATCCTCTGATTCTCCAGAAGTTTACACAGAAGCCATCGGCTGGTCAGACAACAGGGGAGGACTTTTTGGTCCGGACACAGCCCAGAGATTCAAAGTTTTTGAATGGTCAGTGGAATAGCTTTAAACCAGATACTCAGGCTTTTATGTGATGTTTTGTTTGGCAACTAAGGCAGAGTCAAATGACTTACATAGTTCAATGAATACGACAATGTTTGACCATTTGGAATTACTTACATCACGGACCTACTTTGATCACTTACATTGATCTATTTTGACCACTTATTTTGACCACTTTGGACCTAGTTGAACATTTTTAAAAATGTTTTTCTTTTCTTTTTACAGAGCCCAACTTTGTTAGTTCTTTTGACATAGATGACAAAGTATTTTTCTTCTTTCGAGAAATTGCTATTGAGAATATCAACTGCGGAAAGGTAGGTAGCCTACCAACTAACACAATGTTTTACAGCTAAAATATTCTTTTGTTTCCCATAGTGTCACCCTAATATCAGCTAAAAAACTGTTTTGTTTCCCATAGTGTCACCCTACTTCAGCTAAAAAACTTTTTTGTTTCCCATAGTGTCACCCTACTTCAGCTAAAAAACTGTTTTGTTTCCCATAGTGTCACCCTACTTCAGCTAAAAAACTTTTTTGTTTCCCATAGTGTCACCCTACTTCAGCTAAAAAACTGTTTTGTTTCCCATAGTGTCACCCTACTTCAGCTAAAAAACTGTTTTGTTTCCCATAGTGTCACCCTACTTCAGCTAAAAAACTGTTTTGTTTCCCATAGTGTCACCCTACTTCAGCTAAAAAACTTTTTTGTTTCCCATAGTGTAACCCTTGTATGAGCTAAAAAACTGTTTTGTTTCCCATAGTGTCACCCTTTATATCAGCTAAAAAACTGATTTGTTTCTCCAGGCTGTCTTCTCCCGTGTGGCTCGGGTATGTAAACAAGACAGAGGGGGCCCAGTGAGGGCCCTTCAGAACACCTTTACTTCCTTCTTTAAAGCCCGGCTCAACTGCTCCATCCCTGGAGAGTTCCCGTTCTACTTCAATGAATTGCGTAAGTTTTCTCCCCACATTGTGGAACATGTAGGGTCTTAACACTTTGTTTAATTTAAATACTTTTTTATCTACTATATTTTTCTTTATTAAGGGGGCAGTATCACCCAGACATATGAAAATTGACAAAAAAATTTGCCAAAAAAAAACTATTATACCTACACACATAAATTTTTTACCATAATAGTAAATATCAAGGAGCTATAAAACAGCACATAAAAGAAAGTTAACGTATGATGCAAACACTTTTTATAAATAATTTTACCAAAAAATGTTTACTAAGTAATTTTAGGCTGTGGTTTACCAACATTTAGGCCCATCCTGCTGAAAATACTCTAGGGAATGCATAACTGGGTAGCCTATGGCCGGAACTAGGAGATATCCATTGTGACAAATTTAAAAATTTTTAGAATTTTTCAAAGTTAGACCAAAAAAATTGAACTGTGAAATTTTCTAAAAAATTTATCTGTCATTAGAATACTATTATTTTAGTTCCGGCCATGGCCATTAACGCAAGGAATGTTTATACCAAATTTTAAGTACTTTACTTATGGTTTCGAAAAATTGTTTACAAAAAAATCAAAATGTGATAAAATATTAACAAAATAATTTTTTGAAAATATATTGCCATACATATACCCTACAATTTATATACTGTATTATAGCAGAAGAAACGTTACTACTGCTGTAAAATTTTGACATGTGTATGTCAAATAGTTTTTTTTTGGTGATAGTTTTTGTTTCCCTCCCTTAGTCTGGGTGATACTGCCCCCTTAATATCTGTTGGGTTTTAGAGTTATTCGATTGGTTAATTTAAAAAAAAAAATTATGGATTATTTTATACAGAAGCTACATCAGACTTTGGACAAGGGAACTACAAACCTACCAAAGACAGTGGTGACAGGTCCAAAATGGTGTATGGTGTTTTCACTACCCCAATGTAAGTGCTCAATTAGTTATTAATATACATTTTCCACAAGTCTATAATAATAATCCTAAATGAAAACTTGCTTTAAAATTTTTAAAATGTTTTTATTTTTATTATTACAGGAATGGCATCAAAGGATCGGCTGTCTGCGCTTACAGGTATTCAGATATCACTGATGTTTTTAAGGGCAGGTTCAAAGGTCAAGCTACATTCGCCCACAACTGGCTGCCTGTGGGTTGGGAGGAGACACCAAAAATACACCCAGAACAGGTCAGTGTTGCATTCTTATTTTAATAAGTCTCTTTAAAAAGCTGTTTACAAATAACAACAACCATACTTAAAAAATTTGTTAAACCCCAAACATAACTGACAATGTGTTTTTTTTTCTTCTGCGCAGTGTACAAATAACAGCCGTGAAGATATTCCCTACAAAAGTTTGAACTTTATCAAGGGCCATCCACTAATGGATGAGGCAGTCCCATCTAGAGGTGGCATGCCAATGCTTGTCTTTACCAGCCTCAAGTAAGTTCAAATCATTTTCACTGGCATCTCTTCATCATCAGACATCTGTTCATCAAGTACACTAAGATAGGGTGGTGGTTGGGTGCAGAAAAGAAAATGGATGATAAAAACATAACAAATTTTGTGGATGTCAAAATGGATGACTTCATACTTTTTTGATGTGGTTACTAAATTTAGCTAACTTATTTGTGTGATTTATTTGACTTGTGTAGGAACAGTGTTTAACCCAATTTGATTTGTTGTGACTGACTGGGCTCTGTAATACAAGTAAAAATGTAAAGTTCCCCCTTTCAACCCAAAAGATCCATAGGGCAGTAAGTTGAGACCATGGTATATGAAGGGATGGTGTGGTCAGTACTATGCCCAGCTGCCTTTACTTTCCATAATCTGAGTCTGGTACCCATCAGAGCTGGATGGGCTCAGGGATGTCCTCTGGTTACTTGAGCATAAGATCTGATCTTGTGACTTTTGTGTTAGCACTTGAGCACTCTACCAGGTCTATTATGAAAATACTATAATTAATAGAGAGAGTAATGATGATTTAAATTAAAGTGAGAGTGTAGATGGCCAAGTTAGAGGTGAGAGTGTAGATGGCCAAGTTCAAGGTGAGAGTGTAGATGGCCAAGTTAAAGGTGAGAGTGTAGATGGCCAAGTAAAAGGTGAGAGTGTAGATGGCCAAGTTGAAGGTGAGAGTGTAGATGGCCAAGTTAAAGGTGTGAGTGTAGATGGCCAAGTTAAAGGTGAGAGTGTAGATGGCCAAGTTGAAGGTGTGAGTGTAGATGGCCAAGTTAAAGGTGAGAGTGTAGATGGCCAAGTTAAAGGTGAGAGTGTAGATGGCCAAGTTAAAGGTGTGAGTGTAGATGGCCAAGTTGAAGGTGAGAGTGTAGATGGCCAAGTTGAAGGTGAGAGTGTAGATGGCCAAGTTAAAGGTGTGAGTGTAGATGGCCAAGTTAAAGGTGAGAGTGTAGATGGCCAAGTAAAAGGTGTGAGTGTAGATGGCCAAGTTGAAGGTGAGAGTGTAGATGGCCAAGTTGAAGGTGAGAGTGTAGATGGCCAAGTTGAAGGTGAGAGTGTAGATGGCCAAGTTGAAGGTGTGAGTGTAGATGGCCAAGTTAAAGGTGTGAGTGTAGATGGCCAAGTTGAAGGTGAGAGTGTAGATGGCCAAGTTGAAGGTGAGAGTGTAGATGGCCAAGTTGAAGGTGAGAGTGTAGATGGCCAAGTTGAAGGTGAGAGTGTAGATGGCCAAGTCAAAGGTGAGAGTGAAGATGGCCAAGTTAAAGGTGAGAGTGAAGATGGCCAAGTTAAAGGTGAGAGTGTAGAAGAGCCTAGTCAAAGTTATACAAGGTGTTACTAAAGTTGATTCTAGTCGAGAGGGCGTAATTAATGAATGGTGAAAATGTAGATGGCCTAATTAAGGGTGATTATTTAGGCCTAACTGGCATATTTAGAGGTTATACTAGTAGAGAGTTTAATTTATGAAAGATGAACGTGTATATGGTTGAGTTAAAGTGGATGTCGTGATTACCATAATAAAGATATTAAACTTTTCAGCTTGTCGGTTTTACATTTTAAAATTCAGTCGTAAATTAAATATTTCCCAGACATCTGCGATGCATGAAATTTTTATATTGTAATAATTATCAGGAATCTCATCCCATTGTAAGCAAAAAAATGTGCGTTCCCGGATATTTAGCGTTGGTGTAGATGTTTTAACGGTCAACCATCCCTTCTTTGACACGATGGCTGACAACAACAGGCTCAGATAACTCTCGCGGTGTTAGACAAATGATACTCGGGATATTTAACCCCGTTAGACACTCCGGCTTAGCGGGCCCCAGGAAACATAACTGCGTTATAGATGTGAAATAACAGGTCCCTAAAGAAATCGTGACTGCGACACGATGTAAAGGGTTGGGGGGGGGGTGTTTTTTTTTCTTTAAAAAAAATTCTCGTCGGCTCGAGTTGATAGAAATAAAGTGTAGCTACAGCTGGGGGTATGTACGGTCCTTTAGCGCACACAGTATTTATTCATGAGGCGAAGCACACACACACACTAGAGCGCTGGTGTGTGACGCTAGGGCGGACACAAGCTTAACGTAATGTATCTATTTTATTACCAACTGCACCTCCTAAAGGCCAAGTCATTTTTCTTTACCAACGGTTTTTGTCTGGAGGTGGGGGAGACGTGGCTTCTGCTGGTCATTATAATAAAATACTGGCGTGGGTTGTCTCCGTTACACACTGGGTTGGTTTTTTTGTGTCCCTTTAATGGTGGGTTGGCTGGGGTTTGTGAAGTCATGCGTGTGTCGGGGATTGTTGAAATCTTGGGTTGGTTGTATGGGGTTGTTGAAATCTTGGGTTGGTTGTATGGGGTTGTTGAAATCTTGGGTTGGTTGTATGGGGTTGTTGAAATCTTGGGTTGTGGTTGTATGGGGTTGTGATTGTATGGGGTTGTTAAAATCTTGGGTTGTGGTTGTAGGGGGTTGTTGAAATCTTGGGTTGGTTGTATGGGGTTGTTGAAATCTTGGGTTGGTTGTATGGGGTTGTTAAAATCTTGGGTTGTGGTTGTAGGGGGTTGTTGAAATCTTGGGTTGGTTGTATGGGGTTGTTGAAATCTTGGGTTGGTTGTATGGGGTTGTTGAAATCTTGGGTTGGTTGTATGGGGTTGTTGAAATCTTGGGTTGGTTGTATGGGGTTGTTGAAATCTTGGGTTGGTTGTATGGGGTTGTTGAAATCTTGGGTTGGTTGAATGGGGTTGTTGAAATCTTGGGGTTGGTTGTATGGGGTTGTTGAAATCTTGGGGTGTGGTTGTATGGGGTTGTTGAAATCTTGGGGTGTGGTTGTATGGGGTTGTTGAAATCTTGGGGTGTGGTTGTATGGGGTTGTTGAAATCTTGGGTTGGTTGTATGGGGTTGTTGAAATCTTGGGGTGTGGTTGTATGGGGTTGTTGAAATCTTGGGTTGTTAAAATCTTGGGTTGGTTGTATGGGGTTGTTGAAATCTTGGGTTGTGATTGTATGGGGCTGTTTAAAAAGCTGAATACCAATCATAATTACCTGGATATTTATTTTCCTGTAGATTGATGACATTATGTAAATCAATTTTTCTGATATGTAAAACAAACCTGTCCAGTAACCCACTCTTTACATAGCCTAACTACAAACAGAGTTCCCATGTAACCCACTCTTTACATAGCCTAACTACAACCAGAGTTCCCATGTAACCTACTCTTTAGCCTAACTACAACCAGAGTTCCCATGTAACCCACTCTTTACATAGCCTAACTACAACCATAGTTCCCATGTAACCCACTCTTTACATAGCCTAACTACAACTAGATTTCCCATGTAACCCACTCTTTACATAGCCTAACTACAACTAGATTTCCCATGTAACCCACTCTTTACATAGCCTAACTACAACTAGATTTCCCATGTAACCCACTCTTTACACAGCCTAACTACAACCAGAGTTCCCATGTAACCCACTCTTTACATAGCCTAACTACAACCAGAGTTCCCATGTAACCCACTCTTTACATAGCCTAACTACAACCAGAGTTCCCATGTAACCCACTCTTTACATAGCCTAACTACAACCAGAGTTCCCATGTAACCCACTCTGCCTAACTACAACCAGAGTTCCCATGTAACCCACTCTTTAGCCTAACTACAACCAGACTTCCCATGTAACCCACTCTTTAGCCTAACTACAACCAGAGTTCCCATGTAACCCACACTTTAGCCTAACTACAACCAGAGTTCCCATGTAACCCACTCTGCCTAACTACAACCAGAGTTCCCATGTAACCCACTCTTTAGCCTAACTACAACCAGACTTCCCATGTAACCCACTCTTTAGCCTAACTACAACCAGAGTTCCCATGTAACCCACACTTTAGCCTAACTACAACCAGACTTCCCATGTAACCCACTCTTTAGCCTAACTACAACCAGACTTCCCATGTAACCCACTCTTTAGCCTAACTACAACCAGAGTTCCCATGTAACCCACTCTTTACATAGCCTAACTACAACCAGAGTTCCCATGTAACCCACTCTTTACTTAGCCTAACTACAACCAGAGTTCCCATGTAACCCACTCTTTACATAGCCTAACTACAACCAGAGTTCCCATGTAACCCACTCTTTACTTAGCCTAACTACAACCAGAGTTCCCATGTAACCCACTCTTTACATAGCCTAACTACAACCAGAGTTCCCATGTAACCCACTCTTTACATAGCCTAACTACAACCAGAGTTCCCATGTAACCCACTCTTTACATAGCCTAACTACAACCAGAGTTCCTATGTAACCCACTCTGCCTAACTACAACCAGAGTTCCCATGTAACCCACTCTTTACATAGCCTAACTACAACCAGAGTTCCCATGTAACCCACTCTGCCTAACTACAACCAGAGTTCCCATGTAACCCACTCTTTAGCCTAACTACAACCAGAGTTCCCATGTAACCCACTCTTTACATAGCCTAACTACAACCAGAGTTCCCATGTATACTTCCAGGTCAAGGTTCACACAGATCGCCATAGACTGGCAGGTTTTGGCAGCAGACAAACAATATTATGATGTCATGTTTGTTGGTACAGGTGAGTTCTGTTACAGGAGTTTAGTTAACCAGACATCCCAGCACTTACAATCCCACCAAATATTTTATTGTAATTAATTGCTCCTTTACCCCCCCCCCCCCCCCCATTAGGGTTGGTATTAAAAATTACAGTGTTGTCCTTGGTGGGGTAGAGGGGGGAGTGGTGTAATTACAATTATGGAGATGATAAATGAAGGACCATCAGGACACCCAGCCTTTATAACATTTTAAAAAGTATTACAGCTTCTTATTTAATGTAATCCTAACACCATTGTGTAAACCTACTAATGGTGATAATTTGGAATTTTCAGAAATAAAGTTCTAACCCTATTAACAGTATTTTAGTTTTAAGTATATATATAACATATATATATATATATATTTCTGATTACCTGAAGTAATTAATAACCTTGGATAAATGCATTGTTACAGCTCATGAGGAAGTATTGTTAAGACCATAGGTATATGTTGTTGTTATTGCAGATGATGGGAGGGTGATAAAGGCTATCAACAAAGGTAAAGGCACAGAAGTGGAATCTGTTGTCATAGAGGACATCCAGGTGCTGGAGCCTGGTACTTCTGTTGTTGGGCTCAAGCTGATCAGTGACCGGTCACAGAGGTCAGAACCTAAGCTGGTTGTTGTGTCCAGGCACAAGATAGTGTCCATACCACTTCATAGGTGTGCTCAGTCCACAACATGCAGGTCAGTACTCTCTAGACAAACAGCGCGTTTTAGTATTAGAACTAGCAATAGCCAGCCTAAGCTAGTATAGCTGTGGCCAGGCGAAGCTAGTTTAACTGTAGCCAGCCAAAGCTAGTAGAGCTAAAGCTAGTTTAGCTGTAGCCAGCCATACAAAAATGCCAGTCCTTCTATGATATCTAATGCAGTGTTGAATTCTCTCGCAGCTCATGTGTGGCACTACAAGACCCTTATTGTGCTTGGAGCCAGCAGTTGTCAGAGTGTATTCAGTCTGAGACTGGGTAAGGCTAGACTTTTTTTCATTTAATTTGTTTACTTTTTTGGGCTGTCTTCCTATTGGGTCTGTCTTTCTGATTGGTCTTTTCGTATTTGGTCTATCTTACTAATTGGTTTATCTTTCTTATTGGTTTTTCTTCCTATGTGGTCTGACTTCTTATTTGGTCTATCTTGCAGTCTTCTTATTTAGTGACTCTTCTTATTGATTTTCAAATATGAATTGTGTAGTAAAAACATATATATTTTTCTAGCATTCAGAGTATATCAACTGGAAAACACGAAAGCTGCAAAGAAGGTGAGTTTCTTCCCCTTAATTTAGAGTATCTTATTAAATGTTTTACATGTTAACTAATTAGTATTATCTTAGGTGTTGAATATTTTTTATTAACCTGTTGGATTATATTGATTATACTGTTCTTTTTTTCTTAAACTTATTATTAGTAGCTTGTGAATGTTTTTATATTCTTCCATTGCATGATTTTAATACATTTGATATTATACTTTACCAATCTTTCTACAATTGTACATAGTAAACAGGGCTAAAAATATAAAGTTAACCAAATTATCAAAACTAATGAGCAATTTTTGCTTTATGTAATAAATAAAATGTCATTAGAAACTAATTTATTCATTAAGAAACTGCATTGCAATCTGAAGTTTTAAGACAGTAATTTGTTAACATCCAAACAGTTATTTAAAAAATGTGTTTGTGAAGATTGAATAGCATGGTGAAGTTAGCTGTTGTACTGCTGTAGCAGGTTATTTTGTATGATTTTGTTCATTCAGAGCCTCAAGTTCCCACCACCATAGAGAGCCCTATGGTCATTCCAACCAAGTGCAGCTGTCCCACAATTCACACACAAGATTTAGAAAGCAACAAACAAAATGGTTGGTTTTGATTTATTACTTTAGACACACCCAGTGAGAGTAGTTTATGAAATTTAATCTTAATAGACTATCAGTCAGAAAGGCATTGTCAGAATCTCAGTGATGGAAAATGTCTTTCTAGGATATTTCCAATTTTAGTGCAAACCTAATTTGGTCCATCCAGTTTTATCACAAACCTAACTTGGTCCATCCAGTTTTATCACAAACCTAACTATGTCTAGACCATCCAGTTTTATCACAAACCTAACTTGGTCCATCCAGTTTTATCACAAACCTAACTATGTCTAGACCATCCAGTTTTATCACAAACCTAACTTGGTCCATCCAGTTTTATCACAAACCTAACTTGGTCTATCCAGTTTTATCACAAACCTAACTTGGTCCATCCAGTTTTATCACAAACCTAACTTGGACGAGTCCATCTTTAGTTCAAACCTTTGTCCCACTGTTGCAGTGAGGTTGACATTTGTTGCCATTGTGGCCACTAATCACCCAGACAAAACAAATCCAAATTTTATCTGTTGGCTGACAAGGTCATGTGACATAGCTGCCATGTTTTGTCTAGCCCATGACTCCCCATAAATAAATATTTAATTTGTCTGGGTGATAAATGATGTTATTCAATGCAGGGATTGTTTTGAAAGATGGGCAAGGTGGTTCCTTGTTTTGCTGTCCACTTTTTTTGTTCCCCTAAATGTTGTTGTTGTTACCCCATCCTTTGATGGAACTGGCTTGAGATAATAGCTTTTTGTGTAGCATTTTCTGATATATTTTACATGTTTAGAAACCTCTTTTTCTTGCTCAGCTAACTTTTTATTTATCATTTGATCAAGCCTAAAGTTGGGGGGACGGACTATTTTAATAGAATTTCAAATTTATTTCTTTTTTTAATTTTGTATAATTTTTAAATATAATTTTGAAAAGCTAGTTTTTGAGTAGACATTCAGTTTATCATGTAGTAGAGTACTAAAATTACTCTGAACAACGCCAATAAAATAAATAAGAAAACAATATTGCTACTCAGTAGCAACTGAAGTGACCACAGAAAATGGTTTGTGTTCATAAAATAAATGAAATAAGCACGATCATCTTGTTGAAAAAAACATAAAATCATCTCAAATAGTAGGGTAGATAATGTATTTTTCTTGCTGTGTTTTCTGTGTGTTTTTGAATGTTCCTTTTTATTATAACAGATGGCTCGCCACCATTTTCAGGGGAAAATACTGTAGATAACAAAGAAGATGAAGTCACAGACGTCGATGGTAAGTTCTTACCATAGGCCATATTATTCCTCTATGGGGCTGTATGTCTGTTACGAAGTTTTATATTTTTATAAGCAAGTTTGTATGATTGGTTGTCTTTTTTTCACTGCATCAAATTTTGCCTTGGTAGTTTGTGTTTTAAATGTTGTGAAGCATTAAAGTGTTTCATGTTAATCCAATGTAAAACAAAACATTTCTATTACTATCGACCTGTGACCTAGTACCCTGCATAGAGCTCATGGAATGGTATTAGCAGATAAATAATTTTACATGGCAACAAAAGCAATAATTTTGTCAGATATATGCTATTTTGTTTAGGCCTATTGTAATTTTTTCATATTTTGTACTAAAAGCCTTCCATAATAAAAATGTTACTCAATTTATTGTTTCAGAAAAGGGTCAGATTGCAGCGGCTAAAAGTCTCCCATTAGAAGGAACAGCTGTAGAAGTTGTAGTAGCGATCGTTGTTGTGGCTGTCATTGTGTCACTTGTTTTGGGATTTTTCATCGGATTCAAATTCCACTCGTGCCGAGCATCTCGGGATAACGACAACGTTTTCTACGAAGTGTCATCTCTCCAGCGAGGGAGAAATCGTCTCTCATCCGGGGACAATCCTTACTTCCACACTGACCATAAGAACATCACACCTAAACAGGTGAATTATGTCGTCAACATGACCAAAAGTGGAAAAGTTAACTCCAGCGTTGAATCTAAACCGGTAACAAAGTCCAGCAAAGTGTATTTATAGTTTCTCATCTGACAAACTAAAGACTTACTCAAGATGCTACCCACATTCTGCTGTGGTCAGGTGGTCCTGTTCCGCCTGTTGTGTTTTACCAACAGCAGATGCTGTTAGCCAACATTTTAGAACCCAGTGGACCCAGGTCTTGAACAATGTACTGCAACTGGTCAGTCATGTGACCTGTCAATGACAGTCTCTAGACCTGAGCTTGCCCTGGCTCACTTGTGGATACTATAAATACTACACGCAACTTTTTTGGCTTCAACAATGGCCATTGTACTGGTCAGCACTTTTACTTTTACTAGGAGGCTGCTCTACAGCAGCAAGACCAGAAATTTTCAAACAATATTTCTACAAGTTTAGAATTAGTTCACTATTTATTTAGTTTCATAGAAGAGAATAGGACAGATTCTGAGGGTAAAGACAAATTGTTGAATGTTTGCACCTCATGAAGATGGTGTAACAGTTGGTCGGTTTGAACTTGCCAAGTGATATTAATTATAAGAATGAAGTTCTGTCAGTGTCAACTTTCAAACTATAATATCTATAAACCAGAAGTTTTCAGTACTATCATTCCAAAATGTGTACACTAAATTCACTGAATTTTCCAGTGGGCTATACAGTCAGGCAACTGTACTGAGCTGTCAAACAACTGACTGTATAGTACCAACTGTACAGTTAGATGACTTAACTCTGTGCTGTCAGGTGACTTAACCCTACAGTCAGAGGACTTAACTGCAGTCAAATGACTTAACTCTGTGCTGTCAGACAAATGACTGTATGGTCCAACACTTAAGTTTGCAGTCAGATGACTGAACTCTGCAGTCAAGACATCTAAGCACATAATTTTCTATGGTTGTGACTTTTTTCAGTCTGTAAAAACATTCCACAACTTGGAGGTCCAGAAAGTTTTCCGCTCTGAGTTTTTTATTTCCTGTAGCCAAAAAGCTTCTATGTGTTTCAAATGACTGGCCATGTAGTGGTCAGGTGGGGTGATGTGAGAGACTGACTGCTGGGAGTGAATGAACAAACTGCTTTGTTTCACCTTTTATTTTAAGAACTGTGATGTTTAACAAATGCTTATAGCTGCTTTATTTAGTTGATATTCTTTAAAAAACAATTCCTTAAAACTATAGTATTTGTAAAATAATAAGTTTGAAAAATTGATAATTCAGCTAACTTTCTACTTAAATATTTATTTTTTTATAAAACTTTCTATGTGAATTTAGTTTTAAATTGTAATTAGAAAATGTGCTAGCTATTATTGAATTTGCCTAGTACAAAGCATAGAATATTTTCTAAATGGTCCACATTGTTGCTATGAAAGGACACTTACCACCTGTTTTATAAAACTATATACACCAATGTCAATACTTATGCTAGCTGGAACCATAATTATACCAACGATACTCCACCTATTTTTGACATCATGTGATAATCATGAAATGAATAATTAAGCTAATAATTACGTACTTACCACCTAACTAGGATAAGTCCTGGTTTCTGTTTCATATTTCTACTATGCAAAATGCACTGTATTAAAACATCTTTGTGTTTTTGTATTTTAATGAATAACCAAAGTAAATATAAATAATCAAATTCCTTGGTTTGTAGACCCCATTTTTTAAGCACATTTACATGTATTTTATATAAATATATTTATATGTATTATATATACATATATTTATATAGTGTATTCATAGAGGACAAGCTGCTTTAATATTTTCCCTGTAATTGTGTAACAAAATATTTTATTAGACCAAAGTTACTGTAAACAACTGACACTTTGTTAAAATAGATGATGTATTGAACACATGTTCTATATTGTCATAAATGGCTGCATATAAACAAAATATTTTTCTCTATATAAGTAAGGAATTCTATACATAATTATTTCTAAAAATGTCAGTCGTTTTAATGTATAAACAAAATAACTTTTGTAGATTCCTTTTGATTTGATTAGGGTGTAAAGACTATTTCTTCTAGAAGTAAATTCTGCAACATTGTTTTTATTGTTTTATGTTCTAATTATTGTATACAAATAATGGCAGGTGTAGAAGAGACTGGCATAATTTTGTGTTCTTGTTGTAACTATTTTTTTTTTGTTCAACTTGCTGTCAGTATCAGGTCGAATCAATACTTGAGTCATGTTTTATTTCCTAGTAGTTTAGTTAGAATAAACTGTTCAACCATGTTGACTAACAAGCTGTGCAACAGCTGGTTCTGTCAGCCAATGTAGAAATCAAAAGCTAAACATTTTTAGACTGCTGTGACTAATCAAAATAAAATTTCAACCTTTGAATGAATTTCTAGCTAAATACTGACGCCATCAACTACTGCTGTACATAGTTTGAATGTGTCCCACCGCAGCCATTGTTCTGTTACTGAATGTTACTGGTCTTCCATTGTTAGCTCTGAAACCAAATCAGTATGGATGATATTCATTGAAGTTTTGCACAAACATTTTCTATATAAAGTTTATAAATATATATATATATAAGCTGTAATAGCTATAGTGTATAAAAAAGGCTTCCATGCGTGTTTGTCAAGTGTGCTCACCTAAGGTTCATGTTTTTATTGTCCACTGCCACCCCTTCTTGCTTTTCTTTGCTTGTATAAGTTACTGTGATATGAATTTTTATGTTCAAACAATTACGTTGCCATGGCAACTTAACACCAAGATATCTGCCCACTTCCCCGCCAGTGAAAACATTTCTACAGCTGGTGAGTCACTTAAGTTCAGATCAATAATTAATTAGTTCAACCAATCAATTAAAGTTCTTAAGTAATTTGTCTATGTTTCTTTTCAATACTTAATGAGGTTTTGCCAAATTGTTGAAGTGGTAGGCTCTAATGTTGATGAAGACGTGTTAGGTTTTGCCAAAAATGTAATTACACTTTGTTGTGGTTTGTTTGTGTGTTGAGGTGTGGTGTAGTTGCTTGTGATGCGAGTGGTGAAGTGTGTTTGGTCTTGTGGTGGACTGGTTGAATGCTTGCTTGACTGTGTTGATCTATTCAGATGGTGTAGTTGTATGAAATAATTAACTATAACTAACGATTAAACTCATAATAACAAAAATACGGAGTTGGTGTTGTCTTTTGTTGATAGATAAAAACCTTCACTAGTGCCATGTAGGTTTGTGTCACAATGCCTTACCAGCTGGAGGCTCACTTGTTGGTGTCACATAGGTTTAGAAGTTAGTGCCTAAAATGACTTGTAGATTGGGTGGTGATACCAGGTTTGAGAGGTGCAACTGTTGTAAAATCCTTTATCTCCCTCTACTTAGGATCAACCTGCCTACATAGCTGGTACACCTTACAGCTGTCTACATAGCTGGTACACCTTACAGCTGTTTACATAGCTATTACACCTTACACCACATAGCTGATACACCTTACACCACATAGCTGGTACACCTTACAGCTGTCTACATAGCTGGTACACCTTACACTACATAGCTGGTACACCTTACAGCTGTCTACATAGCTGGTACACCTTACACTACATAGCTGGTACACCTTACAGCTGTCTACATAGCTGGTACACCTTACACTACATAGCTGGTACACCTTACAGCTGTCTACATAGCTGGTACACCTTACAGCTGTCTACATAGCTGGTACACCTTACACCACATAGCTGGTACACCTTACAGCTGTCTACATAGCTGGTACACCTTACAGCTGTCTACATAGCTGGTACACCTTACAGCTGTCTACATAGCTGGTACACCTTACAGCTGTCTACATAGCTGGTACACTTTACACTACATAGCTGGTACACCTTACAGCTGTCTACATAGCTGGTACACCTTACAGCTGTCTACATAGCTGGTACACCTTACAGCTGTCTACATAGCTGGTACACCTTACAGCTGTCTACATAGCTGGTACACCTTACACCACATAGCTGGTACACCTTACAGCTGTCTACATAGCTGGTACACCTTACAGCTGTCTACATAGCTGGTACACCTTACAGCTGTCTACATAGCTGGTACACCTTACAGCTGTCTACATAGCTGGTACACTTTACACTACATAGCTGGTACACCTTACAGCTGTCTACATAGCTGGTACACCTTACACCACATAGCTGGTAAACCTTACACTACATAGCTGGTACACTTTACAGCTGTCTACATAGCTGTTACACCTTACAGCTGTCTACATAGCTGGTACACCTTACAGCTGTCTACATAGCTGGTACACCTTACAGCTGTCTACATAGCTGGTACACCTTACAGCTGTCTACATAGCTGGTACACTTTACACCACATAGCTGGTACACCTTACAGCTGTCTACATAGCTGGTACACCTTACAGCTGTCTACATAGCTGTTACACCTTACAGCTGTCTACATAGCTGGTACACCTTACAGCTGTCTACATAGCTGTTACACCTTACAGCTGTCTACATAGCTGGTACACTTTACACCACATAGCTGGTACACCTTACAGCTGTCTACATAGCTGGTACACCTTACAGCTGTCTACATAGCTGTTACACCTTACAGCTGTCTACATAGCTGGTACACCTTACAGCTGTCTACATAGCTGGTACACCTTACAGCTGTCTACATAGCTGGTACACTTTACACTACATAGCTGGTACACCTTACAGCTGTCTACATAGCTGGTACACCTTACACCACATAGCTGGTAAACCTTACACTACATAGCTGGTACACTTTACAGCTGTCTACATAGCTGTTACACCTTACACTACATAGCTGGTACACCTTACAGCTGTCTACATAGCTGGTACACCTTACAGCTCTCTACATAGCTAGTACAACTTACAGTTGGAGCTAGCGAACGCTCACACCGAGGTACCCCACAGTACGGGACACTAGGTGCAGGGACGCGACACTCCGATGTGGTACCGTCAAGGTGTAGGAAAACATTAGATGACGTCAGTGCCGGATGGTCCTGAGGTCATCTGACGTTTGTCTTCTAGACATTTAATCATAGAGTTTTCTTGATAATTACACCAGACCAGTCTACCACAACGCAACCACAGTCACTATTTACTTTACCACGTAAACACTTAAATTGCAAAAAAAAATTAAAATTGTTGTTTTGTTTAAAAAAAATATTTTATTAATCTCTGCAATACATCATGGAGTGGTGACCCCTGACCTCTGGTCACTGAAAGCCTGTGACACTAAGCGTGTAACGAGTTGTCTTCCCTCACTAAATCTCATTTCTTCCACCTCCTCTGGGACTTTCGATTTTCACCTCATTTTCTCCCCCCCCACCTCATTTTCTCCCCCCACCCCCACCACATTTATCCGCTGCCCCACAGAGATCCACACATCTCCCCCACGTCTTGCCCCCCACTCCATCACACGTGTAAGCCAGCACCAACATGTAAGCCGATGGTCATCTCAGCTCAGGCTGTCCAGTTGGTTCTGTATGGTCTCTAGCTGTGGAGAAAATGTGAGACCATTGATGTGACCAGTGGGTACAGACATGAGTACAGGCTTTATGGGGAATCCCTTCATCAACAAGGGGTACATAGGCTTTATGGGGAATCCCTTCATCAACTTGGGGTACATAGGCTTTATGGGGAATCCCTTCATCAACATGGGGTACATAGGCTTTATGGGGAATCCCTTCATCAACATGGGGTACATAGGCTTTATGGGGAATCCCTTCATCAACATGGGGTACATAGGCTTTATGGGGAATCCCTTCATCAACATAGGGTACATAGGCTTTATGGGGAATCCCTTCATCAACATGGGGTACATAGGCTTTATGGGGAATCCCTTCATCAACATGGGGTACATAGGCTTTCTATGGAATCCCGTCCTTAACATGGGGTACATAGGCTTTCTATGGAATCCTGTCATCAACATAGCATCACTGGTAGGTAAACCAGCACAAATGGACACAGTCCGCCTGATCTCACGTAATCTGCTCATAATTAGCAACCGAACTGACTTCCAACGTTCAGATTAAACTTATACCTCAGAGATTAAGCCTCTCTGTCCTCGAATCAGATAAAGCCACCGCCCCTCCCTTAAACCTCTTCCGACCCTCAGTAAAGACCCCTACCCTTCTAACTAAACCCTACTTTCTGAATAAACTCGCATCAACCTCCCCCGACTAAACACTACCCTTTTGACTAAACCCCGTGCTAAAATTAAACCCACACCGTTGAAACTAAACCCTACACTTCAGACTAAACCCCTCCCCCCCGACTAAACCCTACACCTCAGACAAAACCCCTCCCCCAGACAAAACCCCTCCCTCAAACTAAACCCCATCCACAGATTAAACCTCTGCCCTACCATCTGCCCCAGTGCCTCAGTCGAGACCCCTGCCCTACGGTGATTTACCCAAATGTCCACCCCCGGCCTCCCAAACCAACCTTCCCATATTTCTCTAACTAGCAGTGATACCATGCCCCACAACAGAAGAGACCCCTGCCCTAGCCGTGATTTACCCAAATGTCCGCCCCCGGCCCCCCAAATCACCCCCCCCCCCCCTCCCACATATTTCTCTAACTTGCAGCTATACCGTGACCCACGGCTTCATTAATAATGGACTCTAAGCCCATCAAGATATCCCCTCCTGGGAGGCTGAAGGAATGAGCTCGACTAACTTAATCATCAAACAGAAAATAGATCAGTTCTCTAGGGGGTTGCTTGCTCTTTTTTTTTTCACATCGGGGATGGCTTAGTCTGTGTGAGGGGAAGAAACTGATACTGGAGGAAATAATAGCAATTACTATGTAAGAGAGATAAACAGTTGTGTTCATTAGCAATATAGGATTATCTCCCTTGTTGTGACTAGCTTGGTATACATTTCCCCATTTCATCAATATAGAGACACGGTCGACATTTTTTTTTCAAGAATGCACTCAAATTTCATTACAGAAAACGTTGGATTTTATGACGGGCCAAAAGTTTATTTAGGTGCATTAAAAACCAAAATAAGGTCTATTAATTTTTTACAAGGGTATGACATTTTAAGATTATTTCCATTGACGTTTTATTTGAGAATTTTTTTGTTTTACAGTATCCACGAAATAAAACCAAGAAAAATCAGTTGACTCTCAAACTCTTAACCCTAACCACAAACTTAAACAGTAGAACTCACTTGATTGCAAAACTCCTAACCCTAACCATAAACTTAACACAAAAAAAACTTACTTGATTGTAAAATTCATACAGCTCTTGGTGGGTGAACTCTAACAAAATATTTTCATTGACCTGCTAGACAAATAAACAAAATCAGCTTTAAAAGGCACATTTTGTAATTATTTAAGTTTTGTCCAAAGACATACCCTAATTAGTGGATGTACATGTCAAATGGTGCTGTTACCACAGCATATAAAAAATTGTGTAGACTAAAGAAAATCTCATAACCAGATACACTTTTTCATTATTAGAGCAGGGTGGCATCAAAGGTGTCCTACAGACTCGTCAGGTACACATTACAGCTGAGTAGACTCAGAGATCTCCTATAACACTACCACACCAAACATAGTGAGCAGCTGAACAGCGGATAGGAAATGTGTCAGATTTGGGCTGTAGACACCATTTGCTTCACTGTACGAACCCCTTTGTCAGATTTGGGCTGTAGACACCATTTGCATCACTGTACTTACCCCTTTGTTTTCATCTTTGATTCCCAGTTGAAAAAGTGCATTGGGTAGTTTCATCTTGGACTGTGAGGCTTGGGCAAGCTGCAGGTTCAGTCTCCAGTCAACCGTGTCCAGCTGAAACAAGGTGGTTGCCTCGTGTCATACAGTCATTCAAACAGTCAATTCACATTGTGGCAGTGAAAATGCAGATCTTGTGGTGACCAGAATTTCAAAATTAAATAAACCGGTAGTGATCTCCCCTAAACTTTCTCGAATATTCTTATATAAAACAACAGGGGATGGTAACTGGGGATATAGTTATGATTTTTAATCCATTTTAAATACTTAAACTTTTAAAAATAGAATAGAATCTCAGTAAAAAACAATTGCGCACCAAGCGAACGCCTAATAAAGGTGTGTATAATAGTGCGCAATAGTATTAGTACTTAATAAATTTACATTAGTTTTTTGAGAAATCGGAAGTAGCGTAAATTACTACTTCCGGTCAACGGAAGCTACTCAAAATTTAACATAAGGTAGAGAATTAGATCTTATACTTACTTGTGGAATTTCATTTATCTATCTGAAATAGTACTCAAGTTATAGGCTTTTGAAAAATTCAAAGTAGAAAAAGTACCACTTCCGGTTATTGGAAATCGCTCAAAAGTTGATACGGATCTACGATTTTGATAAAATACTTATATATGAAATTTCATCAACCTAGCTGTAACGGTACTCAAGTTATCGTGTTTACACACGGACACACACACACACAGACACACAGACATACGGACAGAATTGCAAAGCCCAGTTTTTCAGACTGGATTACGCATAAAACCTCTTAGTTTTGATAAATCTGGATTGATAATTTTTGCCCGATTAAAATAAGTCCTCTAAACTTTGGATGTGATGAAGGACTGAGGTGTAATACGGTGAAAGATGTTAAAATTTCAAGTGATTTTTGTGCACGATTACAATACTTTCTCTATACTTCGTATATACGAGAAAGTAAAAAAAATATTTAAATATTCGATTATGTACAGCTGTAAAATCTTTCGGGTTTACTCGATGCATGAAATTGTGTAAACGATGGTAATGTGCCGTTCGTCCCCAAGACCCACGGGGCAGACGAAATAGAGTTCATCTGCTTCAGAGACCTCGGCATATGACGGGTTAGTGTACCCTTCACAGGTGGGTGGACTCAGGGACAGTACACTGATTTTGAACCAGGATTCGAACTCAAGATTAAACAAAGTCGACAATCTATATTCATTGTGTACTTATTAAAAAAATTCTAATTTATTGTGACTAGTGGCGTATTTACACTTTGGTGTCTATTATTTAGAATTCGGTTGTGACAAAATTTATTTCGATATTCACACGCAATAGAGTGTGATCAATAGATGCTATGTCTAATCTAGTCGCCGTTGCATTATTAATAGTTCAGTTGCCAGCAAATATTTTTTTTAATTCGAGTAGAATAGTAGATTAGCTCTAACTCAAGACGAACTATTTGAGTTGTCTCCCATCACTTAAATATAGCTACAAAGGGAGATTAAATAAAGGGAAATAGTTATGTAAAAACGAAACAGGCACTCATTGTCATCCAGTATTGCTTTAAACGCCAGCTTCAGCCGAAACAGACTATAGCACGTGACATTTCAAAGTTCAATCATCCTCGAAACTACACTGTCAACGTGTATTGTTCCTACACAGCGATAAGGCTAATTGGGTCACGGCATACAACGCAACTCGATACATGTCCTTCACCAAACCTTGAAGTTTCCAAACGACGGAATTTTATGGCCTACGGCTGGCACTTCTGAGAATGTTTGCCTATTCAAATCTAGAACCGTAAGGACACTTTAAGATCACGTAACTATCACACGTCTTAGAAAGATGAAAGCTCGGGGTCAGGGGAATCACGTGATGTAAACATGGCGGGTGGTGGTCAATTCTAGGTCAACTGATCAAATGGTCTACTAGAACAATAACGTTGAGCAAATGATACCAGCAATCAATTCCCTAAAATATATCATCATGAGACACCCCCCCGCCCATTCCTTCTCAATTACACACAACCAACCATCATACATTATGTAATAAACTCTTGTCATAAAGACATGAAGCTTGTATACACAAGTTTAAAATTTACAATGGTAAAGTTTTTTTTATTGCCTTTGGAGATGCCTTCAGACATTAGAAGTAGGCTAAATCCCATGAGATGTTAACCCATTTTAATATTACCACCAAAAACAACTGTAACTGCAAATAAAGCCTGTCTGTCTTAAACATCACAAAATTTTCTTTAACATAGCAATCATTTTCACAAATAGTGTAACTCTAGCTAAAGGTTTGGCTCGCTAAAGATTTATCTCTACTTACTAGAGTCAACTCTAGCACAAGATTTATCTCCACTTACTAAAGTCAACTCTAGCACAAGATTTATCTCCACTTACTAAGGTCAACTCTAGCACAAGATTTATCTCCACTTACTAAGGTCAACTCTAGCACAAGATTTATCTCCACTTACTAAGGTCAACTCTAGCACAAGATTTATCTCCACTTACTAAGGTCAACTCTAGCACAAGATTTATCTCCACTTACTAGAGTCAACTCTAGCACAAGATTTATCTCCACTTACTAGAGCCAACTCTAGCACAAGATTTATCTCCACTTACTAGAGTCAACTCTAGCACAAGATTTATCTCCACTTAGCCTACTAGAGTCAAGCACAAGATTTATCTCCACTTACTAAAGTCAACTCTAGCACAAGATTTTTCTCCACTTCCTAGAGTTGACTCTAGCACAAGATTATCTCCACTTCCTAGAGTTGACTCTAGCACAAGATTATCTCCACTTACTAGAGTCAACTCTAGCACAAAATTATCTCCACCTACCTGACAAGGGTGTACACTCCGCTCTCTCAACTTTTGGACCAGGTCTCTGGCCCCATTGGTCCATGCATCAACAATAATACCAACCTGAAGTGTACACAATATAGAAGTGTTTGTGTACATGACATTTATACGAACCTGAAGTTTACACAAAATAGAACTAATATGTTTGTGTACATGCCATTTATACGAACCTGAAGTTTACACAAAATAGAACTAATATGTTTGTGTACATGCCATTTATACCAACCTGAAGTATACACAATATAGATCTAAGATGTGTGTACATCCCAATGATACCAAACTGAAGTGTACACAATATAGAACAATGGAATCTGTACATGACAATTAAACTAACCTGACATGTACACACCATTTAAATAAGGTGTGTGTACATGACAATATCTACCTGAAGTGTATACAATATTCAACTAAGGTGTGTACGCAACATCTATCTAACAACTTTATGATGGTTGAAGCTTTAATCAATATGGGGGTGTATTTTTATATAAGTCTATACAATTTTATTATTGTCAAAAATTTTAGAAGGTACAAGTAAGCATGCTCCTAACCTTATCAAACCCATAAAATGGGTGACACAAAAACTGTAGATTTTGTTCAACTATGTAAAAATAATTAAAGTTTTATGTCAGATTTTAGTGTGTTAACATTAAAGTTCACACAAAAAAATTACAACAAAATGTCAAATAACCTTCAAAAAGGTGAATACCATGGGCTTGTGTTGTGATATTTATAGTTTTTTAAATTTAATAATTTATTTATATCTAACACCTATTATTTAAAAACTTACTTCAATAGTATTGAAATGTTCTTCAACACATCCTTACAAATAAAAATATATTAGTTGTAAAAGCTTCTTTATCTGAGGTAACCGAACGTAACCGAACGATTCCCTTTTTTAATGATGATTGGAAGTTAAGCAGGTAGATTCTTTATGCCAAGAAATTGTGAGGTGGAAGTTGAAAACATACCTTGTCGTCATGAAGTTGTAGCTGGGTTAATTGCTCTGAGAGTGATGCAGGTTTAGCTGTGTGGTAGGCAGCCTAAAGAAAAGAGAGCTTTACTTCAAATACTTAAAGCTAAATTTTAAATTCAAATTATCTTTTAAAAATTGCAATATGTTGGTAAAATTTGTCTTTAAGTGTCCTTAACCCTAAGTAAAATAAAAATTTAGTTATTGCTAAAATAACATTACAATATTTAACAATGACAGTTAATGGGCAGATGAGAATATATTAGTGTATTTTTTGTAATGTCTTTTTAAGTGGAGATCCAGCCTTTTGTGACCATGTATAATGAAGAGGTATGGAACGGAAGGTAATTTTAAAACATAAGTTACCTGCTGCAAGATGAATTCTAAAGTCTGAAGAACCAGGTCTAAATCTTTTGAAGATATACCAAAAGCACCTTGCAATTTTTCTTCCTCCTCATCTGAAAATGTACGTTCTTCCTGCACAGAAGAGTAAAAATTTTGTACAAGTTAATTGTGATAATCTCTAGTAAAATAAAGTGATTTATCCAGGCAAACTGTGATAAATCAGTTTAAGAGTGATTTCAGCTACTTAAACTAATCAGTTTTATATTTAGTTGACAAAACTGAGGACATTTTAAAACAAATAAATGTTTAAATGTGTTTTTTCCTCCTTCAGGAGATGTAACATAATTAAAAATGACAAAATAGAAACTATATAACTTATAAGTAAAATACAACTAAAACTTTAATTAATGTCATGGGTTAAGTGAAAAAACAAAATGTCAAGAATTACTATACTACAGAAATACAAACAGCATATTATTTTTCAACAATGCAGTCGGCCAACACCCATTTTTACCTTTAAATGAAGTTTCTGAATAATCCTTGACAAGAGAAGGGGGAACCTAGTGACATCAAGGTCATTGATAAGAAGTACAGCTTTTTTTATGCTGAAAGAAATGAAAATTATATCAGCTTTTTTATTACATAGCAAGCTACCGAAATGTGTGTAATGTAGCATAACTTGGCATGTTATGAAAAATCTCCCTCATTATTATATAATTATACAATATACGTAGATTTATGGAAATTTATAACCCATAAATACACAAAAATTATCATTCTAGGCCAAGTTGTTTTTTTAAATGAATTTTCAAAGTAATGTATTCAACTGATTATGTTTAGTATGTTTATATTAATTGTGAATTGCATTCGAGAGTTGTGATTGGCTTTAAACTTGCATACCAATGTTGCTATTAAAGATATAATGATAAAACTTTGCAGATTTGTGCTCAAGGATATAGGCAATAGAAGTCTGCAAATAAAATAAAAAATAGAAAAAAGATATCTAGAAAGAATGAAGTCAAACTAAAAGTGGTGGCACTGTTCAATAGTGACTGCCATAGGATGATTTCCAGACTGCACAGCTAGGTTGCTATACCATATACCTTCATGAAACTAAATATTTTAGGACTAGAGAGTGTATAAAATACAAACATGCATGTAAAATAAACATAAGTAGAGGAAAACTATAAATAGTGAACTCGAACAATGGTACATCACTGTTAGATTATGATGATTAACTAGAGGCTAATTTCAATATTGTACTTCTTTGCAGTGGCGTAGCGAGGTCGGGTGTCACCCGGTGCGGCACTTAATGGTGTCACCCCCCCAGAGGCGTAGCGACCCTTCCCGGGGACAAACTTTCAAATTTTAGATTTGCACCCCACCCCCCTCAAACTTTTGATTTGCACCCCCCCCCCCCCTCAAGTTTTTCTCTATATATTTTGCTATTTTTTGCCTTGGTGTCACCCCCCCCTAAATGGTGTCACCCAGTGCGGTCCGCACCCCGCCCTCCCCCCCCCCTCGCTACGCCCCTGCTTCTTTGTTGCTAGTATAAAAATAATGATTAAAGTTTACATATTGATTCTGATGTAAGTAATAAGAATGCTAGTACACATAGTGTACAGGTAATGTATAGAGTTAGAGCCTACAAAATACAGTAAAATGATCGAGATACTTAAAGATTCGCCCTGAACTTTGCATTTGTGTCAGTGGTATGACTTGGTAAGAATGTTATTATTAACTTAGAAAATTTTGGTTCTTGTAGTGTTTCTGAAGCAAAGTGTTTAGATGTGCTAAACTCAAAGATTGACTTTTGGCAGTATTCTTATTTATAAAATGTTTAATGAAGTTGACATATCCTTTGATAAATTCTTAAATTTCACATTAATTACAGTTTGAGTTGAACTTTTCTTTCCATTATAGTTGCCTATAACTAAAACTGTATAGACTGCAGCTTATAAAAATGGGCTTTATACATTTTTTACATTTAGGACTGATAGTTTTTTTTTTATTTTACATATCTCTAGACCCAATATTATTTTAGTGTTTTCATTTCCATTTCCATTCAATTTTTAAAAAAAAATGTTTGCAATAAATTATTTACTTGAAAATCCCTTTATAATCTATTTATCTGCCCAGAAATCCTATCTTATCTATAATTCATTAATTCTAGTATGTTTGATCTAGTTAACCTGGTATTAAAAAGGTTAATAAAAATCTGGCTAATTTAAAATTTGATAATTTAGACAGCAATTAATTCCATTCTTGCAATTTTATTTTAATAATTTAGATTTACACTATATTTATTTTAAGCCCATTTTATTGTAATAGTCCATTTAAAAACAAACAGCTAATAAAAAACTTTCTATTAATATCTCGTAACTTGGCCTCCATAATGAAATTATGCTGACTTTTTCATACCTCATCCTACAAATTTTTTCGAGCTACCCCTCATTCACCGATGCTTAAAAACCCTTAAAATAAGAGTACTATTTATCTATATCAGGGGTCTCCAAACTACGGCCCGCTGCAAAAACGGCAAGAGAGTGAAATCTTGTGTCTGATCTATTCACCCACCTAAAGGCCTTTAGATACAAAACTTGTTCTGGTTTTTGAACACGTACAGGCTAACAACTTGACACACTTTCAGCAGGCAAGGTCTTTACGGCTGAAGCAACCACAGAGTTCCCCACCTCATTTGCATACGAGATCATTAAAGACCTCCAGCTGCAGTTTCAGTAGCGGTTTTCTGACATGGATTCAAAGGCAGAAGAAGTGAGACTGTTTCAAAGCCCATTTGAAGCTAATGTGGTCAATTGCAAAGATGAACTGCAGCTTGAGGTCATTCAATTGTGAGAAAATGACTTCCTTAGAGAAATGTTCAAAGAAGAGCGGATGGGTTTTCATACGTTTTTGCACAAGGAAGACTTTTCTAATATTAAAACGTTTGCATCAAAGTACCTTTCAAATTTTCGAACAATATACATGTGTGAACAAGCATTTTCAAGAATGAAATACGTGAATAACAATTTGAGAGCAAACGTAGACCTCGGGTGGGGAGGGGGGGGGGCTGTGGACACTTGAATTTTGTATATATTACTATATAAATTATTTTTTGTTGGGGGGGAGGGGCGGTAGACGTTCTTTGTGGGGGGGGGGGGGCACCACGACCCTGAAGAGATGCCTTAAAGTTAAAGAAACTCTGGCCCCCGAACTGATATTTGATAGTTAATGCAGCCCTCGGGCTGAAAAGTTTGGAGACCCCTGTTCTATATGGTTGAAATGTTATTAAATCCTGTTGTCTTGCAATTAAAAGCTTATTTTACATCTGAAGTTTCTTTTTCAAAAAAACAGTTACAACTTAAATATAATTCAGTGATTCATTTGTGATTTGTGTTGTGAATCACTGACGACAGTGAATTGAACTGAATTTTAATTTTTAAATTATAAATCTAGATTCTAGATAGTAGATAGAGTGGGTGAAAGGGGATTAGTGTTTTCAGCGATTTGCTGAATTGAAAAAAAACTGTTAAAGAAAAGAAAACATTAAAACACTATTTATTATTTATATTAGGGCTAGGTCTAATATTTTGTTATTTACCTAGTTGATGCAGTAAACATTGAAGCCATTTTGTTGACAATTTAAACTATGTCTAAACTTTAGTGACTAAAGATCGACGTTTTGCCACGCCCCTTAATACGGTGGTGGTCGCCCTTAGACCAAGAATTAGGAAATTTTTAATTAAATTCTTAGATGATTATGTCAATTATGATATGGTTCTTTTATTTATTTTGTTAAAAAATAGCAACTAAAGGTGTCATGCTCCCATTTCCACTTTAGTTTTTATTACATTCGTTAATATGGTGATATAACTTTGCGGGTGCCTTAAACTAAGGCGAAAAACTTCAAAAAGTAAAGTAATGTCAAACAAATTGCTTTTTATAACGCTTGTAAATTACAATGTAATACAATCTATATTGGAACAACAGATTACCATTCCCCGACCAGGGAATGTTGGGTAACACTAAAAAGCTAAATTGCCAAGTATATTATTTATATAGAGATCAAAAATGTATTTTCTAACTGACTATAGATAAACACATTATTGCTTTTTAGTGTGCACAGTTAAAATATAAATCTTAAAATGTTGCTTTCCACGGAGAAAAAAGATGGGTAACCTAATATAACGAAACGAAATGAAATTTATATAGAAAATATATACTTTTAACAGTGTCCACCCACCCGAAGAAAGTCTACCGCCCCCCCCCCCCCCCCCGAAAATTTCAAGTGCCCCCCCCCCCCCCCGAGAAAAAAGTCTGGAAGAAACACTGGGGTATGGGGTGGACAGCACCGGTGACGCCACGGGGATTTTTTTTAAAAAAGTACTATGAAAATATACATCGGGAAGGGGCGTTTTTATTTAATTTCCGGGCCGTCTGAATGGTTCACATTAATAATACAGCAGAATATTAATTTTAGAATCTGCGCATATACCTTTATTAAAAAGTATAAACAGTATTTAACAAATTGCTTATTTATTTATCTCAAAGGAGTTTCAAAATTTAGGCTATAAATAATTTATATTTTTTCTAGTAAACAGGAAATTCCAGATAGCAAAATCGATGGGCGATCCACTGTGGTTAAAATTGGAAGAATTTGATGGAATCTAAGAATAAAGAGGTCGTTGTTAGGAGACTAAACAGTGAGTGTGCGTAGGGAGAGGATGTAGTACCAGTACTTGAGTTTATTACAGATCTAGTCTATAATGATAGTAATGGTCATGTATACATCTAGATCTTTGTCGTATTTGTATTTGTTTCATTTTATTTATGGGCAATATAATAATAATAATACATTGACGACGCACGGAGTTAAATTTGTGTTAACTCTTGGTATTTAGATCTAGAATCTAGTCATATCTAGATGAAGCACTTCTTCCGGTTTTTGTGCATGTCTGTTCTATGTTTAGATCTAGATCTAACTGGGAAATAAGTTGATGTTGTAACAGCATCTGTGACATGCAATAGAGATCGAAATACTAAGCAAAAGTATGTCATATTATACACATTAAATGGTATTAACGCGTTTGTGATAAACATGCATACAGATCTATTTAGATCTAGATCTAGATCTAAACAGAGATAGGGTTTTCTTCAGATTTGCACAGCTGTCCTTGCGGTTAGCCCTGGCACCGGTTAAAAAAAAAATCTACCAAAGCCGCTAAGGAATTTGTTATAGAATCACCACACTAGTGTAGTACACTAGCTAGATCTAGAATCTAGTAACATTATTGTTCGATAATGGTACAATAATAAAATCTTTAAAAAGAGTTAACTAAAAATAGCCAATAGGCCCTAATGAATAATGTAGGTACTAGGATAAATTTTCAAAATTGGGTTTTTGGGGAAACAACTACTACAGTTAAAAGGAGCAGAAAATTACAATAACAGAACAGTTTTCATTTTTGATGTAGCTCAAACGGTTAAATAGTTATGATTTTTTTTCGTATTAAAAAAAGCGTTTTTTTTTAACATAGGATTTTTTTCAATTTCTGTGTTAGAATTTTTTAAAGCGTTTACTAAAATTGTCATAGCCTGTAAACCGTGTGATCAAATTTGTTATAACTTTGTAGTAACTTAAGTTATCATATATGTTAACATAATAAAAAATAAAAAGAGAACTTCATAGGTAGAATTCTAAAAAAAACTGGAGGGGAGGAGGGGACCCCCTTATTTTTGCATTCACAGTGCTTTCATACAATCACAGTTTAAAGTTAAACTATTTGAAATATCAAGCTGAAAATTGCTCAGAATGTGTGGCTATGGATGAGATCATTAATACCATCAAAATATTGATCATAATTTGAAAGTTTTTTGTTCAAAGAGCAAATGAGCTGATAAATTATGCATTTTTACAAAAACCGAAATCTGGTTAGTGTAAAATGGAAAATTATGCCAAATTTGAACTTTTAAGTATTTATGTCTCAAAATTGGCCTGATTGTAGTTAACCCTAAACCTAAATAGATACAATCAAATTGTATGTTTTAGTTATATATGTTTGCCTAAAATAGGGGGTGGAAGAATGTACCCCTCTATATTTTTAACACCGAAACTTTTCACACAACTCAAAATTAACTCAAACTATTTAAAATATCAAGCTGAAAACTGATCAGAATGAAGTTCTGTAAGTGTGTCTGTTAATATTATATAAATATTGATATTGGTAAGTTTTATAAATGGTTATATGTGAATTCTAATTTTTTTAAATATATGAAACCATATTTTAAACTATTGTAATTTGTTTTAGAAAATTAAAGATGAACAAGTTATTTATTTCCATCAAAGAAATTTAATTTTCATCACTGTTTAATATTACATTGTTCTTCCTTTGCCTGTGCTGTAGAATTGCAGTTTCTATCTGGAATAATGAACATTACTTTAGTAACATGTCATTAAAATAAATGAAACATAACTAATTAGTAAACTGACCAACCACTGTAGACATACGGTCATTAAGATCGACTTATTAAAATTCCCGACAAACCCCTTGACATCATTAATGACTTATTGTGCGTGACAATCACTCCCGTCATTAATGCTCACGTCAATCTGTGCGTGACAATGACTCCCGCCATTAATGCTCACGGCAATCTGTGCGTGACAATGACTCCCGTCATTAATGCTCACGTCAATCTGTGCGTGACAATGACTCCCGTCATTAATGCTCACGGCTATACAGTTCTAGAATCTAGCTCTCGTCAAAATGGCTCAAAATAAACGCCGTAGATAAAAAACAACTAATTTTGTTAGTATTCAAGATCTAAAAAGTCCACAACATTAATCTTAGAAGAATTCAAATAAACAGGACTACTGCGTTTACAATTAGAACAGAGCGTTGAAAACTTGGAATACTTGAAATCCTTTATTATAATATAAACTACGGTAAACGATCTTCCATAAGTGACGTCATTAACCCTTCCCCCTATCCTCATTAGTACACTACGTCACCTTTCTTAACCCCAACCCTCGATGCACACGTAGAACAATGTCAACCTCGGGTCAACGCGTCGTTCAGTGACGTCAGAGGACTGAGGACCGATTCCCGGTGAACGCAGTTAATTTGGGGGAAAAAAACACAACCAACAATAATACTGTCAGTTTCGCGTGTTGGTTTAGTAATTTAGTAGTGGGCCATCCATATAATAGATCTACATGACGTCACGGAACTGGAGTCCACCGTACTTACTCAACCCCCCCCCCCCCCCTCCCAACACCCATCTCCTATGTGCAACACATCATCCAAAACGTTATGCCCTCTCGGTCTCAACCTTAAAACCGACCGCTAAATGTATGCGTATATGACAGCATTTCAAATAATAAAATATATAGGCCTAGGCCTAAATAAAGAGTCAATGGGGAATGTGCTATTATTTTCTAGAACTGTCAATTCAAACGATATAGTGATATTAATTAAACAAAGTCTATACTAAACAATAAAAAAATAACTGAATACAGTGTAAATTGAAAGTCATATTTAATAAGTCGGTAGTGTTGTTAGCGTGATCGGGCTAGGCCTCTCACGGTACTTCCGGCTTTCCTTTCGTTTTGAGCCGTAACCATCAGAAATGGCGAAGTACATACCTTTTTAGGGAGTGAACCATTAACAATGGGAGCAACTTAGAACTCTAAATTAATAAAGATAATACGTAGAAATGGTCCCTTTGTTTGATTCTCTACATAAAGTGCACGTGTCTTCAATAGTTTTTTTGTAATGAATAAAATAAACTTACCTTATTTTCCAAGAATAACTCCTCTTTTTTGGGTCCAGAAGAAAAAACAAAAAAAAAACAAACAAGCTTGATATCCATTTTTCTCCTTAAAACAATCATCACAAGAAAATTGATCACACGGAAGCGGCGAATTAAGCAAATTTTCGAACATCGTCACTCGCGGCATCGCCGAAAACGCAACAGCCTGGTAACGGGAGAAAAATGACGCCTCGGACGCCGTGGCGCGAGCGTAATCCTAGTACCTAGAATAATGGCTAGAGTAAAGTTCCACGCGCGGTTAAAACACCGGTGCGGTCATCGCCTGTTTATCGCTTCGTACAATATTTGTTTTGATGTTTTATACGAAACTACCGATATCTGCTGTAAACCTGTCCATTTCTAAATATATCCAGGTCAAATTCTTTTGTTTTTCTCCTTCTGGAAGTCGAGTTTTTAAATTTTAAAGTTTCGAGGTATGACGTCGAAGGCGATTCTAGTTCCCCTTATGAAAAACACTAGGTCCCGGATGAGATGAATAAACCAACCAATCAAAGCTTTTTATAACTAGGTTAACTATAAATAGCTTCTACAATATGTGCGGGACACTGTACATACGATAGATTAGGCTAATAAAGCAACCTGATAGGTGAATAGGGGTGGCCGCAGCTTGGGTGTCGATTTGGGTGGTTTCACCGCGCTGCGTAACCAACGACTTGAGCTAGACTAGCCTAGTTCTAGATGCTCTACATTTCAAGCTAAGCCTAGAATCTGTATAGTTTCTATTTTTTTCTGCTGTTTTAAATTATTTCGATCATCTACTTCTTCTAAATCTAGTTTGTGTCTCTACATACAAGCATATCTAAGCAAATGGTTACGTTATGTCTTGTCAGTGGTTGTTACGTCCCTTTGTTATGATTATTATAGTTGCGTCCCTTGAGTCATCACTGGGTCAACTTTTAATGTCGTTAATTAATTTAATTAACATGTTTTTAATTTGGTTTTGAAATCTATTAATTAATAATACAATCAACAACACGTTTAAAAGTGTAAAATATTTATTTTATTTATTAAACTAGGATAAAAACGTATAAAACACGATCGTTACGCAAGCCGGTTCAGATGGCCGCAGGGAGAAAAAAAGAGGGGAAAAAAATATCGCAAGTAGCACGTCACTAAAACATGAATATCTCAAATTCAATGCGTAGGAATATAAAATGATTGATACATATTAAGAGTAGAAAGGCAGAGGAATAATATAGTACTTTGGGTTTGTTTCTGTGTTAAACGGTTACAAAATAGCGCCCGATGAAAGTCGGGAGTTCGCTATGTGTGACCGCGCGTGGAACTTTACTCTAAATAAATTCCAATTATAAAAATTAGGGTGTGGGGAAATTGCGAGACGCGAAAAGCGAAATGGCGAGGCGGGAAAATGCGAGAAGGTAATGCGAGACATACCTGCGGAATTAAGGGTAAATAGCGAGACACTTTTTGCGAAAAAAGTTTTTTCCTTTTTTTTCCATCTTTATTTATTTAAATTATTTTTTTTTTAAATAAACAAGCATTTAGCTATACCCTTTAACACGAGTGTTGTATGTTGTTTTTTTTTTATCTAGATACTAAGAAGATAGATAGATCTATATCTAGATCTATCTATTTAAAAATTCTAACATCGTTGCTGTGCTACTGTCATCGCCCGCTCTTGTTAGCGAGAGGAAAATTCCGTCTCAGTCGGCATTAATTTAAAAATCTAGCCCGCTCATGTTTATACAAACGTGAGCTGTGTCATTGTGAATTGGTATAATCTTGTCAGCAGGAGAGATATTTTGCAACATCTATTTATGGATTTTTGTACTTGCAAAAAGTGTAAAAGTATAAACAATTCTAAAAAGTGCAATTTATTATTTTATTAAGTAATTTTAATTACAAACAAAATTTACAAACAAAATCTTCTGAAACAGTCCTCAAACACACCTCGTGACACCATCTTTCACACATAGTACACCCAACCCAGTTCATTAGACTCCCATTTATACATTTTTCTTTTGCTACTTCTTCCAATCCACATTCACAACATTTCACATTCTCATCACAATTGACCTCCTCGTTCATCCCACAAACAACACTGGCACCCATGTTCTCATCATCATCATCCGCACGCTCAACATCTGTTTTCCGTTTTTTATAATTTGTATTTTTTATCATTTCTGTAATTTTGGCAATGTCTTGCTCATTGTTGTCACCAACAGTTGAGTTTTTTAAAACATCGATATTTTCCCAAAATCTTGTCTAATTTCGGTCAAAATAGAGTATTTTAATCAATTCCTATTACAATGTATTAAAACAGTTTTCTAAAACGCGAAAAAACGTCTAAAATTCTTTTTCTAACACATCGTCATAAAATTACAGACCCCCCTTCCCTTTACGAGTGTGACGTCATTTATGGAAGAACCCAAATAACACCACCACCAAAACAAACAAAAATTCAGATAAGTTCAACTTGGTTTTAAAAATATTTGAAGTAGGCCCATAGCTTACGATATAGCACGAGCAACTGATAATATCGGTGACGTCACTTTATTTTGTTGTATCCAAATGATGTAGGCATTTCCTTGTGCTTAGATTTATATGGTAAAAAAAGCTAGAAAAAAATCGTAGGCGGCGGCTATAATACAAAATTTCTATGCAACAATAGAAAATATGTTTGCGGCGGCAGCGGATCCGGGCACTGCGATCTTCAAAGAAGGTAAATCAGGCGGCCTCGGCGTTCCACACAAAAGACAGAAGTTGATCTATCGTCGGCGGCATTTCCGTCGGTTTCGAACAAGGTGGTATTCTAAGTCGACACAAAAGATGGGGGGAGTTGACAAATCATCAGTATGTCTAGCGACGGAAAAATCGGAAGTTTTAACAATGTAAAACGAAACGTCTTTGAAGTCTGGACCAAATACCACTGAAAATCGGGTGCGGTAAATTTTTCGCAGAAATCTTCGCATTTCAACACCACCCAGCGTAAGTATCGGCTTGTGGTAAAATGCGAGACAAAAAAGTCACGTGACCGACCGTTTTCGCGCCCTTCTCGCATTTTCCCGCCTCGCCATTTCGCTTTTCGCGTCTCGCAATTTCCCCACACCCTAAAAATTATATCCTCCTAGATCTAGATCTAGTCCTAAGCCCTGTGGGAGAATGTTTATACCGGTGTCCGATAATGGAATCTTCTTTAAAAAAGGGGTGTTAGGTTACTGGTAGTAACTAAAAACACACTTGGCTGGCTAATGTCAATGCTAACCCTAGGCCCAGAGGCGTAGCGAGGGGGGGGGGGGGGTGCGGACCGCACCGGGTGACACCATTTAGGGGGGTGACACCAAGGCAAAAAATAGTAAAATATATAGAGAAAAATTTGAGGGGGGGTGCAAATCGAAAGTTTGAGGGGGGGGGGTGCAAATTGAAAGTTTGTCCCCGGTAAGAGTCGCTACGCCTCTGGGGGGGTGGGGGTGACACCATTAAGAGCCGCACCGGGTGACACCCGACCTCGCTACGCCACTGCCTAGGCCTAACCCCAACCCTGGTCGTACCATGCGCCTAACCCTAATTTCTAACCATAAAATTAGTCGAGATTACAATACTACTAACAACCCAACACCCCTTTTTTAAAGAAGATTCTATTACCGGACACCGGTATCTATCTTTACTCGCCCTTGTCTTACCACCAATAGCGTAATGCTAATTTCTAACTGGACTGGGCATAGTGCTGACCACGCTATCCCTTCATCTCATATGCCGAGGTCATGGAAACAAGTGAACTCTACTTCACTTGCCCCGTAGACCATCCGGTTTGAAAGGGAACTTTACTTACTTTAATTTCTAACCATAAAAATAAGACTTGATATTGCACTAGATAGGCTGACTTCTAAAGTAGTAGGCCTAATGGTTAACTAATCCACCAAAGAGTTTATTATTAGACATCGGTATACCCAATTATCAGAGATACAGTCTAGATTCTAGAATAATCTATATAGATAGGCCTTTAAAATTAATAGATATAGGCCTATATAAGACATCATCAGAAGTTCAAATAGTTAGAGCCGTCCTAAAAAGCACTCTAGGACCTTTTTTTATTACTGTTGTTAACTAACTACATGCATGAATTTTGGTTTGTGAATTTTAGAAAATGGTTCTAGACTATTGTATACTCTATGGTCCCTATCTATACTATGTTTTTTTGTCTTAACTTCACCTATCTCACGTAGACGTAATAATAAATTAATAACCTTTCTGAATGTTAAAGTTTTAACTGAAACTTAGTCTCGTGAAAATTTAGTCTAACAAAGTTTTTATTGACTCTCACAGTGAGTCAGAAGCAATATAATTGTTAAAAAAGTAGATTTAACTAGTTAGGCCTAAATCAAAGTAATGTAAAAAAGCAAGATAATTATAGATGTTCTCATCATCATCATTCCTTTGTGGCCCCTGGGGAACAAAGGGCTGCAACTACACATTTCCAGCGGATTCTGTTTTGGGCTGCTCCCTTAATCTGTGCCCATGTGAGCCCAGCTGTTTTTGCCTCTTCCTCAACCGTTCTTTTCCATGTTTTCTTTGGCAGGCCCACTTTCCTTTTTCCCTGGGGATTCCAGTCCATAGCATGTTTTGCAAATTTTTTTTTTTCTCTTTTTAACATGTCAGATCCATCCCCATTTATGGGCCTTGATTTTCTCACTAACAGTAAAATTTACTCAATTTACAATTTAAACATGATCACTGAATAATAAACATCCATATTTAATAAATTTGGCACTAATTTTGAGGGTTTTAGTTAATTTTAAACTAAATTACTTAATTTAATATTTGTAACTCACAGCTATGGTACAACACACCATTCCATAACAACACATGTTACATCACTCTTACGTTTGAGGCCATGGCAAACCACAAATTGGTTTGACTTTTTAATTGACTTTGCACCAGAGTTCCTTACTAGTGATCAACCAAATAGGGGTCACTTGGTTTTTAAAAATTAAAAATAAATTGGTTGTGATAGGAATGTCTGTCTTATAAAAAAAGAAGCTCACAATATTTTATTTCTTTTTTTTATAGACTGATAAAACTAATAAAGCTTTACTTTCTAGCTTATTGTACCTACTCCATTGATATTTTTAAAGTTCTATTAATTTTAATAAAACCAACTTTTGAATTTAGTCTCCATTCTCCAAACCAAATTTTAAAATGCTTTTCTGGCATATATGGCCCAGCCACTTATGGTTTGTTTATATAGCGTGAAAACCCTGCCATAATGCTTGTGGTAAACATTTTAAACAGTAATTCTAAGAAGGTCACTGGAACTAAGATGAAAAATTGTTGGAAGTCACACATCCAGTTAGCAACTGGCCAGGCTAGCCAGCATTGCTAATAATTAGGTATTCAATCATACTTCCTTTTTGGCAACAATAGTGACTCACACTAATGTGTATTGCTAACAGTTGGAATGTTTCAAATGGATTTATATATAATTAAAATAAACCTTAAAACATGATTTAACAGTTTATTTAATGCCTTACTACAGCTTTAAAACAATTACAATTAACAGTGAAACTATAGTCGGTATTGGTACTAGTAGTTCTAATAGCCAATATTTTGATTTCAGGTTACCATGGTGAAATTTATTGCAACATCAAGCTTGTTCAAATATACATGGGAGCAAGTGGCAATAGGTATATGGCAAAGGTACCCAAACCCCAACAGGTGTGTATATTATAAATTACATTGTAGGCTTAAGTAGGTCTATGGCAGTGTAGATTCAAAATATATTATTAATATGAGATTTGAGTTTTTTAATTGCTATTAAATTAACTCTCTTAATAATGGGTATATTATTTTAAATGTAGACTTGTGTACTTTAAACTTATATTAAGGATTTTTTTTAAAGTATGAAACTATTTATAAGTACTATTTACAACTTGAAAACTAAGTTTTATGTTTTAATTATTCTTTCTTCCAGTAAACATGTCCTTACAGAAGATGTCATATCAAGGCACATAGAGGGAGACAAATTGATATCACGACGTGTACTCACAAAAACAAACAAAATACCAAAGTGGGGAGAAAGATTTGTAGGAAGAGACAGAAATGTGTTAATAGTAGAGGAATCTATTGTGGATGCAAGTGAAAAAACTATCACAACATACACACACAACATTGGTTTACAAAAAATAATGGTAGGTGTTCTATTACACCTCACTTGAGTAATGTTACTTTGATTAAATCAAATGCCAGTTAAAATTTTAACCTGTACAGTGTGATGTTTTACTATTCATTGACCTATCATAAATTTCTGTGAAGCTTGCAAAAAACTTATAATAAAGCTTAAGTACAGTTTTAAGTACAGAACCAATATTTATTCTTTAAGCTTATTTCATTTGTTTTTTCAAGTTAAATAATGTTTGCAAAAGTTATTTCAACATTAGTATAAAACAATAGCAGTTAGTTTCCTTTTACCACCAGATATCTGAATTTAAGTGTTCATGTTTTAATTTAAATACTGAAATGAGTCAAAATATTTTTTTTCTGTTACAGAGTATTGAGGAAAAATGTGTGTACAAAGTAAGTGCTGAAAATCCATCATGGACCATTTGTGAAAGAACAGCTTGGGTCTCATCAAAGTTATATGGCTTGGTTAGCGCACTGGAAGCTTTTGGTGCTAAAAGATTTTGTACCAATGCCCAGAAGGCATCCCTAGGCTTTGATTATGTGTTGACTTCCTTATTTAGGGCAGATCATCTTAAAGATCACCCACTCACAGCTGGAAGTAAAATCAAAGAAACAGCCCGTAAAGCAGCAGAAATTGCTAAGTCAAAAGCAGCTCCAATTTTACCTAGAGCAGCTCCATCATAGTCTGATTATTGCAATTATTAGTTTTTGCTATTCAAATTCTGTCTCTAAATACTGTATGTCCACACGGTAAAAGTTATTTACCACACAATCAATAGTATGCTTTGAAATGTGGGCCAAAATGTTAGGAAAAAATTAACTAGGCCAAGGTAAATAACAAATGCAATGGTGCTGCTCCCCCCTTTAAAGTGTGCAAGTGTTTGGTCTTTCCTTTTTGATTTACTGCACAAAACTTCCCCACTCTTCTGGTACACAGGATAAAAGGTTTGGAGTTAGTTCTGCTTGCAATTACTGGGGATAAGTCTACCATTTTGGTTACAGAGTTTTGTGTTTATGGGCATTTTTTAAAATGCTATTAGTCATAATGGCTTTGTAGAATGTAGCAAGGTACATCGGGTCCAAATAGTGTACTGTAGTGGGTGATTGATGTATATATTTTATTACACTTCATGATGTTGATACATGAATAAATTTTATTTATTTGGAAATGTAGACCAGTCCTAACCCATCCATCAGCTTGACCAAGACGGTTTGTTGTCCAATGAAGTGATACATATTTAACATGACCCTTATACTTACTTGTCTAATCTGACATTTTGATTTTAAAAATGTATGAGATGACGTTAAAAAATTAAATGTAATTGAAAACTTATTTTGATTTTATTGTTAAATATCCACCAATATACTCCTTAGTATATTGAAGCATGTTAAGTATTACTTAGTTATATTAAAATTGTGACCTGTTTATAAACCAATTAATTTAATAATGCTCACCCATTGAAATGGATAAAAAATATTGATACTCCATCAATATTTAGTATTTAATAATTTAAATGGGTAATTTTCAAGATTATGTGTATTTTTGAATAGCTCATATTAGTATTATTAGTATTAGAAAGTTAAAATAAAATTAGTGTCGACCAGTGTGATTAATTTAAAAATATATTTAAGGTTTGACATGATGTGATTACTTCCTTTTGAGTACCTAAGTGGAATCTATGCATGCACTTTTCAATAGAAAAAAACAATACCACGCTTAACCACCCAGCTCTGATAGGTACCTAAGTTAGGGAAAGTAAAGTTGGCTGGGCATAGTGAAAGCCAAACAATCCCTTCATATACTGAGATCTCAGAAACAGGTGAGCTCCACTTCACCTTCCCCAAGGACAGTCAGGCTTGAATTGAAAAGGGGAACTTTACCTACTAGATCAAAATTATATCTTTGGATTGAACACCAAAGCTAAATTTGTCAGTGCCAGAACAATTCCCCTTATAAAAGACTAATCAGAATGTTCCCTCTTGATTTATTTTTTATGGTCATATGCTGCCGTTTAATGTTCACATAATTGTCAAAGGTTTTTTCTTTGCCATTGTGTGTTTAACACCCACAAAATACTCATGAGCAATAGCTGTAAGAAATTATTTTTAATAATACAGTATGCTGGGTGGATGAGGCATCACATACCAAGACCCAACTAGCTAGGCTTAGTACCTTGGGCAGAAATTAAAAACATAATGGGTGAATTACACTGATGTTCTGGGTTAAATTTATTATTTTTATGCAAAACGTTCAAGAGCAACAAGAATCTTCAGTGTATGTAGTTTCAGAAATTTATTTTCCTATAGTTATTTTTTGACAACACTATACTTACACATGCAAATTTTAACATCAACATTTTACATCTCATGACAAAATATTAAGCAGTATGTGCAGTGCAACAGTTATCTTATTGAAATAGTGAAACAGTATGAAAAATATTTTATGGCTGCCACAATATGGATCATATTTACAGAATGTACATTTATTTAAGACAAAAATACATGCGATTCTATGAACCTTTAAGTAGTTTAAAGACTATTGTTTTTAGAATGACAAGATTGTTTGATGACTTACTAATTAGATAGAGTGCAGGTATGGGAGTTTATTGTGTGCTGGGTTTTGACCAAGTTGAAATATATAGTTTTGGTTAAACTACTGAAACACAAGGAAAGAAATACAAATATATGTCTTTTACATAAAGTTTTTATCACTGGCTTTATCAAGCTGTATCTAACCTGTAGAAATACAGAATACACAAAAAAAATCTACATTATTTTCTAATTTTGTGCAGCTTTAGAACATGAGTGTATTTGAATATTATTATTAGCCTGATTCTTTCATCAACTTATCTTCCAAGGTAGGTTTTCCAAGTGACTGATCCATGCTGTAAGGGTAGTTTGTGTTGGGGGCTGAAAATTTACAGAGAGAGAGAGTGTTCAATGTTGAGAAACAAATTCTACCTGATTTAGTTATCTTTCCACCATCCTAATTTAAATACCTTCTAACACAATAGCTAATGCTGATTGAATGACTTATTTGGAAAAAGAGGCCTACAGCGCTTACTAAAGCAATTCATTTGGTTTAACTGGAAATAAATTATTAAAAAAAAAAAAAAAATCTTTTGTCTGTATATACCTAAACTTAAAAGGTTTTATAAATAGAATGCTGATAAATATAGTTAACAACATCAGTTGAGTGAGAAATAAACTTACCTTGACATCTTCAACTGTAATTTCATTGCTAGGGCCCATAATGCTTTCCAATGTAATATCACCCTCAGCAGGGTATTGTGGGGGAACAGTTAGTGTACACACAACACTGCAGCTATTCTTCACCATCAGATAGAGAAGATTTTTCTCAGGTATCCAGTCAATTGCATGCCTGAAAGAAATAAACCACTGTTGATATGGATTTAAGTAAAACATTTTCTTAAACCTTGATGATGATGTAATAGGTAGACTTCATTAGTAGTCATTAAAACTACATTTAAAAATAACTAATTGTGGTCGAACATACTTTTTTCTCAACTGCTGAATCTCAGTGATTAATGGAACCTGAGACAGCCAAAGAGTTTTAAGCTCCAAAATAAGTTTAGGAACATCTTTGTCAGCCAGAGCAGCTTCAATGATGGATTCTGACCCACAGATCACTTGGTTAGTCTGAAAGTGAAAGACAGAACTATTAAAGTTAAATTGTTCTACTCTAGTGTAAATTGTAGTAAAGGGAGGAAAATTATGAATGACAACTGTGCAGCACAGGGGAGACAAATGTTTTTATTTTTTAAAAAAGAAATAAGCAGAAAAGCCTATTAATCAAGATAATTAAAGTTAGAATTTGGTTATTTTAATAAAGGGGAGACTAGGGGAACTATGATGATCTTTCAGGATAGGGATAGTGTGGCTTTATGTAATAAAAGGGATAGGGGTAAAAACAAAAGCTGAAATTGTGAGATATTCCTGAACATCACAAAGAAAAATATTAAAAAACTATCTTACAGAAAGGAGAATCATCATTATTTTAAGAATCATAAATTATTCAAGTCGATTTCACCTTGACGTTGGTCAGCTGAAGAAAACCTAGGTGATCCTCACACACCTCCAACAAGACAATCAGTCGTGATTTGTCACTTGAAGATTCCTCCTCAATTTTCTCAAGTGGGGACAGAAATTCCACCTGCACAGTCTTCTCATCTTTAACCTGGCAGCGAATACCTGATAAATTTACAACATCTTCCAGTCTTGCTTGTATTCTGCAGATACAAGATAACATACATTGCTCTGTTTACTTTTCAAATATGTGTACACTGAAAATAAACTTCTTTACTGTAGCCAAAAAACTAAGAAAACATCTTACTTAGTTAAACATGAATTCCACGTTGCCTCTTCCTTTTTTGTTTCAATAATTTCACGTTGTTGACGCTGCAAGTTATTTTCTATTCTACCGAGCCTGTCTTGCAGTAAATCATGTTGTCTGGTCACAGACTGTAGGAGCAGCTTAACCTTTTTAGCGTCTGTTTTAACATCATCACTGTGGGTCTAAAATAACAGACATTTTCAACATCTTTTTAACATCATCACTCTGAATCTAAAATTATAGAAATTATTAACATTCATTTTAACATTATCACTGTATGTCTAAAATTACTTACAATATGTAAATTATTACTTACTGTAAGTGATAACAATCATATGTAATAAGACTGATATCCGCATAACTTACCTGAATGTTTACAGCACTTACTAAAGATGGATTTTTCTCTCTCATTTTAACATACTGAGGACAATTGAAGGATTTGATAAATAAAGAAATTAAAATAATTAATTGATATGTATGATAGGCATTTTGTAAACAACCACTGTTTGTGGCTTGTTTTTTTGCTTTAGATAAATGTACCTTGTCCCATAAATTGGTATTTCAGAAGCATTGTCTAGAAAGGGTTAAATGAATCACTAACCTATGTTCAAGTAAACAAAAATATATTAATACAAATTTATAATCATTTTAGTGTACAACCTTTTTTTCCAACTGACATTTCTTTTCAGACAATAAGGTCAGCTTTTCTTTCAGAGTATCTATCGCTGCAAAAGAAAATGAATAGCATCAAAAGGCAACTAAATTAGTTTAAAAATTGTATAGTATAAGACAACAAAGTTCACACTAAAATACATCCTTCTACAATATCAACATTATTATTTATAAAAATTATTGAAACACTGCTGTCAATAAAACATTTGTTTTATTCACCTTCTGTTGCCAGTTTAGCAGTTGCTTCCAATTCACTTTTTCTCTTGTTATACAGTGATACAGCTTTATTCAAAGGCTCATCTAATTCAGGCATTTCTTTTTCTGGTTTAAAAATAATATTTGAAACATTATGACTTACACAAAGTTAGTTCAACAGCTTTGCCAAAGTTAGTTAAGCAAAGATCTCTAAAGTCATCTAAACATTATATATGAATCATCAAAAATACCTGCAATGAAAGTTGTTGACCAGTGTTCCATTGGTTTATTAAGTTCAGACATTAAAAACAATGATTCTAAAAGTTCTAAATACTTTGATTTCATTTCTGTCTTTTTCTGGAACAAAAAAATCTCAATTCATTAGCTTTTATAAATGAGCTTTACTGTTAAAAATCAATTATATCTGAAACTGCAGTGAATGCTACTAATTTCTGTGTAACTTCTGCCATAAACACAATAGCACTGAATCAAAGTTTTTTTTGTTTTACCTTTTTGGCATCATGCAGAGATGTGGCCAGACAGTCAGACTCACTTGGTAAACCATAATACTTGGAGCATTTGATAGTAGCCTCAGTGTACAGCCTAGGATTGACAATTTTAATGTATTAGATTTCTAGTAATAGCCTATTGCTATTTAGGCCTAAAAGTTTCTAGATCTAATTTAATTAAATCATCATCACAAGAACTAAACCTGAGTAATACATAGTAATAATAGTATCATGTGGTGTGAGGGGGAAGGATGGAATCCCAGTTTCAGATGAGGAGATGGTTTAGACGCTGAGTCTATTAAATATATTATTGTTTTGAGTTTATATTTAACTCAATGCAACAAGCCCGCCGGTTGGTCGAGGCCATGCTGGGGGGACGATCTGTCTGGGATTCAAAGGGTCGATTCTAAATATCATCCGTATTGTAATCTCGACTAATTTAAAACTAACTTTTTTTTTATGTTTAGAAATAAAATTAAATTAGGGTTTTACTCATTTTTACTGCTAGTTATTAGATCTAGACCTAGTAGTTAGTTAACTTAACTAGTAACTACTAAACTAGTTATGGGTGTTAATTTATAGGCCTACTAGTTACTAGTAGTTAGTCTACTAGATTACTAGATCTATTTGTCGAGCACTAGTCTAGATCAGGGGTCTCCAAACTACGGCCAGCGGGCCGGATGCGGCCCGCGCAGTCCTTTCATCCGGCCCGCGGAGATCTTTTTGTCTAAGGAAAAATCGTTTGTTGGTGATGGTTAAGGAACTTTGCCCAGAGAAATCAAAGACATGCCTGGAAGAAACTGGCCCCCAAACTGAAATTCGATAGTTAATGTGGCCCTTGGTCTGAAAAGTTTGGAGACCCCTGGTCTAGATAATAGATATTAGATCTAGAATCTTGCTAGATCTAGAAGTCTAGATCTATATCTAGATCTAGTAACTTTTTTTAGTCTAAATTTTTACTTTTTAGTGTGTAGTGAGTGGTGACAGTGAAATGAGTGAACTGAGTGAAAGTGAATTACAAGTTTTAGAACTTAGGGAAATTCATAGCCTATAGAGGTCGATATATATTTTGGTCGATATTTTACTTTTTAAACTAATTAACTTAAGTTTAGACCTATAGAGCAAGATCTAAATTCTAAAACTAATTTATATTCTAATATTTACTTCTCAGCTTCGCTTAAAATCTCTGATTCCATTTTAAATTCCCCGCATCAACCAAAACAGTCCAGATTTTTAAACTAAAAATACAGTTAGATTCTATAATGTAACGAAAACGGTCACTGGTACATCTCTAAATAAGTAAATATCAAACACAAAGAGACTAGCATATTTTTTGCATAAAAACAAAATGAAGCAATTATAAATAGGTATATATTGAAATATTTTATGAATTGAATAGTTACCACATTTAAATCTGCACATTTTCTTCGATGGATTTTTTCCAATTTGTACTATCTGTATTGCCGTATTGACAAAGACTGAACTATTTCATAATATTTTTTATGAAGTTTCAGTTTCATCAACTGCTATTTGTCTAGATCTATGATGTTCTTAAAAGATACATTTATTTTAAGATATTAAATATTTGCTAGAATCTATATTGCCTTAATCAATATTGATCTTACTTTGTTTTTACTACTATAATAATTTTCCTTTTCTAAGCCAATTTATGACATTTTGATCAGGCCATATTTTTTTTCCAGTACATTTCTTTCAATTTCTTTCAAAACTCGGTAGGCCTAATGCTATTAATTTCATTTATTTTGTATTTCATTTACTGATTAAGGCCTATACAAATTAAAGAAAAATTTGGAACCATAATAAATAATAAAGTTAATGAAAAACCCCCCTCTTTAGATCTTACTTACTCTTTAGTTTAGGGACTTTTTTTTAGACTTTAGGCCTAGATCTACTAGCCACTAGGACTAGGGCATAGGCCTAGTTATACACTATACTATATTAAATATAGTACTATATAGTTATAGTATAATAAATATAGTATATTTATTATACTATAACTATATAGTACTATATACTATAGGCCTATAGTATATAGATCTATATATAAAATATTTAATATATTGTAACATTGTTACTGTTGTATTGATTAGGATTAAACACATTTAAAATTTAAACATTTTCATTTGACTTGTGGTAAAATTTTAGTTTAGCGTCGTAAATTGCAACGTAGAATATTTTATCAAAATATACGAAAATATACTTATATTTAATGATACATTCATTAATTCACTCTCTCCCACATAAGCCACATTACTAGTTTTGGCCGAATTTACAACGCTTAACTAAGATTTTACCTTACTTTTTACTATTACTATAGTATAATAGTATAATACTATTTACTCATTTATTTAGTTAGTTAGCCCTACTCTACTCTTTGAAAGTTAAATATTAGGGCCTAAATATTAAATACGTATAATATATTATAAGTAAGACTACTACATACAGTGTGTCACTAAAAACTAAGTTTAGTAATAGTAAGTACTAAGTAAGCGTCTTTCTTTCTTCAATGGCTTTATGATTATTAATATTGTCTCTTTACTGAGTCTTTGATTCTTTCTTTACTTTAGTTAGTAAATACTTAAATACTTTAAATTATTAAATAGGTATGTATCGCCCTATGTCACCCCATGCCCTACTAGAATCTAGATCTATTAAACTATGCTTAGGCCTATATAAAATCAAATCTTGCAAGCATTGTTATCAGAACCGAATAACTTATTATTAATTTATTAAATATGCAATAGGTATATTTTATATACTTTAAAAATGCAATTTAAAAAAATAAAAACTAATCTGATTATGTTATTTATTAATGATGTAATATAGTTTTAAAGTAAAGAAAATGGAAGAGCTAACAGATGCATTGGCTGGAAGTTTTGAAATCAGCAAGGAACCCAACAAAACTTCAGCACCTCATCCAAGATTTTCACAATACAAACAGAAAACATCCAGCTCAGATCAAGACTCTCGTCGCAAAAAATTGCTTGAAATACAAAAAAGGTAATTCAAATGTGATGGATACTTGTAATATGAGAAAGCTTTTGGGAAGAATTTAAGCTGTTTTGGCTAGAATCCCTACCCTGATTGTAAATCTAATCCATTTTTTTTTTAGACACAGATTTGATTTTGTGAATCATGTAAGAAAATTGACAGAAGGAGACTGGCAAAGCAGTTCACAAGAATTAGAAGAAAACATTGAAAATGAAGAGGAAATGGATGTAGAAGTCAAATTACACAAACCTGGGCGCTATTATAAAGACCAAGTAATCATGATGGCATTAAATAGAATTTAAATGCTAAACATTAAAATTTGATGGTCACATTGATAATTTATATGTAACAAAACATTTCTATCAGAATTAACCTTTTAAGAATTTTTCCCTTTAGTTAATGTTATCAGAATGGCTGGTAGAAGTGCCTAGTGATTTCAGCACAGAATGGTTAACTGTACTCTGTCCTGTGGCCAAGCGATGTCTTGTTGTAGCTTCAAAGGTGAGTACCTTCAGACAGTGGATATTGCTATAATACTTAGGTTGTTTGTTTTATTTCTGCTTGTATTACAAATTATGCATTAAATAACTTAAATTAAATAAAAACATTAAATAAAATTTTACAAATTGTTTTACTACAGGCTTTAGCAGTTTTACAAGTTTACAATGTATTAAAAATCATTTTTTTTCTTACAGGGAACCACTAGAGCCTATACCAAAAGTGGCCATTGTATCAACTCATTTCCCTCACATTTACCAGGAGGGTATCGTAAAAATGCTGATAAAGGTAAGATATCTTGATCACCTGGTGATTGTTAGATGCTAAATGTTTGTAGATTACATTTATAAGTTTTTGTCACACTTCTGATTTTTATTTTGAAAAGTAAGAAATGTCTTAGCATTTTGAATGATTTATCTATATTTTACATTTCAGTTAGTGTTATTTCTTCATAACAATTTTATGTTTATTAAAAAAATGTATTTTTATTTAATTAGATACAACCATTCTAGACTGCCTGTATAGTGAAGCAAATCGAACGTACTATATTCTAGATTTGATGTGTTGGAATGGTCACACGGTTTACGATTCTGAGGTTTGACTTTGCCCTTGTCATTTTATGTCTAATTTTGGAACTATTTTTTTATATTATACAAAATTGTACTTCTGTATTTTAGTCAGGTTAATAAATAATAACATTATGTTTTGGAATATTTCAGACAGAGTTCCGCTTTTATTGGTTGCACGAAAAATTGAAAGAGTTTTCAAGCCTCAGTTCATCATCAAACACAAATCCTGTGAGTATTTCATCTCAATAGTAATAAATCATTTGACAGGAATATTTCACCATCTTTATTAATGAATATTATATTTAAAACTTTCTAGTACATATTCATTGGTCTGCCTAGTTTTCATTGCACACAAGAAGACATAGCACTAGCAGTTTCAAGTGCAGAATTTGAGGCAAGTTTTTCATTTCTATTTTCAAGTTTTTAATTTCTTTTTTTATTTAACTAGCTAAAACAAAACTTTAAAAAAAATTAAACATACAAGTTACACAAACAATTTTATATTTTAGATTGATGGTGTTTTGTTTTACCACAAGCGAACCCATTACACATTTGGCAGCACACCACTAGTTGTTTGGTTAAAGCCTTACATGCTGCAGGAAATTTTGGGGATAGCTGTACCAGAGCATCAGATGACCCATAGGCCGGAGGGTTATAGCAACTATGCTGCTCACATGAAAAAGGTGGGTTCAGCCTTCATTGGGTTTATGATGTTGTGTAGACCTACATGCTAGTCTTTTAAAAATGCTAGTTGGCTGAAGTTGGATCCAAGCTTAAGACTGGTTATTTCTTTGTTTAGCCTAATTAAATCTGCTGTGTGAGAACTGATAATCCCTAATATTGTGTGAAAAAAGTTTATTAACTTGGTAAAAATTATGTTTATTAGGTGGAGGAAGACAAATTAAATCAAGAGAAAAAGTCATCAAACAGAGGCAGGAGGAAAAATAACAGGAAAAAGCAAAGTGCCATGGAAACATCTAGCCAAGATGTGGACAATATACCCACTAGTGAAGTGAATGCTGTGACATTGGTTGCCTAGTGACAATGATTGTCCTGTAACAAGGGATCAGTTTACTCTGAAAGACTCACACACAACAGATGTTGAATCATATGCAAAATCCACTTTGTTTGGCACCAACATGTTTATACAATACACTAGCTCAGAATTTCTGCTTCATCTGTATAGCTGTGTTCTACATAAAGATAGTTGGCCAGTTAGTGGTTCTCATAGTGCAGACAGGGATGATTGTATTTCACACAACTCTTTAAACACATCCACTCATATCTTGCTCAAAAATAACTTAAGTTGTTGACTGATTTGGGTATGTTTAAATTTTTTTAAATCTGTCTAGCTATTGTGTGGATGAGTTAATTTTATTGTAACATATTTCTTACAGTTTTTTTAGATTGTTTTATTCTGCTCTTTTTAAAATTATTAATGTTTTAACTTATATTAGGTGAAACCTACATATATTGAAGTAAACATTTATTTATTATTTAAATCTCTTGTGTTTTCTTAGTAATATTCAACAGTCTTAGAACTGGAATAATCTTTGAGGGATGTGCTTCAAGTTATTCAAGAAAATAGGTCTAGGCTGAGAGGTCATGGTTTCAAAGTATGAACTGTGTCTTTTATAAAATGTTTGCTTTCTTCCATCTTTTATGCTTTCACCATCATAGAATTTGAACTATTTATTATAGAACATTTTTTTTTAGTTAAAATGTTTATTTTTACTCAGTATAATAATACAGACAAAATAATTGGATAAAAATTAAGTATCACAGATTTGCAATTTTCATGTTAAATATTTTATTAACACAAAAGTTAGAACAACAACCCTTTTGAATACAACTACAGTAGATTTTTTTTACTCATCGTTATCTAAAAATTTTTAATCACAAGAAAAAATTGTAGAAATAAAATTAAAGCTGATCTGTACTCAAAACCAACAAAGAATTTTGAGAAGAATTCTTGACAATTTGTACTAATTGTACTAGATTTCCAGAATAAAAAAACTTGGAATAGAAACCATTAATTAAGGTGACTTCTGTTATTGATATTGTCATATAAATGTGGATTAGGCATATTTAGTTTTCACAAAAAAAATTATTAAAATAAATTACAAATAGTATATTCTGTCAACTCTGGAGATAGTTAAAAATACTGTTAGGTTAGGCCTAGGTTAGTCTCAATAGTTGTGCATATGAAACAAGAATATAATGAATATCATTGCAAGAAAAATTTAAAGGACCAATCCAAGCATGGAACATTAAATTAGCCAATTCTATCAGAAAATATGAGCGAACTGGACATTTTATTGAGAACATAAGCAAATTGGCCTATTCTATCAGGAAACAATTAACTCGTTCTATTAGTGGACATTGCTAATTAGGAACATACAACTGATAAAATCAGATAACATACTTTCCAAAAGGGCATGATGGATTGATTGTAACTAAATCATCACAAAAACACAATGAACGTTGCTTCAAAAGCCACATGAATACTGGAAATATTGGTTCAACAGCTTTTTGACCACTGACATAAAGTTTAACAGTTCAATGCATAGAATAATGCATGTTTTAAACACTTCTCATCATCTAACTAACAATATAGTACAACAATTCACATGAAATAAATCTTTAGAGTAACATTTTATGCCAGTTAAATTACTAGATATCACATTCCTGCTTCACAGTTTGCTAGTCAATACTGGAAAATAATGCATGCTAGTTAAAAAAAAATCATTTGTATCACATTTCTGATTCAGCAGTTACCTGGGCAATACTGGAAAACATTGCATGCTAGTTAAAATAAATAAAAAATAATTCGTATTAAATTCCTGATTCAGCAGTTAGCTGGGCAATACTGGACAATGTTAAAAGTGTTCTTCTCAGAGCCAACAGGTGTGGAGGCTGATTGCTGGGTAAAGGTATAGTGTAGAGCCTGGTGGAGTCTGAGTGCAGGTCAGGCTGCTGACTGCTGTAGAGTGGACACTGGTACACGTCTGCTTGTTGTGTCTGGCTGGGTAAACTACTGGCCTGTAGACACAAGGTGGGGAACGGCTGGCAGGAACTGGTGCAGGTGCTGGGGTCAATGAGGAGGTGGTGTTTACTATCCCATGATGCATTCTTCAGTTGAAGTCCAGTTATGTAAACACCTTGCTCAGCTTTCACTGTAGCATTGAAATCATCTGGCATCACCTGTTTTAGAATAGTTTGACATTTCTATGAGACTTAGAGAGTAAAAGTAGAATAAAATATACTCTTGTTGTGTTAAATTATGAGATGAGGGGGGGGGGGGGGAAATTAGGTAAAACATTCTTTCTTCCCTTCAAAACATAAGTAGAGTTATCCTGTACCTTTAAACCAAGGCTTACGAGAGAACCAAAATCACTACACTCAGCTTTATAAAAATGGAAGGGACCCACATAAACTAAACTTGAGATTTTTACATTTTTAGGTTAGAAATCATGCGCTCTCTCAACCAACCAAAGCTCAGATAGTCTAGTCAAATAGAATCAGTTCTGTAAACAAATCTTTGATGAACTTTAAGAAATTTTTAATGACCTGAAAATCCAAAGCAATGTGAACAATGTCCTGGAAGTTGTTCCTTGCAAACATCTGCATGGCAACTGTGAACAGCTTATCTGGCCTGAGGAACATAGGAAGTGCCAGGACTGTTGGTGTCTGTCTCAGACATGAGTTGATGTACGCCATCTTGGCTGGTAGTTCAGACATCCACTGTTTCAGGCTGCTGCATGTGACATATGTCATGTGTAGCCAGGAACTTGGGATTCTGTCATTGCAGATGTCATCAAGAACAGATGCCATTTTGGCTGTCAGGGATGTTCCATTGTTTACAGCCCCTTGTAAGATGTTCAGGTCACTCTAGGAAATTAAAAATACAATGCTTCCAATAAATTGTTCATTTCAATAAACAATAAAAGTATAGTGCTTTTTAAAAATAAGGAATATCTTCAAACTATTGCTTTTTCCAATACAAATATAAATTTTAATTTTAGCTAACGTTTATAAGTTTGAAAAAAAGGGAAATAAACACCAAACTATTACTTTTTGAATACAAATTTAAATTTGATAAATAAATTAATAATTGAAGCAATTTATAAAAATGGGAGGATACATATCAAACTATTTTTTCCAATGCAAAATTACATTTTAATTTTAACAAATAATTATACCAAATAGGTTTTTAGATAGGAAATAACCATCAAACTCTTATTTTTCTTTCCAATATAAAATTTATTCTGATAAACTATTGCAGATAGCTGACATTTTCCCCCAAAGAATATTTCTAAAAAAAATATTATCAATATATTTTCCATCTAATTCTTAAAGTAAGGGCTTTCCATACCTCAATGAAAGTCTTGAGTTTTCTGTAGCCCTCTGCTTCTTGAGAGAAGAATGCATCTAAAGGTAAAATTTGAGCTGTTGAAGTTTTGGGCAAATCTGGACAAAGTGACAAACTGTCTGATATTGTTTGCAGGACAGCAGATGTCACTGAGATACTTGACCCCCTGGGAGGGTCAGACATTAGAAGTTCTGGGGCTCCAGTTGCTTGAACAAATTCTTTGAGGAAAACTCTTGAAAAAAATAGAAAAATAATTTGTGTTGACATTTTTTATAAGAATCAAACAATTTTTAAAACATTTCTGTATAGAGAAAAAAAATGATTACCTGCTCTTGTTTCTATAGTGTAACTCTTCAACTTCTTCTGGAAGACAGAAACATCTAGCAGACGTGTCTTCAATGGAATCTAAAGTTTTCATAATATCATTTGTCTTCAAATAATTCTCAGTTAGCTTTTGAAGAAGAAGTTCAAATCCTTTGTTGTGGTGTATATCCTTCTGTGAATCAATTGTCATTGTTAAACATGATTTCACACAGACATAAGTGACTTAATGCTGTTTGTAAACATTATCTGCACATTATTTAAATCTGATTTTCACGACTAACTGATGATATAAGCAGTACCAGACAAACATTTTCTGCCTACAGTCCTCACCTGAGTCTCACCAAGTATGGCAGAAAGTGCCAGACTGTTAGCAACTGCTTCAACACACTGCACTTCAGATCTATCCTGATGACAGAAATTATAATCAGAAGAGTGAATGTTATTTTAAATCTGTTTAACAGAAGAAAAAGACAATGGTATGATTGGCTGACCTCACAATGTCTTGTGTACACCTGGCCTATCATTTCTGCTAAAGCTAGTTTATCTGACGTCCAGGAATTCAGACTTTGTAGAATGTCCACTGCTGTGACTAGGTCATTCAATGTCCAAAGTTTGTGGGTGACAAAAGCCTGGTGTCCAAAGTAGCTTTGTTGTACAAGTATGGCATGCAGTAGGGCTAAAGGCATCACTGACTTAAATCTCTGCTCCTGCCATGACAAGAAATGGTGGGAGAGTTAAAACTGATTAGTTTCAGCTTTCAAGCATCAAGTTGGGCAGGTATGGTAGCAGAGGTGACACCTTGATTAATTTCAGCTGCATTATAACTTTTATTGTTTGCGATTACATTCTACATCTAAACAACACACTAACTGAGCTATACAGCTGCTGCATAGCAATGTTGTAAAATATAATTTAAAGAAACAATTGAGATAATTACATTAGGCTTTAATAAAAAGAAGAAACTACATGTATACAAGCCTTAAAATATTTTTGTGTGATAATGAAAGTTTAAACAATAAATATTGAAGAAAAAATAGAACAGGTTTATAAGGCTACCTGTCCCATGTTATCAGCGCTCAGGTTCCTGGTCATCAAGAAAGCTGCAGATTTGTAGGACTTGGCCAGGAGGTTGTGGAAGTTTGCAGTGACCTCACAGGTCACACGGAGACCATGCTGGATAAGTAACCCTGGGGGAAAGAGAACATGCTGGATAAGTAACCCTGGGGGAAAGAGAACATGCTGGATAAGTAACCCTGGGGGAAAGAGGCCATGCTGGATAAGTAATCCTGGGGGAAAGAGAACATGCTGGATAAGTAACCCTGGGGGAAAGAGAACATGCTGGATAAGTAACCCTGGGGGAAAGAGAACATGCTGGATAAGTAACCCTGGGGGAAAGAGAACATGCTGGATAAGTAACCCTGGGGGAAAGAGGCCATGCTGGATAAGTAATCCTGGGGGAAAGAGAACATGCTGGATAAGTAACCCTGGGGGAAAGAGACCATGCTGGATAAGTAACCCTGGGGGAAAGAGGCCATGCTGGATAAGTAACCCTGGGGGAAAGAGGCCATGCTGGATAAGTAATCCTGGGGGACATAGACCATGCTGGATAAGTAACCCTGGGGGAAAGATACCATGCTGGATAAGTAACCCTGGGGGAATTAGACAATGCTGGATAAGTAACCCTGGGGGACAGAGAACATGCTGGATAAGTAACCCTGGGGGACAGAGAACATGCTGGATAAGTAACCCTGGGGGAAAGAGAACATGCTGGATAAGTAACCCTGGGGGAAAGAGAACATGCTGGATAAGTAACCCTGGGGGAAAGAGAACATGCTGGATAAGTAACCCTGGGGGAAAGAGAACATGCTGGATAAGTAACCCTGGGGGACAGAGAACATGCTGGATAAGTAACCCTCGGGGGAAAGAGGCCATGCTGGATAAGTAACCCTGGGACAGAGACCATGCTGGATAAGTAAACCTGGGGGAAAGAGAACATGCTGGATAAGTAACCCTGGGGGAAAGAGAACATGCTGGATAAGTAACCCTGGGGGAAAGAGAACATGCTGGATAAGTAACCCTGGGGGAAAGAGAACATGCTGGATAAGTAACCCTGGGGGAAAGTCCAGGTCAGAGTTAATCAGGTAATAATTAAACAATTAATATGCAGGTACTAGGGGCATATACATTAATATATATTTTAAGGTAAATATTAAAACTGCAATTGCTAGATACAGACACTAATATATGCATTAGAGAGATTTCATATTCAAAATACAGTATCATTAAAATGTACATGGACAGGACACTAATTCAGAAAACCACATAGCAACTTCCACAAGCATAGAAATTCAGCCCATAAGATGAAGGAAAAATAATGGAAGACCACAAATGTATTGCGCTGCAGAAACCTTCATTAAATGTACTAGTTACAACCAGGTGCAAAACTAAAAACCAAATATAAGCAAAAGAAATATTTGATAAACCTATGTATAGTCTGAAGGTGCAGATCCAATTGATGTGCTAGACAAGATAATTAAATTTTCAAGTTTACCAGGCATCTCATGCTCTGCTTGTGAGGTTATCCATAGCCTGAAAGAGTTATGGATCTTAGATGAAAAGGACTGAGAGACTGTCTGAGATCTAGCCACCAGTTGTTTCCCTTCAGCTGGGTGGTCTCCCTTGTCTGCAGTCTCATCCTCCACCCAGCGGGAGTAGATGATGTCCTGGATGAGCAAACAATGAGTTTAGTCCCTTACAACTAATTTACATGGGTTCATTTTTACTTTCTCGAATACAGAGTATAGAGAAAGTATTGTAATCGTGCAAAAAAAAAAATCGAGATTTTTGCAAATCTTGATGTTTTACAGCTCCCTAAGTCAGAAAAACATGGTTTTGCAATCTTGTCTGTATGTCTGTGTGTGTGTATGTGTGTGTGTATGTGTGTTTGTGAACACGATAACTTGAGTACTGTTACAGCTAGCTTGAAGAAATTTTATATACAAGTATTATATCAAATTTGTAGTTCTGTATCAACTTTTCAGCGATTTCCAACAACCGGAAGTGGAACTTTTTCTACTTTCAATTTTTCAAAAGCCTATAACTTGAGTACTATTTCAGATAAATGAAATTTCACATGTAAGTAAAAGATCTAATTCTCTGCCTTCTGTCAAATTTTGAGTAATTTCCGTTGACCGGAAGTAGTAATTTATGCTATTTCCAATTTCTCAAAAAACGAATGTGAATTTATAAAGTACTAATAATATTCCGTAGTGTTATATAAGAATAATTTGAGAAAGTTTAGGGGAGATCACTCCCGGTTTATTTATTATTGAAATCTGTCATAACACTTTTAGAACAGATAATGTCCTAAAACCAGTACCACAACAACAGTTCTGGTCAACTACCACAACAGCTGTCCAGTACTAAAACAGTTCTGGTGAACTCCCCTCCCCACCCAACAGCTCTGTCCAGTACCACAACAACAATTCTGTTGTTCTATTCCCATTCTGTTCAAATCACTTTGATTAATTTACTTGACGAATGTTTTTTTTTACCTTGAGCAAATGAAAAAAGTGCTGGTCAATCCGTGTAGCCAGGTGATAATTTTGTAAGAGCAGCCAGTGCCCAGCCGCCATGCTGTCTTCCAGAGCTCGGCTGATTTCAGGCAGTTGAGAGTCTGCCCCAAAGTTGAGGATACAAACTTTCCCCTCCATCCCCACCTCCCTGGCCAGACGCTGGATCTCGTGGGCGGGGCTGATGTAAGGAATGCCTTCACAACAAAGTAAAATAAGGTTTCATCTTTAATGCCTTCACAACAAAGTAAAGTAAGGTTTCATCTTTAATGCCTTCACAACAAAGTAAAATAGGGTTTCATCTTTAATGCCTTCACAACAAAGTAAAGTAAGGTTTCATCTTTAATGCCTTCACAACAAAGTAAAATAGGGTTTCATCTTTAATGCCTTCACAACAAAGTAAAGTAAGGTTTCATCTTTAATGCCTTCACAACAAAGTAAAGTAAGGTTTCATCTTCAATGCCTTCACAACAAAGTAAAGTAAGGTTTCATCTTCAATGCCTTCACAACAAAGTAAAGTAAGGTTTCATCTTTAATGCCTTCACAACAAAGTAAAGTAAGGTTTCATCTTTAATGCCTTCACAACAAAGTAAAATTAGGTTTCATCTTTAATGCCTTCACAACAAAGTAAAATTAGGTTTCATCTTTAATGCCTTCACAACAAAGTAAAATTAGGTTTCATCTTTAATGCCTTCACAACAAAGTAAAATAAGCTTTCATCTTTAATAAACTAGCTAAATTTCATTTTATCACTTTATTCTTTTTGTGAGTCATGAAAAATTTGGTAAAAACTAGAACCATAAATACTATATTATATAAATGTGTCATGATAAAAATCATTAAGTCAAAGGGTAATTTTAATACTATAAGGCAATTATTTAAAAGTTCTTTTCATTTTTATAACATTGTAGCAAAAATGTATAAGGAAAACAAAAAGCTACTAAGCAAATCTTAATTATAGATAAATTATACGCCAGAATTAGGTTAGTAATTGTTAAAAATTAAATAAATATTGTGGTTCAAACTTGTGTCTTGCTTATTTCTAACTTGTGTTTAACTTATGTCTAACAGTCTTTATGTCTAACTTGTTTTTATCTTGTACCTAGCTTGTGTTTAACTTGTGTCTACTTCATGTCTAACTTGTGTCTAACTGGTGTCTATATGGTCTAGATCTAGAGCCGCCTACCATTAGTTCCATCCACAAGTTGGCCAGACGAGGGGAAGAGAAAGATGGTGGGTGTGTGCTGGTCTGTGTAAGCGTAGACCTCTCTTATATCATAGTTACTGGCTGCTTCAACAGCACTCCCCAGTTCATACAAAACTATTTGTTTGGACAGTTCTAAAATCTGAAGAAAAAAAACAAGAAATTGTAACGTTTAATAATTCAACAGCACTCCCCAGTTCATACAAAACTATTTGCTTGGACAGTTCTAAAATCTGAAGAAAAAAAACAAGAAATTGTAACGTTTAAAAATTCAACAGCACTAACCAGTTCATACAAAACTATTTGTTTGGACAGTTCTAAAATCTGAAGAAAAAAAACAAGAAATTGTAACGTTTAATAATTCAACAGCACTACCCAGTTCATACAAAACTATTTGTTTGGACAGTTCTAAAATCTGAAGAAAAAAAACAAGAAATTGTAACGTTTAATAATTCAACAGCACTAACCAGTTCATACAAAACTATTTGTTTGGACAGTTCTAAAATCTGAAGAAAAAAAACAAGAAATTGTAACGTTTAATAATTCAACAGCACTACCCAGTTCATACAAAACTATTTGCTTGGACAGTTCTGAAATCTGAAGAAAAAAAACAAGAAATTGTAACGTTTAATAATTCAACAGCACTACCCAGTTCATACAAAACTATTTGTTTGGACAGTTCTAAAATCTGAAGAAAAAAAACAAGAAATTGTAACGTTTAATAATTCAACAGCACTACCCAGTTCATACAAAACTATTTGTTTGGACAGTTCTAAAATCTGAAGAAAAAAAACAAGAAATTGTAACGTTTAATAATTCAACAGCACTACCCAGTTCATACAAAACTATTTGCTTGGACAGTTCTGAAATCTGAAGAAAAAAAACAAGAAATTGTAACGTTTAATAATTCAACAGCACTCCCCAGTTCATACAAAACTATTTGCTTGGACAGTTCTAAAATCTGAAGAAAAAAAACAAGAAATTGTAACGTTTAATAATTCAACAGCACTACCCAGTTCATACAAAACTATTTGCTTGGACAGTTCTAAAATCTGAAGAAAAAAAACAAGAAATTGTAACGTTTAATAATTCAACAGCACTACCCAGTTCATACAAAACTATTTGCTTGGACAGTTCTAAAATCTGAAGAAAAAAAACAAGAAATTGTAACGTTTAATAATTCAACAGCACTACCCAGTTCATACAAAACTATTTGCTTGGACAGTTCTAAAATCTGAAGAAAAAAAACAAGAAATTGTTACGTTTAATAATTCAACAGCACTACCCAGTTCATACAAAACTATTTGCTTGGACAGTTCTAAAATCTGAACAAAAAAAACAAGAAATTGTAACGTTTAATAATTCAACAGCACTACCCAGTTCATACAAAACTATTTGCTTGGACAGTTCTAAAATCTGAAGAAAAAAAAAAAAGAAATTGTAACTTTACATAATTTAACAATCTATTGTATTTAATTTTGAAAAGGTTTAAGATGAAATTGAAACTATACCTTTTGTGGGCAAACAAATTTCCAGAGCAGACATTTCTGGAAGAAACTTAAGTCTTGTAGTGTGGTTCCTGGCACTGTGTTGACTAGGCTAATCTGATGCTGGAGTGGACATTCATTGATTCACATTAGTGTATTCAGTGTAAGACAGTTTATGTAATGTAGACATGTAATATAGACATTTTTTTTTATGACTGTCGCATGTTTATAAGCTAAGTGTTACTTAGTCAATATTTCATGTGAGGCATGAGATGATGGGTACTAGTACTGGCTGAGTGATGAGATGATGGGTACTAGAACTGGCTGAGTGATGAGATGATGGATACTAGAACTGGCTGAGTGATGAGATGATGGGTACTAGAACTGGCTGAGTGATGAGATGATGGGTACTAGTACTGGCTGAGTGATGAGATGATGGGTACTAGAACTGGCTGAGTGATGAGATGATGGGTACTAGAACTGGCTGAGTGATGAGATGATGGGTACTAGTACTGGCTGAGTGATGAGATGATGGGTACTAGAACTGGCTGAGTGATGAGATGATGGGTACTAGAACTGGCTGAGTGATGAGATGATGGGTACTAGAACTGGCTGAGTGATGAGATGATGGGTACTAGTACTGGCTGAGTGATGAGATGATGGGTACTAGAACTGGCTGAGTGATGAGATGATGGGTACTAGAACTGGCTAGAACTGGCTGAGTGATGAGATGATGGGTACTAGTACTGGCTGAGTGATGAGATGATGGGTACTAGAACTGGCTGAGTGATGAGATGATGGGTACTAGTACTGGCTGAGTGATGAGATGATGGGTACTAGAATTGGCTGAATAAAGGATGAGATGATGGGTACTAGTACTGGCTGAGTGATGAGATGATGGGTACTAGAACTGGCTGAGTGATGAGATGATGGGTACTAGTACTGGCTGAGTGATGAGATGATGGGTACTAGAACTGGCTGAATAAAGGATGAGATGATGGGTACTAGAACTGGCTGAGTGATGAGATGATGGGTACTAGAACTGGCTGAATAAAGGATGAGATGATGGGTACTAGTACTGGCTGAGTGATGAGATGATGGGTACTAGAATTGGCTGAGTGATGACATGATGGGTACTAGAACTGGCTGAATAAAGGATGAGATGATGGGTACTAGTACTGGCTGAGTGATGAGATGATGGGTACTAGAACTGGCTGAGTGATGAGATGATGGGTACTAGAACTGGCTAAGTGATGAGATGATGGGTACTAGAATTGGCTGAGTGATGACATGATGGGTACTAGAACTGGCTGAATAAAGGATGAGATGATGGGTACTAGAACTGGCTGAGTGATGAGATGATGGGTACTAGAACTGGCTGAGTGATGAGATGATGGGTACTAGAACTGGCTGAGTGATGAGATGATGGGTACTAGAACTGGCTGAATAAAGGATGAGATGATGGGTACTAGAACTGGCTGAGTGATGAGATGATGGGTACTAGTACTGGCTGAGTGATGAGATGATGGGTACTAGAACTGGCTGAGTGATGAGATGATGGGTACTAGTACTGGCTGAGTGATGAGATGATGGGTACTAGAACTGGCTGAATAAAGGATGAGATGATGGGTACTAGTACTGGCTGAGTGATGAGATGATGGGTACTAGAACTGGCTGAGTGATGAGATGATGGATACTAGAACTGGCTGAGTGATGAGATGATGGGTACTAGAACTGGCTGAATAAAGGATGAGATGATGGGTACTAGAACTGGCTGAGTGATGAGATGATGGGTACTAGAACTGGCTGAGTGATGAGATGATGGGTACTAGAACTGGCTGAGTGATGAGATGATGGGTACTAGAATTGGCTGAGTGATGAGATGATGGGTACTAGAACTGGCTGAGTGATGAGATGATGGGTACTAGAATTGGCTGAGTGATGACATGATGGGTACTAGAACTGGCTGAATAAAGGATGAGATGATGGGTACTAGTACTGGCTGAGTGATGAGATGATGGGTACTAGAACTGGCTGAGTGATGAGATGATGGGTACTAGAATTGGCTGAGTGATGAGATGATGGGTACTAGAACTGGCTGAATAAAGGATGAGATGATGGGTACTAGTACTGGCTGAGTGATGAGATGATGGGTACTAGAACTGGCTGAGTGATGAGATGATGGGTACTAGAATTGGCTGAGTGATGACATGATGGGTACTAGAACTGGCTGAATAAAGGATGAGATGATGGGTACTAGAACTGGCTGAATAAAGGATGAGATGATGGGTACTAGAACTGGCTGAGTGATGAGATGATGGGTACTAGTACTGGCTGAGTGATGAGATGATGGGTACTAGAACTGGCTGAATAAAGGATGAGATGATGGGTACTAGAACTGGCTGAATAAAGGATGAGATGATGGGTACTAGAACTGGCTGAGTGATGAGATGATGGGTACTAGAACTGGCTGAGTGATGAGATGATGGGTACTAGTACTGGCTGAGTGATGAGATGATGGGTACTAGAACTGGCTGTATAAAGGATGAGATGATGGGTACTAGTACTGGCTGAGTGATGAGATGATGGGTACTAGAACTGGCTGAGTGATGTTCTCACATGAAAATATTCCTTCCACTGCTGGGAGTTGGTGACTAGTGAGTGACAGAGTCCCTGGAACTGGTGGTGGAGAGACTCCAAGATGCTGCAGTCTATCCAGGCCTGAAACAAAACATTGCTCAGCTTTTAGATGTGTGGTCAAGCTTAACAGTTGTCCAGTATGTAATCCTTGTCGATCTTTGAAGATCTTTCATGGTTGTATCAAGTGAGGTGTGTGTATGTGGGGAGAGGGGGGGTCTTTTAAACCAACAAAAGTTCATGATTTGAATAAATATAAGTTAAGCAATTAGCTGTCTTAAAAAAAAATTTAAAAAAAAAACACACACAATTAAAAAAAAAAAATTACTAAGAGAAGATTCAAATAATCTGAAAGTGAAAAGTCATAAAAATGCAAGGAGGGTTGGGAATTTCCCAAAGAAATCTGTGATATCACCCATACTTATGGAGTGGAAACCGGATCGCCCCAACTTACAGTGGCATCCATCCAATCAGGTTTTTGTTCAGCCAGACTGGAATCATCCAGCCCCTGCTTGACAAAGCCATTGACAAAAAGACTGAGCTCTTTACTGCTGGCCTTGTGGTGGCGCAGCATTCGCTCCAGAGAGATGAGCAGCAACAGCAGGCTGTAGTGCTGTTCAAACATCATCAGCTTGACATACTTCAGGACAGCGTGGAGGACAGCATCAGACAGCTCTTGAGCTCTTGCCTGAGGGGTGCCTAGGGGACATAACTTAGTCATTATTTAGGGGACATAAATCAGTCATTAATAAGGGTACATAACTCACTTATAAGAGGACAAAACTCACATGGAGTAGAGGTCAGGAAATTGATAAACAAAAAGTATATTTAAATAGCTTATTTTAAATCCTGTTCACATTCATATATATATTTTCTTGGATTTTTTATAAGTAAAAGGAAAATATTGAAATTTTTAAAATTTAAATTTTAAAATTAAACATAACAAAATATATAACCTTATGTATTCACATTTTATAGAATGTTTTATGTAAAGAAAAAAAGTTACCTAGGCTTCCCTTCCCCCTATCTCTGCTTTTGATGACATCAGCAAACATCTGAACAAACTTGTAGAATGGCAGATAGTAGCATGGGTAAAGTGCAGACATCTTGTGCAACACATTGTACAACATAGCAGAGTGCCTAATAAAGGGAGAGTAATGGGAAAACTTTCCGTGCAAGTGATCTCCCATGAATCGTGTTTCTTGCAAGATCTGCCGGTTGTGTTCCACATTAGTCTGACAGACAAGTAAACTATCCAGCATGGTCTTGTCCTCCAGCAGAGGGCCAGTTAAATTCAAGGTTTTCTCACGGATGATTTCCTATAACAGTTTGTTGAATAAATAAAAACATTACTGCTAATTTGTATGAGATAGTAAAACAATTATTTATGTACAAAAACAAACCTAACATTAATACCATGGCAAATGTAATATATAAAATACCAGACCAGCTGAGGTTTAACCTTAAGAGAAAGCTAATTAAAATACCAATCCCATAAACTAATTTAAAATTTGATTTCATTAAGACAGCCAATTAAAATACCAACCCTATAAACTAATTTAAAATTTAATTTAATTAAGACAGCCAATTAAAATACCAACCCTATAAACTAATTTAAAATTTAATTTAATTAAGACAACTAATTAAAGTAAAATCTCACATGCTCCCTGGCCAGCCGCTGACGATGAAGTATGATGTCATTTTCATTAGATCGTCTCTGACCCTCAAATTCTTTTTTCTCAACCTTCATCGTCTCCGACATCAGGTGGTTGATGATGGCCTCGTCGCTGACGGCCATGTTGATCACACATACACGGTTCAGGGGGATGCTGTACAGGCCATCACCTAGGGTGGGGAATGGTTGATACAATCTTCACACAAACACACACACAAACACACACACCCAAACACACACACGGTTCAGGGGGATGCTGTACAGGCCATCACCTAGGGTGGGGAATGGTTGATACAATCTTCACACAAACACACACACAAACACACACACCCAAACACACACACGGTTCAGGGGGATGCTGTACAGGCCATCACCTAGGGTGGGGAATGGTTGATACAATCTTCACACAAATACACACACAAACATGCACACACAAACACACACACACCCAGACACACACACGGTTCAGGGGGATGCTGTACAGGCCATCACCTAGGGTGGGGAATGGTTGATACAATCTTCACACAAATATACACACAAACACACACACACCCAGACACACACACGGTTCAGGGGGATGCTGTACAGGCCATCACCTAGGGTGGGGAATGGTTGATACAATCTTCACACAAATACACACACAAACATGCACACACAAACACACACACACCCAGACACACACACGGTTCAGGGGGATGCTGTACAGGCCATCACCTAGGGTGGGGAATGGTTGATACAATCTTCACACAAATATACACACAAACACACACACACCCAGACACACACACGGTTCAGGGGGATGCTGTACAGGCCATCACCTAGGGTGGGGAATGGTTGATACAATCTTCACACAAATACACACACAAACATGCACACACAAACACACACACACCCAGACACACACACGGTTCAGGGGGATGCTGTACAGGCCATCACCTAGGGTGGGGAATGGTTGATACAATCTTCACACAAATATACACACAAACACACACACACCCAGACACACACACGGTTCAGGGGGATGCTGTACAGGCCATCACCTAGGGTGGGGAATGGTTGATACAATCTTCACACAAATACACACACACACAAATGCACACATGCAGGCACATTTCTATTACTAGTCAGCCATAAACTTTGAGTCATAACCTACTACCTATTCATTGCTAACAAAGATGAACTACATCCATTTACCTTTAACAAAGATAAACTACAAGCCAATTACCTTTAACAAAGAGTGGGATGGTAGTGCTGAGGTAGAGGCAGAAGCTGGGGTGAAAGTTGAAGGCCATGTCACCCACTTTGACAATTTTGTTTCCATCTTTGTCCACATAAAATTGCTTCAACAACAACCCTCGGAAAAATGGGTCCAGGGGTTTCCGCTCCAGGTGGGTCACTAGGACAGGTACACCTGAGGGGGAACATGAAATTCACTAGATACACCTGGACAAGTGGAATCTAAGAGCTAAACAAAAACAAACTGGAAAAAAATTCAAATGTTTCTTATAACTTTACAAAGTGAAGTATGACATTTTAAATTGTCCGTTTAAAACTAACTAATGACAAACAAGGGCATTAATGGGTCTGCTAAACCTACCATGAACAAGGGCATTAATGAGCCTAGTAAACCTACCATGGACAAGGGCATTAATGAGCCTGGTAAACCTACCTTGGACAAGGGCATTAATGAGCCTGCTAAACCTACCATGGACAAGGGCATTAATGAGCCTGGTAAATCTACCATGGACAAGGGCATTAATGAGCCTGGTAAACCTACCATTGACAAGGGCATTAATGAGCCTGGTAAACCTACCATGGACAAGGGCATTAATGAGCCTGGTAAACCTACCATGGACAAGGGCATTAATGAGCCTGGTAAACCTACCATGGACAAGGGCATTAATGAGCCTGGTAAACCTACCATGGACAAGGGCATTAATGAGCCTGGTAAACCTACCATGGACAAGGGCATTAATGAGCCTGGTAAACCTACCATGAACAAGGGCATTAATGAGCCTGGTAAACCTACCATGAACCAGGGCATTAATGAGCCTGGTAAACCTACCATGGACAAGGGCATTAATGAGCCTGGTAAACCTACCATGAACCAGGGCATTAATGAGCCTAGTAAACCTACCATGGACAAGGGCATTAATGAGCCTGGTAAACCTACCATGGACAATGGCATTAATGAGCCTGGTAAACCTACCATGAACCAGGGCATTAATGAGCCTGGTAAACCTACCATGAACCAGGGCATTAATGAGCCTAGTAAACCTACCATGAACCAGGGCATTAATGAGCCTAGTAAACCTACCATGGACAAGGGCATTAATGAGCCTAGTAAACCTACCATGGACAAGGGCATTAATGAGCCTGGAGTTGATGCTTGGATCGTCTGCCTCCAGCACCCAGAGACCAGCTTGTGTTGTGTCCAGCTCTGAGTCAGGGTGAAGGCTGTAGGTGTCCCAGCTGTTGGTCACAGAGGTCACAGGTCGGAGTTCATCACTGTCTCCTGTTCTCAGAGATGCTCCACCTCGACTAACAAATTAAACTTTTGTTTAGGTTAATTAGCAGCAGGGGTAGCTAGGTTTCTTAAAATTCATCAATACTAATTTGGTTAAAAATAATTATTATTATATTCTGATAAATTATTAATTAAGCTAATTAAACAACCCTACATGTACCTTGCTGAAGTTCGAGGCGTTGACCACTGATTGGATTCTGGGATTGTGTACTCGGTCATGTCAGAAAATGTCAACATTGTGCCTCGACTTGGTGGAGGGTCAAGTTTGGCCTCTTCATTTCTACTTTCATTTTCTTCTTCTATTGGAATCTCTATCGGAAAATCAGAACAAATGTATAACTTAGTGGGTGAAATCTATGACTTTGAACTTTTCAAACCATGTACAACTTAGTGCGTGAAATTCATTGCTTGCAACTTTGAAATGTTTTACTAATTTACAAAAGCTGAATATGTAATTGGTATAACTATAATATTTGGTTCACTTAATTTTAGTAAACTGGTTGTTTTGTACAACATTTTGACCAGAAGAAACAAGATAACATTAAGATAATATAAGTGTAAATTTTAAAAAATACCATCTTCAACAGGGAAATCAGCCACATCCTTCTGGGTAAAAATGTTTTGGTTTTTGTGCAAAGCTCTGACCCACATTTCTGCATGGTTATCTGGGTCAATCAGGAGTGGCCAGCAATGTTTGCGATTGTGGCAACACAGTCGCATCATTAGGGCATTCTGAATCTGTTTAAACAAATATCAAAGCATTCTGAATCTGTAGAAACAAATATCAAAGCATTCTGAATCTGTTGAAACAAATGTGGCAGTAGTGAGTTTACTAAATAATTCTAAAAATATAGAAAAGGGATAAAAGTGTAACCCAAAAACCACGAGAAACAAACAATGGGATTTCAACATTTTATTTGTTTAATTTTAATTTTGTTTTGGTTAAAAAGGAATTATTAGTGATGATTCTATTCATACGAGGTGTGTGTGCGCGTGTGTGTGTGTGTGTGGGGGGGGGGGGGGTGTTAACTGTAACATTAATAAAACAACAAGAATAGCTTATAATTTAGAAAACAAGAGGTTTAATCTAAAATGAAATGAGAAAAACAGCGAATGAGTGTAGGTTGAATATGAAATGAAATGAGAAAAACAGCTACTGAGTGTAGATTGAATATGAAATAAAATGAGAAAAACAGCTACTGAGTGTAGATTGAATATGAAATGAGAAAAACAGCTACTGAGTGTAGATTGAATATGAAATGAGAAAAACAGCTACTGAGTGTAGATTGAATATGAAATGAGAAAAACAGCTACTGAGTGTAGATTGAATATGAAATGAAATGAGAAAAACAGCTACTTAGTGTAGGTTGAATATAAAATAAAATGAGAAAAACAGCTACTGAGCGTAGGTTGAATATAAAATGAAATGAGAAAAACAGCTACTGAGTGCAGGTTGAATATAAAATGAAATAAACATTTACTGAGTGCAGATCTGTTGGTAGGTTGGACATCCTCCATTCACTCAGCTCATCAAAGTCAGACAAAATCTCCTGCAGGGTGAAGTTGGGTCGTGTGGGGAGGATGGTGTGCTCGTCCTCATCGTCTGAGTCCTCCAGCATGTCCTGCTCTGCCACCACACTCTCCATGGTGTCCTGTTTCCTCAGGTCAGACTTGTAGTACTTGCTGCTGTCATACACCGCTGACACGTACTTGAAGGTTTTCACCTGAGACAGACACTGCACTTAAATTACTGACATACATAACAATGCTTTCTCTGGGATTTTTCATTGTAATATTTAGTATACCCAAAGGCATTGTATTCAATATATGTTTTTAAAATGATGTTTTTAAATACCTCAGTAGCTTAAATTGTATTGCTCTAAGAAGCCAAATATTTTAAATGAACTATGATGCTAGAAAATGAATAATTTATGATAAATAATGCACTGAATCAATTTGATAATGTTAACAGGTGATTAGCCATATGGAGGCAGAAGCCTTTGGAATTGCACATGAGGAGGGAGGCACTAGGTGGGGAACACATTGCACAAGGCACACAATGAGACACTTCATGCACTGAAGTGGAGCCCTGGGGGGTGGGGGAGACAAAAGAGAGGCAGAGTCTTCTCAAATATCTAAAGAAATTACCACACAATAAAAGAACTAAGGACTAAAAAACTTGGAGATGGCAAAATACACAACAGGTGACCAGACAAAGTGGAGGATTATGGTTGATGCCTTATCTATGCGCACTGACAGGTGTAGAATTACCTGTGGACATGAGGAGCTGTGCTCACTGTGACAGGTACCACCCCCATGTGAGAAGGAAGTTGTTTGACTGCCATCACTCCGGAGCAAGCTCTGGTCCATCAAAAGTTCAAGGTCAGCTGTCATGGAATACGGCTCTCTGCGCTGGAAAGCCTGAGCGTCCAAAGTGTTTTGTTTGATGTGGTTCAGCCAGTCCTGGATCAGATCCAGCCTGGATTTGTCATCCAGTGGTCCATGGTAAGCAGCACAGGCTGCGGTGATGAGTGCATCTCCAGGTGCACTGGCCACGTGTTTGCGTGTTTTCTTAAGCTCTGAGCGCCACAGGAAATGTTGCATGGACATGTTCTCCATCAAGTTGTTGGCACGCACGATTCTTTTCTCAACCACCTGTTGGTTCAACAACATTTTACAGTTATTTTAATTGACAGCATGTGTGACAATATAATTGAATAATACAAATACAATTTCTATAACAATTAGCTATTCAAACAGTTGTATTGTACCTGAACAAAGAAACATTAGGTTCAATGATGTGGGATTTACCTGAATCTGCTTCTCTATAGCTTTAGACATCTTCATGGCTTCCTTGTGTTGGCTGATAAATTCTTCTAGGTTTGTTTTTTTCTTGTTTGCTTCAATACGCAGTTGGCCGAGCTGGGCTTGAGCCTTGAGTTGTAAGACATTTAAAAAAAATTGTATAGCAGTTAGTTTTGTATAACCCTCTTGTTTCTTTCAATATTCCTTATCAGGGGAGCTAACATAAAAGATGTCCAAGGGAGATAACCAATCAATAATTGGCCAGTTTATAGATAAATAATGAATAAATATTATAAATAATAAAATTATTGATTCTTCAAGAAGTAAACACTATTTATTTGCTTGAGTGCGTTAGATAAAGGCTGGCTATCTTTCTGTGTTTTTTTTAACACATTGCAAACCCAGAACAATATTCATCATGCTTATGAACCTTTCAGATGTAATGGGGAGATAACTCTACTCCATTGTTTACCTTAGAGAACTTGTGTTCAGCATCCTGGAGACTTTTAAGATGTGGCTTCATCTTCCTCTGGATGGTGTTGTAGTTGAAGACAGCCCTAACCCAGGCACAGATGGAGGCAGCAGCTGAGCTGGACTGGGCCACAAACTCAGGCACAAACTCTTCCTTGTGGACAAAGTCCTTCAGGTCCTTGTACATGTCCTCTGGGATGTTGTCCTTGTCATAAAATATCAGGTTCTCAAAGAAGTTTGTGTCCACCATCATGGATTTGGCTGCCTCCCATCTGGAAGATGTAGCCATGTTTTCAAACATAGAAAATTAATTATATTTAGTGAAACAGCAATAAACAAGAAAATAACATATGGATGATATTTACAAAAATTTAGTTTTGTCTTCTTGTTTAAAGGATTCTGTGCAAAAATTATTCAAAATTTTATGTTTGTTTATAAATGGCAGTAAAAACAACTTTCATAATAAAATATTTTTTATTTAAATTTTGTTTAAAATCATATTTGAATTCTTACGTCTGAGGTTTGTTGAACAATAAACAAACAGCTTTCATGACAAATTTAACTCCTTCAGGTGGAGAGGGATAACTTCTGAGCTCTTCCACAGCACTGACATCCAGGTTGTCCAGCACTTTAGCTGCTGCTTGATAAACTGGGTTCACCTTTTTCAAATTTAAATAAAACGACAAAAATATTTTTAAAATTCAAAACTTATATCACATAATCTAGCTTACCCAATATATTTAAATAATTTACAATCTTATATTTATAAAATTACAATTGTAATATTGCATATTATATAAGCCAATGGGATCTTGTGGTTCTACCGTATCAAATTCTGTTTGTGCAGATGAACGCAGTTTCTCCAGGGGTTCTTGGAGCTGGTTGATGGTTTCTTCCTGCACCTTACATTGTTCTAAAGCCTGGGAGAGATTGTAGAAATGTAAACACATTTCTGGTTCATTAATTAAAAATATATATCTGTTTGTAAACAGTTTTGGTGTACCTGTATGTAAGTAAAGCTGTTTTATCTGTATGTAAGTAAAATGGTTGTACCAGCATGTAAGTAAAATGGTTGTACCAGCATGTAAGTAAAATGGTTGTACCAGCATGTAAGTAAAATGGTTGTACCAGCATGTAAGTAAAATGGTTGTACCAGCATGTAAGTAAAATGGTTGTACTAGCATGTAAGTAAAATGGTTGTAAACGTATGTAATAGAATGATTGTACCTGTATGTAATAGAGTGCCTGTACATGTACATAAGTGAAGTTGTTGTACCTGTATGTAATAGAGTGCCTGTACATGTATGTAAGTACAGTTGTTGTACCTGTATGTAATCTTGCTTGTAAGTTTCCACCTGTGAAACCAAGTCAACTATTTTACTGGTTGCATTTTTCTGTTGGGGCACCAGGCTAGAAACTTCCTTCTTGAACTCTGCTATACTACCAAAAGCTTCATCTATCTTTCCCAAGGCTTGCTCATACTTCTTACCCTTGGCCTGTGTACAAGAAATGAAAAGTTTTCTGTCTGACAAAAATTGCACCATTTTTTTTTAATTATAGATCAGAACTGAATTATCTGAAACTGATCAATTCATTGATGTTTTGCTCAAATACTTAATTAATGATTAACTTTTATAATTATATATTGTGCGACAGTTTATAATGGTCTATAATAATATATATTATAAAAAAACAGATAAATGAGCTAGTTAAAAATTCTTTAAAGCCATCTATAAAAGGTTTCAAAATAAAGTCATACCTTTTCAGTTTTTACTAGGTAGGCCACGACAATCTTAAAAAGGTGAACAAACTCCATGAAAGTCAGAGGGGTGAAAATTCTCAATGGTTCTCTCTGATGACAAAATTGCCTAGCAACAGAAACTTGGGCTGACAAATGGATGTAAGCCATGGCATTTGCTGCAGTATCGATTTGTTTACATCTGTGTTGGGGATTCCATGGGATCACAACCTAATAAAAAATAAAAGAAAATGTAAAAATAGAGTTCATTAATATGAAAACTTGCCTTGAGCAGCATATTTACAAATTTTAAAAATGTAGCATATTACATTAGCTATATCATTAGTATTGAATTGTATTGAAGATTTTCATTGTTTATATATAGTAGCTAGACCAACAACAATTAATTTACTTAACAGCTCCTTCTGTTTTAAAATTAAAAAAAAATGTTTTTGATTGAGTAATTATCTAATTAGCTAACAAAACCAGTTGGTGACATACGCCAGATTTTGTGTCCTCTAGCCAGGTTTTTGCAACAGTGGCCAGGGAAGTGAAGCTCCAAGGTTGGTAAAGGTCAAGGCTGAAGCAGTTCTTGATCAGCCCTGGGTGCAGCTGCAGCTTCTCATGAAGGCTGTAGCTCTTGTTTGAAAAACTGTTGCCTTCAAAAATAGCAGAATAATTGCTTATTGAAGTTTTATTAACGCAAGTCTTAAAATCTGAATAAGATTTTCAGAGGTTTCTACAGACAGACAACTGAGACAAGTGTACTAGACAGTCTGGATTCAACACGTACCAGACAGTCTGGATTCAACACGTACCAGACAGTCTGGATTCAACACGTACTAGACAGTCTGGATTCAACACGCACTAGACAGTCTGGATTCAACACGTACCAGACAGTCTGGATTCAACACGTACTAGACAGTCTGGATTCAACACGTACCAGACAGTCTGGATTCAACACGTACCAGACAGTCTGGATTCAACACGTACTAGACAGTCTGGATTCAACACGTACCAGACAGTCTGGATTCAACACGTACCAGACAGTCTGGATTCAACACGTACTAGACAGTCTGGATTCAACACGTACCAGACAGTCTGGATTCAACACGTACTAGACAGTCTGGATTCAACACGTACCAGACAGTCTGGATTCAACACGTACTAGACAGTCTGGATTCAACACGTACCAGACAGTCTGGATTCAACACATACTAGACAGTCTGGATTCAACACGTACCAGACAGTCTGGATTCAACACGTACTAGACAGTCTGGATTCAATACGTACTAGACAGTCTGGATTCAACACGTACTAGACAGTCTGGATTCAACACGTACCAGACAGTCTGGATTCAACACGTACCAGACAGTCTGGATTCAACACGTACTAGACAGTCTGGATTCAACACGTACTAGACAGTCTGGATTCAACATGTACCAGACAGTCTGGATTCAACACGTACTAGACAGTCTGGATTCAACACGTACCAGACAGTCTGGATTCAACACGTACTAGACAGTCTGGATTCAACACGTACTAGACAGTCTGGATTCAACACGTACTAGACAGTCTGGATTCAACACGTACCAGACAGTCTGGATTCAACACGTACTAGACAGTCTGGATTCAACACGTACCAGACAGTCTGGATTCAACACGTACTAGACAGTCTGGATTCAACACGTACTAGACAGTCTGGATTCAACACGTACTAGACAGTCTGGATTCAACACGTACCAGACAGTCTGGATTCAACACGTACTAGACAGTCTGGATTCAACACGTACTAGACAGTCTGGATTCAACACGTACTAGACAGTCTGGATTCAACACGTACCAGACAGTCTGGATTCAACACGTACTAGACAGTCTGGATTCAACACGTACCAGACAGTCTGGATTCAACACGTACTAGACAGTCTGGATTCAACACGTACTAGACAGTCTGGATTCAACACGTACTAGACAGTCTGGATTCAACACGTACCAGACAGTCTGGATTCAACACGTACTAGACAGTCTGTCTTCACCGCGTACCTTTATAATTCAGACAAATAACAACATGGAGATTTTGTCTGATCCTCTTCATGTATCTGTCAAAGGCCTGCTCAATCTGGTCAAGTTTTTTGGTCTGAAGTCCTCCAGGCAGGATGTGGCCCACAATCTCCTGGACGTCTGCTTCACTGTAGAACCCCAAAAAGGATCCTGAGAATGATAAAGTAAACAGGTTTTTTTTAAAAGAACCAGTAGTTCTTCTGTTATTATAAATTTTGTAGTGAACCAGGATCAAATATTGAAACAAAATATCCTGAAGGACTTAAACAGTTTTAACAGATGAAAAACTTCATGGAAAACCCTTGCCAAATTTCAGAAGTAATACAGAATAGTTTACTGTAAAACTTACCCTCGCCCATGACCGCTGCTACATCGTAGAGACATTCCTCCCCCAGATCCTCATGCACCAACAGAACTGCAGGCTTGCCATTGATGCCAGCATGGTGGCAGCTGAGCCTGATGTGTCTCTTCAACACCTGCAGGTTGTGGGAGGGGAGGGACTGTGGCTTGGGTTCAAACAGCTTACAGTGGGACACATAGGCTGCCAGTCTGGTCAGTGTTGCTCTGCCTGTACAGTAGCTCATGCCCAGCAGGAGGGCGTGACCTCTTGGCTGGGACTTTAGGAGAAAGGTCAAAGTTCACATAGTTTTTCACTGTAGTTTACTTTTCTCTGATAATAAAGTTTTGATTGTAATAAAACAAATAATAAAATAGTCTGAGGCATCTGTTTCTTTCTTTAGGCTCTGCCATGTTTACTTTCCCTGACTAAAGCTGGGTGAACTCATAATGTCAGAGAACCCATAAAACAAATAAAAACCAATCATGGGCTCTGTTGATTGATCACACCATCCAATCAACAATTTTTTAACGTTTCCTAATTTAAAGTTAACCTTATTTCAATGTATCTTTTAGCTGTCCTAAGGATTCTTTACACCTACTTAATTATAAGGTTAAACTGAAAAGCACAACAGAAAGAATACCATCAGAGCTAAAACTTACAAGAACACGACTGAGCTTAGCCGCGTGATGTATGGCCTCTGAAAAAAATACTAAATCGATTCTCTGAGAGGTGCCTTTGTTATATTTGTTGAGACAACTGCGCAAGGCCTCAGCTAAGGGTTCTTCCCCAGTCTCCATGTAACCTGTACAGAGAACAAAATAGTTTATTATAACCACAAGAAAATTGTAACACAATATATGGTCAATGTTGTCAGTTTTGCAATGAAGAAATTTTAATACCCTACTAACAGTAAAATGACAGTAACCCAATCATTAGACACAGTGAGTCTAAACTTAGCCACACCCACATATCAATAGCCACACCCCACAAATACAGCATAGTTAGCCACAGTGATTTCAGCATTAGACTCTTCAAGGCATTGCATGCACGTTAAATATCTGAACAAAAACAAAAAATAAATTTAAAAAAAAAATGTTTTTGAAAAAAAAAAACTTGTATAAATTGAAACAAGACAAGTAGAATGTAAATTTTTAAAAACTGTGAACAAAGAAAAAAATAAATAATAACTTTTCTTTTATAAAAGTTAAAAATTTCATAAAAACATTTTCAAACGAAACTATTAGTTGTGCTATGATTTTTTGTGATTACAATTTTTTTGCAGTTCTCAGCACCATGAGAGTGAAGTTCAACACTGGCCAGTGCTACATACAACATTTGTGAATGTGAGACAAACATTGGTGATTATAAATATAAAAATAAATAGTATCACAATGTGTCCACTGAACCAAAACTAAACATTAGCAACTTACACTACTTGCCCAGCTGTTGGTAATGTGGAATTGAATTCATGAGTATTATTGTGAATATGTTGATAAAAACAATGTTTTATTTCTAGAATAAACCTTTTGGATATAGCTATTTACACATTTTAAAAAATACATTAAAATCCATATTGATTAGTAAAAATCTGATTTTGTTTTTCAATACAAGATTATTGCCCAAAATCTAATTATAGCATCAGTTACACTGCATTTAACTAAAGAACGTAAAAGAAATTTTTTTATGCATAAATTAATTTACCCTTTTCTGCCTGGAGTCCATTAGCCTCAGCATGACAGGCCATGTAGAACTTTGAGAAGATAAAATTTGTCAAGTTGCTGGACTGGCCAATGATCTGAAACACAATAAAATTATGAACCCAACATGTCCTTCCCTATATTCTGATTAGATAGGCCTACCTGAGCCCAGTTAAATAAAAAATAAAAAGAAGTAAATAGACTAAAAAAAATCTATTGTTAAAGCTTAGAAAATAATCAGGTTATAGATACCTTCACAATAAAATTAAATCCACATAAAATTAAAAAATATAAATCTACTTTTGATCTGATTATTGCAATTTTATTACCTCATTAAATGAGAGAAGTGCACCATTGTAGACTTCCTGTTTGGCGTCTGCAATCAGTCCTGCTTTAAATGTCACTCCACGTCTGCTACTGGAGTTCTGGCTTTTCTTTAAGTAGTGCTCATCTTTTGCTGGTGGATTTAACATTTCAAGTTTCAATCTTTGTGGATGTCACATTCAGAGTTTCAATCTTTGTTGATTTCATAATTTGAATATTTGTTGTGGATGCTGTATTCTAAGTTTAAATGTCATAATCACAGTGACACTGTTCTGTTGATGATGCATGCATAATTTTAATGTTTGTAGTGATCATGGTGTGTTTATAAAAAAAATAGCCAACAACTAACCATTCATTGTGTTGTCAGGGGCAATAACTGCTGCAGCATCAGAAATGTGAGGAGAGGCCTGAACTGATTCTGGTCAGAAGAATACAAATATTTTAAAATTCTGCAGCCTAAGTTAACTAAAAATTTTTTTTCAATGTAACTCTAATTTGACCTCTATTTAGGCAGAAAATACATATTAGGTTCCATTTATTTCTTAGAGATGAGAATGATGTAAATCTTTACAAGAGCACCAACAAATTACATATAAGTCAAGTTTTTCTTTAGACCTAGCAATCCGTTGGGTAGAGGAAGTAACTTAATATATTTCTTGACCTCGACAATCACAAGTCTAAATTGAGATCTGAACTAGAGACCATCTGGCTACCAGCCAAACACTCTAGCATTTGACCACGACATCCCAGTAAATTACGTATATTATTACACAAAAAGTAACAGAATATTTTCACAGGTGAAGTTATACAATTATTATAGCACATATTAAAGTAAAAGAAATCTTTATCCTCACTAAAGTTAAAAAAAATTATATATACAGTATTACACACCTGATGGGCTAGTGCAAGTTGGACTTGAACCAGCACTTTCAGAATCTGAACTCTCAGACTCGTCTGATGTGATGTCTGTAGGTGACAGAACATTTGAATTGTCTTCTCTTGTTTCAACACCAATAACATTGGCGTCTGCATGTTTAGCTGAAAGCAGGAGAAACAAAAATAAAATGAAAATAACACAAGATAAACATAAAAGAAATGATGTTTAAATTTCTACCTTTATCTTGTGCTAGCAGTTAAAAATTGTTTTTGTATTTTGAATATTAATGTATATAGAAATAAAAAAGTTCTAGTACATGCAGTAGTCGACATATTTGTTTCACTGATCAAGGCATTTGGTGAGTCTTCTGTGAGTTTTTCATCAAACACAGGCTGAATGGAATCTCTCCTGAAACGAAATATTTAAGTTTTAAATTATTTGTTGTCAAAAGGTATTTTAAAATTACTTATTGTCCAAAAATATGTTTAAATTACCTTCTGTCATGAAACTATTATAAAAATTACTTGTTGTCAATATTTTAAAATTACTTGTGGTTCAGAAAATATTTTAAAATTACTTGTTGTCAATATCTTAAAATTTCTTTTCAATATTTCAAAATTATTTTTTATAAAGAAAATATTTAAGTTTTAAATTGCTTGTTGTCAAGAAAATATTTTTAAACTGATTGTTGTCAAGAAAATTTTAAAGTTTTAAATAAGTTGTTATTGAGATAAGATAATAATAATTGAGTTAAAAAAATCTGATCCTCCAAGAAATAAAATACGTCCATGTTAAGAAAAACACTAAATAAAAAACTGACCAAATTTAAATGCTCAAAATAATGCTCATAAAAAAGTAAGTATTCTGGCCTGATGGAACAATGGAATTGAATGCAAATGATGTTTTAGATGAAATAATTTTACACAAACATATAGGGGACAAAACTGTCTACACCTCTCCCACATAACTACCAAGAATGTCACCAAAGAGGAAGAAAGCTGTTAACTTACTCAGGTGAACTTCCATCTTCTCTTTCTTCTGGTCCACTAACTTGACCCTGATCAAGTTCTTGTATTGGTGTAGCCCTCTGTAAGAAACACGAAGCACTTGGGTTAACCATTGTGGCTGATCATTACTTACTGAGGGTCATCATTACTTACTGAGGGTCATCATTACTTACTGAGGGTCATCATTACTTACTGAGGGTTATCATTACTTGACAGTAAAGTTTCCAGTAGTATCAAATCAAAGAGGGTCATCATTTATATTGATGAAGTTTAAAGTATCATTAAACCAATGCAAGCTAGAATGACTTTCAATTTCAAGAACTATGAATGATTTGATTTAGTTACCTGAAAAACTAATTGTTTCGTTATATTCTTACCTTGTATTTCAGTTCCCCTGAAACTATTTCATCACTGACACTTTCTCTCTGTGTACAGAAATGTTTGACCACTTTCTCCTCCAGTAGTTGACTGAACCAGTGCTGGTCTGAGGACAAAAAACTCACGGAACTAAGAATTTATTTTTTGGTCCCGATTTATTAATCAGAATCACTACTCTATACTAAATTCTACACCAAATATTATCAAATTACATTATAAATTACATTTAGACATTCTATATCTAAAACTAAATACTTCTCCAAATTACCCTCAGTGTTAATAATTCTATCTCCAAAAACTCGACAGACTTCATGGCACCAGAGTCGAGCAATAACTTGCATCATTGGCGCTGAGTTATGTCCCTGCTTCCCTTTCTCTGGATACATACAGGAAATAAATGTAAATTTTAAAAATGTTAAAATCTGGTGTAACATTAAAAAAAAATGTATGTAAAAAAACATTAATTGATTTCTATGTAGGCCTACAATATAACCACATTTTAAAACCATAAAATAGTAAATCCAATATTTCAGTTATTAAAAAAACTAACGTTGACCTTTTTTCTTTGTTTTTGTCTTTTTTAAAGGGGTGCGGGGTGACATGAGCATGATGCCTTGTAGGACTTTGGTGAGGTCGTGTAGGGTGAAGATATAGTGGGGCTGTGTGGGGCTGGGCTGGAGCTTCTCCTTGATACACTTGTAGAGTTCCAGGGCAGCTCGACTCATGGCCTGCATCAACAAGTTCAACTCAGTTGTTATCAACATGTCATCAACACGTTCAACTCAGTTGTCATCAACACGTTCAACTCAGTTGTCATCAACACATTCAACTCAGTTGTCATCAACTTGTCATCAACACATTCAACTCAATTATTAATATTACAATCAACTCCTTAGTGATGTGTATCTACCTTGGATGATGGTTATCTACCTTAGATGATAGTTATTTACCTTTGAGAATTCATGCGGATGTTCCACGGAGTAGGTGGGGAATTCTTCCAACCAGGTGTAGAGAGGTCTGGAGAACAAGGTGACCAGTCCATCTTCAGAAGGAGTGAACATGGTCAGTGTCAGAAACTGTCTGGACAGTCGAGATGACATCACATGACATGCCTTGCCTAATCCAGTACCTGAACAAATTGTTGAATTTTTTAGTGACATGACATCACATGACATGCCTTGCCTAATCCAGTACCTGAACAAATTGTTGAATTTTTAGTGACATGACATCAAATGACATGCCTTGCCTAACCCAGTACCTGAACAAATTGTTGAATTTTTAGTGACATGACATCACATGACATGCCTTGCCTAATCCAGTACCTGAACAAATCATTGAATTTTTAGTGAGATGACATTAAATGACATGCTTTGCCTAATCCAGTACCTAAACAAATTGTTGAATTTTTTAGTGACATGACATCAAATGCCTAAACCATTTCCCATTGTGCCCAACACACATGGGGCAGATGAGGTAGAGTTCAACTGCTTCAGAGGCCTCGGAATATGAAGTGATAGCTTGGTCAGCTGAGCCTATTTTGTTTCCCTAACGTTAAGTTAGGTACTCATCAGAGCTGGGTGGACTCAGGGACATTCCACGGATTTGAACCAGGATTCAAACTCAAGACTCTCATTGGCGGTCTAGCTCTCTACTGCTAGGCCACATCATCCCATATTGTGGTTATACTGATCAGGAAATAGTTCCTAACTAAAAGAAATATATTTTTGTACACTGTATCTTAAAAAATTCATTTCCATTCTTCATTTTAATATGACATGACATCAACCCAACTTAATGAATCAAGAGTTCTAAACTTTACCAAACCATGAATTATTGTGAACAATTAGAGTAACAGCCAGATAAGGAGTAAAAATTCCAGAATCAACCAGAGAAAAAAGTTCAGCCATACCTGGAGCAGATGGCTGTGTGGCTGCAGCTATAAAAGTTGCCTCCCTAGACGTCTGGAACTCCACATGTCTTTTGTCGTACAGCGCCCCAGTGGTGAGGATACATCTCATCAGCTCCAGGGGGGGCTGGTAACCTGATATGGATGTTTGTCTTATACAAGCAATATCTATATCATAGGGGAGTTCGCTTAAACATGTTTAATACTTCAGTAATGTAAACGATATTTGATATGATCAGATCAAAGCAATGAAGAAAAGCTAAACACACAAAAATAGACAGTAGTTAGCTATTAGTATCAGAGAATAGAGTAAATTTAGTAAATTGTAACTCTTGCACAAGAAAATGATAAAAGAGTTATGCCATCCTTCCAGCCATTACTTTTGCAATTCTTAATACAACACATTTTTATTTTTCCATGTTTAGGAAAAGAAATGTTGTGTTAAGTCAATGAATATATCGTAAACTTTTGTTTACCCCCCACAGCTGGTGCCATGTTGAGGTCATCAATAAAAAACAGGTGTCGCAACTGGTCATGGGTGCCAGTGGGTTTTGATCCTGGAACCTGGACATTGCTTTTGTTCTGGATGGTGCTGATGTGGGAGGTCACCAGGTCCAGAAGAATGGATGAGGTGATGCTGGGTGCCATGGTAACCATGGTGGACGCCATCTTGGACAAGACCAGACTCTGAGGGAGGGAAACAAAATGTGTGTGGCCAGGTCTGTAAGGGAGGGAAACAAAATTTGTGGGGACACATCTACATACACATTCACCTAATGACATATAAAACATTGAAACTCTTATAAGCTTAAGAAATACTAAACAAATACTTCTGAGAATTATCCACATAGCAGGGCCACTATGTATGTTTTTTGATAATTAATTTTCATTTTTCACAACATAATTACATCCAGTGACAGAATATCTAAAACTAATATTATGTTTTAATCTGCCTTTATGGGAGTAGGCCTATGTATGGTCTGTTAATTTATCAGTTAACTAAAAAAAAAACCTGACTGACCCGCACAAGAGAAGTCTTCCCCACACCTGGTGCTCCAGTCAGTAGAACAGGCTGGTGGGCTGTCATCAGAAGTTCCAGCAGGTAGGCATAGCGTTCCACCTAGGGGGAGTCAGGTGCTTCAGGTCAGGTCATAGGTTTCAGGTGTCTCAGGTCAGGTCATAGGTTTTAGAAGCTTAAGGTCAGATCATAAGTTTCAGGTGTTTAAGGTCAGGTCATAGGTTTCGGGTATCTAAGGTGAGGTCATATTTTCCGGTGTCTAAGGTCAGGTCATATTTTCAGGTGTCTCAGGTCATAGGTTTCGGGTATCTAAGGTGAGGTCATATTTTCAGGTGTCTAAGGTCAGGTCATAGGTTTTAGAAGCTTAAGGTCAGGTCATAAGTTTCAGGTGTTTAAGGTCAGGTCATAGGTTTCAGGTATCTAAGGTGAGGTCATATTTTCAGGTGTCTAAGGGCAGGTCATAGGTTTCAGGTGTTGGTTGGATGTTTGGTGATATCATTCAGGTGTTAGATGTCAGGTATTTGCTGAATTTTATGTGTTTGTTCATTGTTAGCACTTTGTATGTCAGATGTTTGCTGAATTTTATGTTTATGTTCATTGTTAGCACTTGGTATGTCAGATGTTTGATATTAAGATGATACACAAACAGAGTGAGATACCTCTGGTGTTACATAAAAACCAGCCAAATTTTTAATTCGATCTTGTGGTTGCTTGTCAGTCCATTTCAAGAAGGTCGACGACTTTTCATCCACATACAGGTCGAAGATGTCACAGCCCAGTGGCAGGTGAATGGAGTGAGTGCTGCGGTACAGAACATTGGAGGCAAACTGGCCAAAGTTGTCCTTGTACCTGGCAATAGGATAAACAAAACATTGGAGGCAAACTGGCCAAAGTTGTCCTTGTACCTGGCAATAGGATAAACAAAACATTGGAGACAAACTGGCCAAAGTTTTCCTTGTACCTGGCAATAGGATAAACAAAACATTGGAGACAAACTGGCCAAAGTTTTCCTTGTACCTGGCAATAGGATAAACAAAACATTGGAGACAAACTGGCCAAAGTTTTCCTTGTACCTGGCAATAGGATAAACAAAACATTGGAGACAAACTGGCCACAGTTTTCCTTGTACCTGGCAATAGGATAAACAAAACATTGGAGACAAACTGGCCAAAGTTTTTTTTTGGTACTTGGCTAAAACATTTTTTTGGTAGTTGGCATGAGGAACCAAAGAAAATGACAATTTTTATTGGAATTTATTATCTAATTAAATCTCACCTGTCATGGAGGTGTCCACCAAAACCCCAGATGAAAGAAAAAGAAAACAAGTTCTTCAAAACTTCTAGATAATTGGGTACAACAGCCTCAATTTGAGAGGTGTTGGCTAGACGGCTTCCCATTGGTCGGTCCTTGTCTCCTCTGCTGTCATGCTCTGGTAAACAAAAAGCTTACTTAGTTTGTAAAGCAAATAACCTTTTTCTCTCATTAAAACTTTAAGTGGATTTGACTTGGCAGAAGATAAAGGACAAAAATAGATTGCAACAAGCCTGAACTCCACATACAAGGTTACACATGTCCTGATACATGTCAGTTATGAAAATATGTAAAATGCCCTGTCATTCAAACAAATGTTAAATATGCCCTGTCAGTTATAAAAATGTTTACTTATGCCCTGTCAGTCATACAGATATTTACCTATGCCCTGTCAGTCATACAAATATTTACCCATGTCCTGTCAGCCATACAAATATTTACCCATGCCCTGTCTATGTTTCTTCTCCATGACCTCCCTGTTCAGTGAACGGTCTAGCAGGGCAGAGAATATCTGGAGAAAACCTGAAATCTCAGCCACACCAGCTGCTATCTGATTGGCTGCTTCTCTGCCAATGTCAGCTGTCAGTGCTGACTGACAATTCTGGGTGACAAACTTGACAGTTGGAGGAAACACGTCATGCACCAGGCCATCTAACAGTTGCAATCTACACAAACATGGGGATTTCAGGTTAGAGAAGAACTCTTATTTGTGTAGAGCTTAGGTTTAATCTTATTAAACCAATCTGTTTAAACTGACTTTTTTGTCTTTAAAAAAACTTGTTCAATAAAATAAAATTTTAAAAGTTTAACTTAGACTCTGAGATAGAGAAATATATAGAATAAATTTAAAAGGAAATATTACATTGACATACTTTGATCTATGTTCCATACCCACACAAAAAGTGCAAAATCTATTCAAATATAATCAATTTTTACAATAAATCTAAAACATACAGGAATAAAAAGGGCCTAGATGAATGTTGTTATATGATTGAATCATTATAAAACTGTGTGTACCCTTCCGTAGTCAGGAGCCACTGGTTGCAAGCATTTTGTCTCCAGTGCTGGTAGATGGAGGTCCATGTTGTGGCCGCAGGACCAAGACACAGGACGGAACATCTGCTGATCAGAGAGGGTGAGATGGATGCCAAGTCAGTTGTCTCAAACACAATGCTTGTGGCCTCTGGAAATGGCAAGGTAACTGCTTTAGTAGGATATTAAGGTAAATATGTTGACATATTTTTTTAATTTGTATAAATAAAATGTGAATTATTTAACAAATGATGATGTACATGGCAATTCAATGAGGAAATGCCTGAATTATAATATGTGTTTATAACAATATTTAATTGCCTTAAAATAATTTATTTTTGGGCTGCTCACTTAATATAAATTATGATTGCTGCAATGCTAAAATCTATTTAAAAAACCACACGCATTTTCATTATACGACAGTGACAAAAAATATGTTAGTGTTCATTTGATATTAAATTAGTCATCTTAAACACTTATTAATTTGTGAGATGGAAAATATAGTACAATGTAACTCACCTATCTGTAAAGCAAAATAACTAGCTTTTACTTACTTATAGTTTCTCATAAAGTAAGTTTTACTTATCTTTAGCTCACTGTACATTTAGTTTCACCAACCTTTGAGTGCCACCCTCTCACCATTGGGCAGAGAGAGAAATTTATCATCGTCCATCAAAGTCTTGATCCCCTCTGTCCAAGCTGGGTCAAGGTCACCATCCAACACAAGCCACCTCTTCAATCCGTGGATCTGCTCCCCCAGTGTTTTTGTGGTTTTCTTCTCACTGGTTTGTGACATCAGACTTGTTGACAGCCACAGGCTGTAGGAGTCTCGCAGTACTTTAGCTATCAGCCCACCTGACCAAACGCCTTCACTGAAGCTGCCTAGCAGCTGTGGAATCAGAAAGACATCTTGTAAGCTTTAGAATAATAGTTCAAACAAATACAAGTTTTAGTTAAGCCTCATAAATATTTAATTTTCGTCATAAACAAAATTAAATTCAAATTAATTAAATCTCCACAAGATTTACTCTATATAAAATATATATACTAATATAAAATTTAAAAAAAAATTTTTTAATTAAAATTATTATTCAAACAAATCAAGATTTTTCCCATATAAAAAAGTACATTCTAAATAAAATATGATGATAAATGATCTGTATAAAAACGAACATAAAAATTTCAAACAATATTTATAAGCTTAATTCAAACAATCAGGTGATTATTCCACAGAAACAATGCCGTACCTCTGTGGGGGTCATGGCACCTGGGAACAGGTGAAGTACATCAACCTTGGGGTGCTGGAGATTTTTAAAAGATTAATTTCATAGGTCAAGGTTATTAGTAATTTAAGGTCAAATTTGATAATTTTACATTTATTTTGTAGATTTTAGTTTATTTGACACTATGATGTTTATTTCCCCCACTTATATCTATCTATGGAAAAAAAACAGCTCTTTTTAAAATTCCTGCTTGTGTTTTTGTTTAACAAATTTCTAACAAAAACTGATACAATGGATACCTTAAAAGCTGGACAGGGGAGGTTACTCTCAGTAGTTGGGTCATCTTTAGGCGGGTCTGGGAACTGCTTGTAGGTCAGCATATTTATGGCCCTGGCTAAAGTCTGGTAAAGTTTGGTTTTCCCACTCCCTGACTGACCCACCAGAATCACTGGGTGTGGGGAGCAGACGGCTGTCAGGAGCTCACTCAACTGGAACAGAGGAAAAATTTTCAATCTCCAGTTTTTCAGGTCACACATGAATGATTGAGGGTGATACATCTTAGCTAGAAGGTGATACATCATTTCTAGATGGTGATACATCATAGCTGGAAGGTGATACATTATAGCTAGTAGGTGATATATCATACTAGTAGGTGATAAATCATTTCTAGAAGGTGATACATCATCAACAATAGAAGGTAATAGATAACAAAACTTGTCATAACATAGAAACTAAGATAAAAAAATATTTTACTAGATTAAACAGTACAGTTTATAAAATCCATCTTACCTTGCTCAAAAACACAGGGTTAACCTCTAAATGATCTTCCTTAATGACTTCTTGTATAGCACAATGAATATTAGTAGTGTACACATTTTTCTGGTCCAAAAAGGCAGCAGTGTGAGGGAATATCTGGTACAGCAGGTCTTTGAACAGGTTCTTTTCAGCTTCATCTTGGAAACAGGGGAAGATAATTTCTTTGATGGCAAAAACCAGACTTTTTTCTTCAGGTTCTGGCACTTCAGTATCTTGTTGGCTGGGATCTGTCATACAGAGGTAAAAACATTTTTTTAAATGAGAAAATTATCAAAACTTTGAGTAAAAATAAGTTAAAATGCTATTTGATCAAGCGTTAGGTCAACTTTGCCACTATTTATAAAGAAAAACACTTGAAAAAAAAAACAAATATTCCTGGAATTAATTTTATTTTCATTGTACAATTTAGTATGTAGTGTAGAGTACATTTATGTTATTGAAGTACATTTTCGTAGAAGTAGTTCCTAAATATAATTGTTCCAAAATAAAATGTAATTTTAAAATTTCAAATTTTACATAACCAAAAACTGTTTCTGTCAGAACTTACCCTGTTCATCACTTTTGGAAGTCATTTGCTGCTGAATGACAAACCTTTTAGCAGCAGCCACAGCAAGAACTTGTTTTATCTGGTGTAGGTAGGTTGATCCTTGAGGTCTCCAGATCTAAAAATTAAGTTTGGAAATTACAAATTCTAAAATTGTAATTATTTCATTACAATAATAAAACAGCAGAAATATTTTTAAATATGTTTTACATAGGATTTTAAAAAATGTACCTACTGACCTCTGAGTAAAGCTGCTTGAAGAGCATTGTGATTTTTTTGGCCCAAAAAGTGGACTGGTGAAAGCCATTGGATTGTAGAAAAACTTGAGCGATGTGTTGGGTGTCAGGAGCTATCATGGCACAAGGGCGCATCAGTAACTGGGGACAATTCAAAGATTTCATTCATCATTTTAACTGTGTTTATAATTAATTAATAGCATCAGTAACTGGGGACAATTCAAAGATTTCATTCATCATTTTAACTGTGTTTATAATTAATTAATAGCATCAGTAACTGGGGACAATTCAAAGGTTTCATTCATCATTTTAACTGTGTTTATAATTAATAGCATCAGTAACTGGGGACAATTCAAAGATTTCATTCATCATTTTAACTGTGTTTATAATTAATTAATAGCATCAGTAACTGGGGACAATTCAAAGATTTCATTCATCATTTTAACAGTGTTTACAATTAATTAATAGCATCAGTAACTGGGGACAATTCAAAGATTTCATTCATCATTTTAATTGTTTTATAATTAATTAATAGCATCAGTAACTGGGGACAATGCAAATATTTCAGTCATCATTTTAATTGTTTTATAATTAATTAATAGCATCAGTAACTGGGGACAATGCAAATATTTCAGTCATCATTTTAATTGTTTTATAATTAATTAATAGCATCAGTAACTAGGGACAACTCATTAATTCAATTGTTTTTAACACAACTGCATTATCATTACTTAGTTTAAAATGTATGCATTTAAAAAGTGAGAGTTATGAATAAATACAATTTTTTGTTTTACCTTGAAACTGTAAGGAATGTCCTGAGTTTCTGGGTTAGCTGTGTTGAGTGTCATGAAGCAACCAAAGTTTGAACTGGCCTGGATCAGTCGGCCATTGAACATGATGTTGCCAAGCATTCTGTGCACATATGCTGGGTCAGCATTGAGTTTGGAAAAATCTGGCTGTGAACGTCTTCTGTTGGCTTTCACATGTTCTGAGGTAGAAAAGGTAAAGGGAAGTTATTTGTAATTTTAAAATCATAACCTTTCAAAAATTTTTATCTTAAATTTTATAAAATTATAAAATATTATTATTTATATCTGTCCATATTTACAAGGTAGTTTAAATTGGTGTTTTTTTCTATAGTGTTTTTTTAGTGGGAAATCATATAATTTGTTAAAGTAAAGATTTTTAAAATCTATTTTTTACTACTTCATTGTAGATGTTTTAGCACCCTAATATTTTTCTGTTTATATTTCTATGGCTATATAATCATTCTTGAATTTGTCTTTGAATTTGAATGTTCATTACCTTCTACAATTCTTTCAGATACATAACATTATGCAGTATTTACAAACATTAGTAAACTGTTCTAACAGATGGATGAAATGAGCTAAAAAATATCCTACGTACCATAAAAGAGTGGTGGAGGTTTGTTACTTTTGTACAAATCTGATTCTTTAATCTTCATCTCTCTCTCTATTGAGTGCCGCCTTTGGTCCCGTTCTGCTACCCAGCTATCCTCAAAATATGTCACCAAACCCTTTTCCTATTTAAACATTCAATTTCAAACAATAAAAAAAAAATTAATAAAAAAAAAATATAAACTACAGGATTGTTTTGTGAGAGATAGCGAGTCAATACATTTAAAAAATATAATACATACACTCAATTTTAAATACTTTGGTAGAAAAGATAAGGTACAAAAGATAGTTGAGAAGTACGTATTAAAAAGACAAATCTAAAATCAGTAGAATATTAATCATAGGACTTTACAGGGGTGATGTGACAGTGTTATGTGACAGTGTGATGTGACAGTGTGATGTGACATTGTGATGTGACAGTGTTATGTGACAGTGTTATGTGACAGTGTTATGTGACAGTGTTATGTGACAGTGTTATGTGACAGTGTTATGTGACAGTGTTATGTGACAGTGTTATGTGACAGTGTTATGTGACAGTGTTATGTGACAGTGTTATGTGACAGTGTTATGTGACATTGTGATGTGACAGTGTTATGTGACAGTGTTATGTGACATTGTGATGTGACATTGTGATGTGACAGTGTTATGAGACAGTTTTATGTGACATTGTGATGTGACAGTGTTATGTGACTGTGTTGTGTGACATTGTGATGTGACTGTTATGTGACAGTCTAATGTGACAATGTAATGTGAAAGAATGATGTGATAAAGTAAATCAGCACATAGCTCTTACATTGAATCCATGAGGAACAGTTTTTTGCCGCTCTATAGAACTTTTTGTTTCATTCTCTGCTTTAGGCAGTGGATGAAGGGTAGTCAGAGAGTTGCGTCGAATAACCCCTGCACCAGATTTCTGAGAAAATTTCATACCATTTAAATCTCTCAGTAAAAATCTAAACAAACAGCTAAAATGTTTTAATAAAATAAAAAGCATACAAATAATTCCATTTTGCAAAGAAAAAAGCCCCTTGACTGGAAAAGCAGTAATATTTGTGTCCAAGTTTTTAAAAAGTAAAAGCTTACAAGCTTGAAGTTTTGCAGATAAGGGGAGAGAAGCAGCAATGTACAGGAAATATTCAATTTCCTACAAAGAGTTACAAGTCAACATTAATTAAACCTGTACATTGACTTATTAGTCTTATAATTATCAAACATTTAGTAAATAGCAGGGCTGTAGAATTACAAATAAATAATTAATTTGACCCAGTTTGTTGGCCAAGCAGAAATGAAATTTGAATTCACATGAGCTGTTTCAAATTAAATCATTTTGATCTTGGAAATAAATTTGAATACCAAATAATGACTTACTTTAAATTTCCAACAATATTTTGTTTTGAAGTAAAATTCTAAAAAGAGTTTATTTTCTACTTTAAGAAAATATTTTAAAAAAGCAACATAAAAATGTAATTAACCGTAACAAAATTATGTTTTGATTGATTTGATAGATATTTCACTTCAACATAAATATGAGAGAAATTTATAATTTGCTATGAATTTGTTTAACAAATAGGAAAAATAAACTAAAAGGACAGTTCTTGGGACTATCTAAAGATGTTTTAGGAAAAATAAACAAAAAATATTAGTTAGACTACCTAAGGCTGTTATCTACTTTTTGGTCAGGAATTATTATAACTAGAAAAAAGTGTATGGACACAATCAATAAATATTAACAAGTTAAATAATAGGAATTTTAGATGTAAATAAAAAAAATAAGCACCCTTTTAAAAGTTATTTATGTTGAAAAATTGAAAATTAAACTTTTCATTGAAAGATTTAATTTAAACGCACAAAAATGTTTGTTCTCATTAATTTAAAAAAAATTAACATACAAATGTTTTAAAATAATTTGTTTCAACAAAAGATATTTAATAAGATATGTTGATGCCCATGAAATTATTAAATTTTTAAACTATCAGTCCAATAAAAAAGATTGTGGAAGTTATTTGTATTTAAAATGTTATTAAACATCTATAAAATAAATACAATGAAAACCTTGAGCCCTTATAATTATGGATGGATTTTAAGATACACATAAAAAAAATATCAGAAAAGTGAATATAAGCATAAAAAAAATTTCTACTTGTCTATGAACTATGAAATAGCACATACCATAGCAAACACCTGTAGATAAACAAGGATTTAAATAAAGACAACAAAACTTTATCAACGGAAGAAATAACTGTTTTTCTCTCAGAACTTAGGTATAACCCAATGGATTGATTACTCTGGTTTATACATCACCCAGTGATGGCGTCATCTTAGTAAAAGCAAATTTGTTCACACAGTTCTGCCATATTAGTATAAATTTAAAACAAAAAACACTTGGTTACATTTTTTTAAACAGTGACTTTTGGAGAATAAATGATAAATTAGTTGTGTTAAGTTGTGTTGAGTAAGGCATATAAAACAACCAAGAATTATTTAGGTTAGAAACAACATTATTAAGGAACCACCAAAAAATTATTAATTTTTCTTCAGTTCTGTTATTCCATAGCAGTGAAGCAGCATAACAACCAACATAAGTAAACTTCAACTAGAAGAGTTCAGCTTACTTTATCATAGTGTGAGTGCCCTCTGATTTGATACTGGTTCTCACTGCTCATATCTAATGTCCTGATGGCAGACCTGACGTAGTCCAGCTGTTGGCTGGTCACAGACAACAAACCTGTTGGTCAAGTTTACAGTCAGCGAGCTTTAGACTCCATTTTTTTTAAAAATTCAAAAGTGTGAAATAGTTTTGACAAAAAGACAAAAAAAACTATCAATCAATAAATGTTTAATGATGACCTTTGACCTACCTCTGGTTAACCTGTCAGTGTCATCAAACAAAACAAAACAGCCAGACTGTATCAAGCCACTCATGTACTGCAGCATGAGGGGCAGGGTGGTGCTCTCATGGCAGCTGATGGTAAACATACAGCGACCTAGGAGCTAACACCAGGAGAGGAATTTTAAACAGACAATGATGTTACTTGCTTGGATAGGATACCAAGTTAAACAACATTTTATTGTTAAACATTAACTTAATGCTTGAAAAGCTGGTTCCAAATGTGTGTTGCAAGAAAGCATATTTTTCAACAAAAATTGAATATTTTATAACATTAGTGTAATTAGCAGATAATGACTTTCTGTTTTATTAAGGCTAGAAATAGTCAAACAAATAATTACTAGTAATATAATAGTAATTTAGAAAAGACTTTTATTTTTTAATTTGGATTAGTAGAGTCAGGATGTTTTGGTGATTATTTAATATAAATACAATACTAGGCTATACAGCGTTGATCACTATTGTTTACTTTATCATGGAAAACAAATGGTTTGACTTTCATTGTTTTACTCTCTCTGGCCATTCAGAATGAATTCAAGGAGAGGTTGAGAAAATGATAATTTAAAATATATGAATTGATATAATAATTTTAAACAGATTTCAACACTTATATTCAATACGAAAATATGTAAATGAATGTAATTAAGTTCCCAAACAGCTTTAAGTTTTTAAAATGTATGATTACATAGACTTTTCCAGCCTATTGTAAAAAAAAGTATAATTATATAAAATAATTTTTGTTAGATTGGAACAGATAATTTTGGTTAAATTGAAATAAAATATTCACCTTTGACAGTTCCTTCAGTGTTTCTGTTTTCCCTGAGCCATGTGGCCCCACCAATGTACCACAGTGGAAGCTCTTCAGGGCCTGTCCTAGAGCCAGGAAGGCTCTCTCTGTGAGGGGAGTGACCACTAAAGGGCTGCTGGGGCCCTGGTATTCATAGTCATAGCTGAAGACATGGCTTAGTTGCTGGACGTAACAGGGGCTAAACTGGTAGTCAGTGGACACTGTAGTCTGTGTCCTGGGCAGCTCTTCAGCTGTGAAGGTAATAAAAATGCTCAGATTATAACAGTGACTAACCATGTTCCTAACGCTAAAGTGTAAGTTAATATTTAAAATTCACCATACATCATAGGTGCAATGTCATAAGTGTAACCCATCCATTTTGATTTTTTTTCTGTCCTAGTTATTTTATTTGGCCAACCCTATTGGACCCTGGTATTTGTTTCATAGACCTAACTACACAAAAGATGCTTTTGCATAGCATATAAATATTGTGTGTAATGGGCAATTAAAAATCATTGCTCCTCTTAGCATGCTGTGGATGGAAAACACCCATTTACAAAAGGAAGACATATTCCAAGAGTGATAAATCACATTGTATAGTGAAGGCAAATAAGAATCCATATTATTTATGATTTATTTTACAAGGAATGGGACTGCATGGCCCAGCAGTTGAGGTTAGAATGCTAACCTGAAAGTTTCAAGTTCGAATCTGAGTTCAAGTCAGTAGAATGTCCCTGAGTCCACAAAGCTCTAATGTCTACCTAACTCACATTAGGGAAAGTAAAGGCGGCTAGGCATAGTCCTGACCACACTATCCCTTCATATGACGTGGTCTCAGAATCAGGTTAACTCTAATTCACTTGCTCCATGGACTGTCAGGTTTGAATAGGGAACTTTACTTTTTTTTACAAAGAACATGCATTAAAAAGAAAGATTAACCTGCTAGTTGGCCTCTAAAATCTCTCACTTTCCGTGTCATGTTAACCCTTTCATCAGTTTTGCTAGTAACGTTGAGTGTGACATTAGGGGCGTTGTTTGTGACGACAGTTTTAGCTCTCAAGACATTTCTTATCTCCATTCTAAATTTCAGGATTTTTAGCCAGTCGTAAGCTGTGTCTGTCACTTGGTTGGTAACTAGCAGACCTGAAATATGCTCTTCAATTAGAAACGAACATCCAATTCAAATTTTAGCATGAAATTTCCATAGAATATATTGAATGTAAATTTGATGTAAAAAAATACTCAGGGTAAGTTACAAATAAGTTAATGATGCCCCTCCTCTTGTGATGTAATCCTTGTGTCCGTATAAAACTAACCCAGGTTTGAATCAACTTTTAGAATTTTAAAAATATTTGTGTTATTGTGCTTAGATGTATACTAAGTTTTAGTCAAGGATGAACATTGTTTTGTTAGAAAAAGAAGTAGGCCTACAACTTTAGTTCTTTTTCCTTTTTGCTATATAATATTTAAAAACAAACAATAAAATGTAGAAGGCCTAGATGAGTTTTAAGGGTTGTCCATAAATGTTGTAACATTCCTAAAAAGGGGGGGGGGGGTGTCAGACTTTTGTAACAATGTGTGGCGAATTAGCACTTTAGCATTTAAAAAGTTAAACAAAAAATGTATAAATGTGTGTGTGTGGAAGTATGACATCTTTTTGTAAGAGGGGGTTTGGTGTATTGTGTCTATCTAAGATAATACATAGTCGAAGGTAAGAATTCTGAAAAAAGTTAAATTATTAATGGATGACCCCTTTGTTTGAAAAACTGATAAAATACTTGAAAAATCACCAGTGGTTTAATTTTTAGAAAGTGACAATGAAATAAGTCACAAATATTTTGTCTTATGGTTGTAGTAAAATTTTAAATTGTCATTTCACAATAACATAACTATAGAAATTTCAAAATATTTTTCATAGACTAATTTGTATATTAATATGTTCCTCTTGAAGTATAATATTAATATTTTTTCTGCAATGAGTTCTTTTTTTAATGTTGCTTTCTAATGGAATGTGTTGAACAAACAAATTGAGACTATAGTTTCCCCAGATGTGGGATTTGAAGAAGAAAAACGTTTTTCTTATATTATGTGCATGAATTTTGTAAAGGTATTATGTTGGAATTATTTTAGAATAAGCCTATATGAGAGTTTAGTACTTTATTCTTGTTTTTTTTTAATTTAATAGTTTTATTTGTCTCATATTCATCATTTACTGTGTCAGTTTGTTTTGCAGATTTGATTTTTAAAAATTAGATTTGCTTTATTTCTTCTAAGTCTATGTCAGTATACTTTTTCCAGACATTTTCATTTTATTCCTATCTATCCATATAGTCTATTTTTATACAGTCAATTTTTATCTTTAATTTATCTTCAATTAGCTAATTCTAGTCTAAGATATTGATTGTTGTTTGATTGTAGAGCGCTATATATTGGTGTGTGTTTTATCCAATTATGCTTTGCTTTTATTTTCTTGGAAAATTTCTTTGTAAGCACTTCCATAAGACATTTAATTAAAATTTTTCCCTTATTTTCAGCCCAACATATATATTGCTAATAGGTGATTATCTGCTATTATCCTGAGTCTAAGGTGTTAAGATCAGATAGTCTCAGTGACCTTTACTTTAATTTACCTTTAATTTTGTTTTTTAAAGCAGTTGCAGCTAATGTTTTAGATTTTTCATTTTTTTTTCTGCCTCAGACAAGTAATTTACAGCGTCAGTTTGCCTTGCTTGTTCTTTAGTATAACAGTTTTCATTATCGGCTTGTGAGGACTGATACAGATTTACAATAGTAATACTTCTTTCGTACATGTATCCTACTTTCATTCATTTATTAAGATGGTTTACTTATACATAGATCTAATAGAAAACGTCTAATTATAATTTTATAGTAAAAAACCTGAAAATGCAAATGTTTAATTATATAATGATTCAAAGGATTTTTTTTAAGTTTTTTTTTTTTTTTTAAATTTAAAAAAGATATTACATTGAAGTACATACAACAATGCAATTAAAGGAAAGATGGGTAAATTTTTTAGAAATAATTGTGAATAAATCCTGAAGTGTTTATTTTCATGTATATAAAAATTTCAAAATGAAATTTCAAAAATAGTTTTAAAATTACCAATTTCATAAAACATCGACTATATTTTATTATTTTTCTTAACAAAACAATTTTTAATGTTTTATTTGTATATTTTTTAATTACATTTTATGTTTTTGCTAATTTGATTTGATGTTGCTTCCCCTGAATTTTAAAGTACCTTTACTTACATGGAAGATAATTTATTGTCACTTCTCTCAGACAAACTCTATCATCCATTTTTGTGTTACCCATATACACCCGAATTCTCACTTGTCAGGAAAACAGTCCTTGTGTCAGTAAATGTCAGTGACAGAACTCTTATTTTAGTCTAGGACTTACTGTCAGTGATATCCCTCTGGTAGATTCCTTGTGTCAGTAAATGTCAGTGACATAACTCTTATGCTAGTCTAGGACTTACTGTCAGTGATATCCCTCTGGTAGATTCCTTGTGTCAGTAAATGTCAGTGACATAACTCTTATGTTAGTCTAGGACTTACTGTCAGTGATATCCCTCTGGTAGATTCCTTGTGTCAGTAAATGTCAGTGACATAACTCTTATGCTAGTCTAGGACTTACTGTCAGTGATATCCCTCTGGTAGATTCCTTGTGTCAGTAAATGTCAGTGACATAACTCTTGAGTTAGTCTAGGACTTACTGTCAGTGATATCCCTCTGGTAGATTCCTTGTGTCAGTAAATGTCAGTGACATAACTCTTGAGTTAGTCTAGGACTTACTGTCAGTGATATCCCTATGGTAGATTCCTTGTGTCAGTAGTGAAGTCAGTAGCAGATACAGCCTGTGCTTGTCATTGCTGGCTAGACTTGTGTGAGCCTGCACTTCACACAACACTTCCACCAGCTGGTCTAGCTTGGAGCAGAGATTTGATCTGAAGATATTTTTTTAAGAACATTTTACACACAAACATTGATGACTACTAAGACAGGTATTGAAATTTACAAAAAAAAATTATTATCTAATAATACATGTAGTTTATAATACATAATATAACATTAAATGTGTCATGTTGATTGTGTGTGATAAATTAATTTTAAAAATGTGGTGTTTCTCTAAAATTATGTCTGATATATTACTCTAAAAATGTCTGTGATTTGCTCTAGTAGTGTCTAAGATCTATTGATCTAGTAATGTCAATGTTATTCTAGTAATGTCTATGTTGTTCTAGTAATGTCTATGTTGTTCTAATAATGTCTATGTTGTTCTAGTAATGTCTATGTTGTTTTAGTAATGTCTATGTTGTTCTAGTAATGTCTATGTTGTTCTAGTAATGTCTATGTTGTTCTAGTAATGTCTATGTTGTTCTAGTAATGTCTATGTTGTTCTAGTAACATGTATGTTGTTCTAGTAACATCTATGTTGTTCTAGTAACATGTATCTTATTCTACTAGCGCCTATGATTTGATGATTTAAAAATACCATCACACCTCTGGTGCCGCAACTCTTCCTTGTCTTTTTTCTCCAAAGTTTTTCCAGTTGACCTCTCCCAGATAACAGCCTCAGCAGTTACGACACACTGGACAGGAAACCTCAGCAGCCAGTGGCGAAATGTGGATTTGATATCCTGGCTTATCTCCTCCTGTTTAGAAAATGGTACGCTCTTGCCTAGCCTGGCTAGTTCTTCTAAGATCAATATGGGCTGGCGTGTACCTAGACATAAAGCTACACGTTACCATGTGTATTGACCAGGACAGTACCATGTGTAATGACCAGGACAGCTACAAGTATATTGTTATATAGTACAGAACTTAAGAGTATGTTTATGGTTGGAAGTTCAGAGACACTGATATATGAAGTCAAACTTAAAAAGATGATAAGAAACTAATGTAAATAAAGGTATATGTCATAAAGACTGACAGCTGTGTGTTGTACATTTGTACAATGTAAATGTGATAAAACCCCAGGGAAAGCGGAAGAGAGGGCGCCCAAGACAGACCTGGAGGAGGAGTCTTCTTGAAGAACTGAAGCCAACAGGGATGTCTTGGGAGACGGCAAAATTAATAGCCGGGGATCGAATGAAATGGAAGGAAATGGTTGAGGCCCTATGTTCCATAAGGAGCAAAGAGGACTAAGTCAAGTCAAGTCAAATGTGATAAAAAAGTGTTTAAACACAATTTACCTTCTTCAATACGAGCCTGAACGCAGGCTTTGAGTATGATCGTCATTGTGTTTTTTAGGACCTGATTGACACTGTGCAGCCATTTTGGTGCTGTTGACGCTGGCTCCACCTTGGTGTACAGGGGCAACTCCTCATCAAAAGCACCAAAAACACTCACCACTTCCAGCTTGTCACCTGCAAGTCAGTAACATTCAAGTTTGTTTTAACACATGATTTATCACTTGTTTTAACACATGTTTTATCATTTGTTTTAACACATTTTTAAACACATTTATTAAAACATTTTAAACACATTTTTAAACACATTTTTTAACACAATTTTTAACACTTCTACTGCTAGGTTGTAATAGTTAAATTTCATTAAGTCATTGAACGAAAGTTATTTTCTTTTTTTTTCTTTTCTTAATTCTGGTGTTCGAAAGGAAATTTTTTATGCACCATATGGGTTTTTACTCCAATTTCAGCCTGCTTTTCTTTTTGGATTTGCTTTTCCAACCAAGAATAAACAACAAAGCAGCAGATTGTTTGATTTTGGAGATGTCTCTCCTAGATGAAATGCTGTCTTTAGCTATCAATCTTCATCTTCCGTGTGGTTGGAACTGGGGACTTTTTGGTTCAGCAACCATGAGCTCAACCAACCCGACCACACCGACCTCTGAAAGTTATTTTAAATGATTGACAAAAAAAAAAAAACTTACTATTAAGGGTTAGGTCTAAAGGTGTTTTAAGACCCCCAGATGAGGAGGGGAGAGAAAATTTCATGTTTTCCACCTGGGGGAAACACCTGCGCACATACGGAAGCAGAGCTTGTGGGTTTCTGGACACCCCCAACATCTCTACAATCTCTTCGTCGCTGAGGAAATACAGGCGATGGAAGACGTTCCTCGCCTTCTCCACATACACAGCCAGATCCTTCAAGATCTCCTCCTGCCAATGTTAGGTTTGGGAAAAAGTTCCAGAAAAAAGGTATGATGGAAGATACTTTTTTCTAAAAGTGGTAGGCTATACACTATATTTAATAACAACTTATGACCCTTAAGCCAAGGTTTCCATTATTTTTTTAAAATGTGCCAAAGCTCAATTTCATTATTTCATAGTAAACATGTTTCTTTTTATTAGGAGCAGCTCTATAACTAATAACAATAAAAGTTAGTTTTTTTTAAAGAAATTGTACCATTTAACAAAAAATTAGAAACATGCCAAAACAATGAGTATCCTGGGATACTACGATCAAAATTCAAATTTTTAAAAAAGTTTTAAATTTCTACTCTATCTTTACATAAAACAGGTTTCTGATAAATATTAGGGCTTCTAGGTATAACAAATCTTTTTATCTGTTTCCTTTTGAAAATGAAACATATTAAGTTTTGAAGGAATGTCCTTCATGTTAAATAAAACAGAATGAAAAAGAATCAGAATATTTAAACTGTGCAAAACTTACTTGCTCCTGAATAAGGGAGATAAAAAGTGACTTGAGGTGATCTCCCTGTAGCAGTCTGTAGCCCTTTTCTCCCCTTCTTCTGTTCACCACAGACAAGCATTTGGAGTCAGCACAGACTACTCGCATCCAGTCCTGAGAAGTTGTGGGTAAACAAGTCAACTATTTTGTCAGATACTAGCATCCAGTCCTGAGAAGTTGTGGGTAAACAAGTCAACTATTTTCTCAGATACTAGCATCCAGTCCTGAGAAGTTGTGGGTAAACAAGTCAACTATTTTGTCAGATACTAGCATCCAGTCCTGAGAAGTTGTGGGTAAACAAGTCAACTATTTTGTCAGATACTAGCATCCAGTCCTGAGAAGTTGTGGGTAAACAAGTCAACTATTTTGTCAGATACTAGCATCCAGTCCTGAGAAGTTGTGGGTAAACAAGTCAACTATTTTCTCAGATACTAGCATCCAGTCCTGAGAAGTTGTGGGTAAACAAGTCAACTATTTTGTCAGATACTAGCATCCAGTCCTGAGAAGTTGTGGGTAAACAAGTCAACTATTTTGTCAGATACTAGCATCCAGTCCTGAGAAGTTGTGGGTAAACAAGTCAACTATTTTCTCAGATACTAGCATCCAGTCCTGAGAAGTTGTGGGTAAACAAGTCAACTATTTTGTCTGATACTAGCATCCAGTCCTGAGAAGTTGTGGGTAAACAAGTCAACTATTTTGTCTGATACTAGCATCCAGTCCTGAGAAGTTGTGGGTAAACAAGTCAACTATTTTGTCTGATACTAGCATCCAGTCCTGAGAAGTTGTGGGTAAACAAGTCAACTATTTTGTCTGATACTAGCATCCAGTCCTGAGAAGTTGTGGGTAAACAAGTCAACTATTTTGTCTGATACTAGCATCCAGTCCTGAGAAGTTGTGGGTAAACAAGTCAACTATTTTGTCTGATACTAGCATCCAGTCCTGAGAAGTTGTGGGTAAACAAGTCAACTATTTTGTCTGATACTAGCATCCAGTCCTGAGAAGTTGTGGGTAAACAAGTCAACTATTTTGTCAGATACTAGCATCCAGTCCTGAGAAGTTGTGGGTAAACAAGTCAACTATTTTGTCTGATACTAGCATCCAGTCCTGAGAAGTTGTGGGTAAACAAGTCAACTATTTTGTCAGATACTAGCATCCAGTCCTGAGAAGTTGTGGGTAAACAAGTCAACTATTTTGTCAGATACTAGCATCCAGTCCTGAGAAGTTGTGGGTAAACAAGTCAACTATTTTGTCAGATACTAGCATCCAGTCCTGAGAAGTTGTGGGTAAACAAGTCAACTATTTTGTCAGATACTAGCATCCAGTCCTGAGAAGTTGTGGGTAAACAAGTCAACTATTTTGTCAGATACTAGCATCCAGTCCTGAGAAGTTGTGGGTAAACAAGTCAACTATTTTGTCAGATACTAGCATCCAGTCCTGAGAAGTTGTGGGTAAACAAGTCAACTATTTTGTCAGATACTAGCATCCAGTCCTGAGAAGTTGTGGGTAAACAAGTCAACTATTTTGTCAGATTTTAGCTTCCAGTCCTGAGAAGTTGTGGTCAAACAAGTCAACTATTTTGTCAGATACTAGCATCCAGTCCTGAGAAGTTGTGGGTAAACAAGTCAACTATTTTGTCAGATACTAGCATCCAGTCCTGAGAAGTTGTGGTCAAACAAGTCAACTATTTTGTCTGATACTAGCATCCAGTCCTGAGAAGTTGTGGGTAAACAAGTCAACTATTTTGTCTGATACTAGCATCCAGTCCTGAGAAGTTGTGGGTAAACAAGTCAACTATTTTGTCTGATACTAGCATCCAGTCCTGAGAAGTTGTGGGTAAACAAGTCAACTATTTTCTCAGATACTAGCATCCAGTCCTGAGAAGTTGTGGGTAAACAAGTCAACTATTTTGTCAGATTTTAGCATCCAGTCCTGAGAAGTTGTGGGTAAACAAGTCAACTATTTTGTCAGATACTAGCATCCAGTCCTGAGAAGTTGTGGGTAAACAAGTCAACTATTTTCTCAGATACTAGCATCCAGTCCTGAGAAGTTGTGGGTAAACAAGTCAACTATTTTGTCAGATACTAGCATCCAGTCCTGAGAAGTTGTGGGTAAACAAGTCAACTATTTTGTCTGATACTAGCATCCAGTCCTGAGAAGTTGTGGGTAAACAAGTCAACTATTTTGTCAGATACTAGCATCCAGTCCTGAGAAGTTGTGGGTAAACAAGTCAACTATTTTGTCAGATACTAGCATCCAGTCCTGAGAAGTTGTGGGTAAACAAGTCAACTATTTTGTCAGATACTAGCATCCAGTCCTGAGAAGTTGTGGGTAAACAAGTCAACTATTTTGTCTGATACTAGCATCCAGTCCTGAGAAGTTGTGGGTAAACAAGTCAACTATTTTGTCTGATACTAGCATCCAGTCCTGAGAAGTTGTGGGTAAACAAGTCAACTATTTTGTCTGATACTAGCATCCAGTCCTGAGAAGTTGTGGGTAAACAAGTCAACTATTTTGTCTGATACTAGCATCCAGTCCTGAGAAGTTGTGGGTAAACAAGTCAACTATTTTGTCTGATACTAGCATCCAGTCCTGAGAAGTTGTGGGTAAACAAGTCAACTATTTTGTCTGATACTAGCATCCAGTCCTGAGAAATTGTGGGTAAACAAGTCAACTATTTTGTCTGATACTAGCATCCAGTCCTGAGAAGTTGTGGGTAAACAAGTCAACTATTTTGTCTGATACTAGCATCCAGTCCTGAGAAATTGTGGGTAAACAAGTCAACTATTTTGTCTGATACTAGCATCCAGTCCTGAGAAGTTGTGGGTAAACAAGTCAACTATTTTGTCTGATACTAGCATCCAGTCCTGAGAAGTTGTGGGTAAACAAGTCAACTATTTTGTCAGATACTAGCATCCAGTCCTGAGAAGTTGTGGGTAAACAAGTCAACTATTTTGTCAGATACTAGCATCCAGTCCTGAGAAGTTGTGGGTAAACAAGTCAACTATTTTGTCAGATACTAGCATCCAGTCCTGAGAAGTTGTGGGTAAACAAGTCAACTATTTTGTCTGATACTAGCATCCAGTCCTGAGAAGTTGTGGGTAAACAAGTCAACTATTTTGTCTGATACTAGCATCCAGTCCTGAGAAGTTGTGGGTAAACAAGTCAACTATTTTGTCTGATACTAGCATCCAGTCCTGAGAAGTTGTGGGTAAACACGTCAACTATTTTGTCTGATACTAGCATCCAGTCCTGAGAAGTTGTGGGTAAACAAGTCAACTATTTTGTCTGATACTAGCATCCAGTCCTGAGAAGTTGTGGGTAAACAAGTCAACTATTTTGTCTGATACTAGCATCCAGTCCTGAGAAATTGTGGGTAAACAAGTCAACTATTTTGTCTGATACTAGCATCCAGTCCTGAGAAGTTGTGGGTAAACAAGTCAACTATTTTGTCTGATACTAGCATCCAGTCCTGAGAAATTGTGGGTAAACAAGTCAACTATTTTGTCTGATACTAGCATCCAGTCCTGAGAAGTTGTGGGTAAACAAGTCAACTATTTTGTCTGATACTAGCATCCAGTCCTGAGAAGTTGTGGGTAAACAAGTCAACTATTTTGTCAGATACTAGCATCCAGTCCTGAGAAGTTGTGGGTAAACAAGTCAACTATTTTGTCAGATTTTGATACTTGCGTCCAGATATCAGAATTTGGTTACCAGTGCTCAATTGTCAGATTTTTTTCTACTGCTCAATAATTAAATTTTGGTTTCAACAGCTAAATAATTAAATTTCATTTTCTTGTGCTAAAATACAATTTAAAAAGAATACTGACCTTGAACTTGCTGTGAATTGCTTCAAACTTTGCTGCATGCTGTGACAGGTTTTGATAAATGTCAGGTTGTTCAAAGATCTTTACAAGATACAACCACTGGAAAATATTCAGAGTTATAAAAAAAAAATATATATAAATCAGAGAATGAATATAGCCTTACTATTTATTTTAGAATTCAGCTAATGCTTTGAAAAATATCATTTTGATTCTTTAATAATCAAAATCAATATAATTTACAACAAAAACATTTTCATAAAATAGAAAAATACAATTAAAACAATGAATTTATAGCGAACACAATTTAATCCATCCCACCTTTTTTTGACAGTCCAGCCACAGGCCAGTGATCTCTTTGATCTGCCTAAGTGCATGGTACCAGAAGCTGACCTGCTCCTTCATTGTGCCAACATTGGGTGAGGTATACATGGTGTCTACTGTGATACGACTATCCTGTGGTGACATTAGCAATGGATGTAAGAAAAAAAACAATTCTCAGACCTGACTTTAAACTGGTGAAATAGTTTATTATTGATAATATGAAGGGACACTATTGTGTAGGTAGTAAACCAAGTCATTACATAAAACCAGCCAAGCCAACACAGAGTACCTCTATGCTCAATTAAACAGGTCTAAAATAATCAGAGATATTGCTGCAGATGTATGAGTTTATTTTAATTACACCAATCACTTTGTAGTTCAGCTCATCCAGTTACCTCTAAATAATAGTTCAGCTCATCCACATCAATGAGAAGAAAAAAGTCATCCGTGGATACATCCAGAGCTTTGTTGGATCCAGCCTGGGCTGCTGCCCTCTCCTGACGGTACCGCTCCAATTTGCTGGGCCTCGTTGTGCCGGATGTTGCTCTTTTCAAAGATTCTACAACAGAATGAATGTTCATATAAACACCTATACTACATCAGATAGAAGATTTAATTCCATTCAAAGTACTTATAATAAATTTATGAAAAGACTAAATAAATTTAATGAACATATTTTTATTACCTTTATACATACTGTCTGGGAGATATTTGGCCAGTTGGTCCAACCAAAAGTTGACCTACCTTTATACATACTGTCTGGGAGATATTTGGCCTGTCCTGCCAAAAGTTGACCTACCTTTATACATACTGTCAGAGAGATATTTGGCCAGTTGGTCCAATCAAAAGTTGACCTACCTTTATACATACTGTCAGAGAGATATTTGGTCAGTTGGACCAACCAAAAGTTGACCTACCTTTATACATACTGTCTGGGAGATATTTGGCCTGTCCTGCCAAAAGTTGACCTACCTTTATACATACTGTCTGGGAGATATTTGGCCAGTTGGTCCAATCAAAAGTTGACCTACCTTTATACATACTGTCAGAGAGATATTTGGTCAGTTGGACCAACCAAAAGTTGACCTACCTTTATACATACTGTCTGGGAGATATTTGGCCTGTCCTGCCAAAAGTTGACCTACCTTTATACATACTGTCTGGGAGATATTTGGCCAGTTGGTCCAACCAAAAGTTGAACTACCTTTATACATACTGTCAGGGAGATATTTGGCCAGTTGGTCCAACCAAAAGTTGACCTACCTTTATACATACTGTCTGGGAGATATTTGGCCAGTTGGTCCAATCAAAAGTTGACCTACCTTTATACATACTGTCTGGGAGATATTTGGCCAGTTGGTCCAACCAAAAGTTGACCTACCATTATACATACTGTCAGAGAGATATTTGGTCAGTTGGACCAACCAAAAGTTGACCTACCTTTATACATACTGTCTGGGAGATATTTGGCCTGTCCTGCCAAAAGTTGACCTACCTTTATACATACTGTCAGAGAGATATTTGGCCAGTTGGACCAACCAAAAGTTGACCTACCTTTATACATACTGTCTGGGAGATATTTGGCCTGTCCTGCCAAAAGTTGACCTACCTTTATACATACTGTCTGGGAGATATTTGGCCAGTTGGTCCAATCAAAAGTTGACCTACCTTTATACATACTGTCAGAGAGATATTTGGTCAGTTGGACCAACCAAAAGTTGACCTACCTTTATACATACTGTCTGGGAGATATTTGGCCTGTCCTGCCAAAAGTTGACCTACCTTTATACATACTGTCTGGGAGATATTTGGCCAGTTGGTCCAACCAAAAGTTGAACTACCTTTATACATACTGTCAGGGAGATATTTGGCCAGTTGGTCCAACCAAAAGTTGACCTACCTTTATACATACTGTCTGGGAGATATTTGGCCAGTTGGTCCAATCAAAAGTTGACCTACCTTTATACATACTGTCTGGGAGATATTTGGCCAGTTGGTCCAACCAAAAGTTGACCTACCTTTATACATACTGTCAGAGAGATATTTGGTCAGTTGGACCAACCAAAAGTTGACCTACCTTTATACATACTGTCTGGGAGATATTTGGCCTGTCCTGCCAAAAGTTGACCTACCTTTATACATACTGTCTGGGAGATATTTGGCCAGTTGGTCCAACCAAAAGTTGAACTACCTTTATACATACTGTCAGGGAGATATTTGGCCAGTTGGTCCAACCAAAAGTTGACCTACCTTTATACATACTGTCTGGGAGATATTTGGCCAGTTGGTCCAATCAAAAGTTGACCTACCTTTATACATACTGTCTGGGAGATATTTGGCCAGTTGGTCCAACCAAAAGTTTACCTACATTTATACATACTGTCTGGGAAATATTTGGCCTGTCCTGCCAAAAGTTGACCTACCTTTATACATACTGTCTGATTTGGCTAGTTGGTCCAACCAAAAGTTGACCTACCTTTATACATACTGTCAGGGAGATATTTGGCCTGTCCTGCCAAAAGTTGACCTACCTTTATACATACTGTCTGGGAGATATTTGGCCAGTTGGTCCAACCAAAAGTTGACCTACCTTTATACATACTGTCAGGGAGATATTTGGCCAGTTGGTCCAACCAAAAGTTGACCTACCTTTATACATACTGTCTGGGAGATATTTGGCCTGTCCTGCCAAAAGTTGACCTACCTTTATACATACTGTCTGGGAGATATTTGGCCAGTTGGTCCAACCAAAAGTTGACCTACCTTTATACACACTGTCAGGGAGATATTTGGCATGTCCAAATAAAAGTTGACCTACCTTTATACATACTGTCTGGGAGATATTTGGCCAGTTGATCCTGCCAAAAGTTGACCTACCTTTATACATACTGTCAGGGAGATATTTGGCCAGTTGGAACTGCCTGTCCTGCCAAAAGTTGACCTACCTTTATACATACTGTCTGGGAGATATTTGGCCAGTTGGTCCAACCAAAAGTTGACCTACCTTTATACATACTGTCTGGGAGATATTTGGCCAGTTGATCCTGCCAAAAGTTGACCTACCTTTATACATACTGTCAGGGAGATATTTGGCCAGTTGGTCCAACCAAAAGTTGACCTACCTTAATACATACTGTCTGGGAGATATTTGGCCAGTTGATCCTGCCAAAAGTTGACCTACCTTTATACATACTGTCTGGGAGATATTTGGCCAGTTGGTCCAACCAAAAGTTGACCTACCTTTATACATACTGTCTGGAAGATATTTGGCCAGTTGGTCCAACCAAAAGTTGACCTACCTTTATACATACTGTCTGGGAGATATTTGGCCAGTTGGTCCAACCAAAAGTTGACCTACCTTTATACATACTGTCTGGGAGATATTTGGCCTGTCCAACCAAAAGTTGACCTACCTTTATACATACTGTCTGGGAGATATTTGGCCAGTTGATCCTGCCAAAAGTTGACCTACCTTTATACATACTGTCTGGGAGATATTTGGCCAGTTGGAACTGCCTGTCCTGCCAAAAGTTGACCTACCTTTATACATACTGTCTGGGAGATATTTGGCCAGTTGGTCCAACCAAAAGTTGACCTACCTTTATACATACTGTCTGGGAGATATTTGGCCAGTTGGTCCAACCAAAAGTTGATCTACCTTTATACCTACTGTCAGGGAGATATTTGGCCAGTTGGTCCAACCAAAAGTTGACCTACCTTTATACATACTGTCAGGGAGATATTTGGCCAGTTGGAACTGCCTGTCCTGCCAAAAGTTGACCAACCTTTGTACATACTGTCAGGGAAATATTTGGCCTGTCCTGCCAAAAGTTGACCTACCTTTATACATACTGTCTGGGAGATATTTGGCCAGTTGGTCCAACCAAAAGTTGATCTACCTTTATACCTACTGTCAGGGAGATATTTGGCCAGTTGGTCCAACCAAAAGTTGACCTACCTTTATACATACTGTCAGGGAGATATTTGGCCAGTTGGAACTGCCTGTCCTGCCAAAAGTTGACCAACCTTTGTACATACTGTCAGGGAGATATTTGGCCTGTCCTGCCAAAAGTTGACCTACCTTTATACATACTGTCAGGGAGATATTTGGCCAGTTGGAACTGCCTGTCCTGCCAAAAGTTGACCAACCTTTGTACATACTGTCAGGGAGATATTTGGCCTGTCCTGCCAAAAGTTGACCTACCTTTATACATACTGTCAGGGAGATATTTGGCCAGTTGGAACTGCCTGTCCTGCCAAAAGTTGACCAACTGCTGGAGCCGCTGGCTTTGGTTGTTCTCTGACAGAGCGCTGGTGTAGGTGGCATCCACCAGGTGGGACATCTCAGACAGGTTGTAGGACAAAAGTTCTGCAACAGACAGCTGGTGGCTGGGGTCGTAGGGGACATTCATTCCCAGGAAAATTTTCTGCCAATGTCGGTCCTACAAAAAAAGTAATCAATCTCAGTAAAATAAGACTGCTTGGTAAGAAAGTCATCTGCTTTTCTTTTGGTAAGGAAAGTGCTTCAATCTAACTATACCAGTGCAAATAGATGTTACACATTTAAAAATTCTAATAGCATTATGACAACATTTACTAAATTAGAATAAAAGAAAGTTGGAGACTAATAATGCAACAAACTTTACCTACAGGGCCCCTTCAGAAAGTTGGTGATTGATTAAAAAAAACTTTACCTGCAGGGCACCTTCAGAAAGTTGACTCAGGACAGGAAGTTGTTTGCTAAAGTCTTCAATCTGCTGGATCCAAGCTAGCAGAACTGGGTCACCTGGAGGGAGCAGTGGCCTTAACCTTGCTGTGGCAGCCTGCCATTCTGAGACTTTTTCCTCCACCTTTTTCATGTTGATCTAGTTTTTAAAAAAACATTTTTAAAAGTTTACTTATTAGCCAACACAGCAAGTTTAAACCTTTCTGTTGGTTTATGTTAATATATTCTGTTCATCAAACTTTACTTTCAATTATTATATATTACATTAACTTTGGAATAATTTTAACTGTAAACTTTACGCAGCAGGGGCATGAAAGTAATTTGAAAATCTTTTCATTATTTGAAATGACTTACATAATAATAAACTGAGATTTTTTTACTAGATTTTCCTCAGGGTAAAAGAAATAAAAATGAATAATCAAATAAATGTCTGATAATATCTTTTCTATACAATTGTATTCTTAAAATGATTTAATCACTACACATTATATTCTCTTATTTGTGTTGCAAATTAACAAAGAATTTTTAAAATGACATTTTATTTTTTAACATTAATCACTTTAAATGATAATAATTTTGTTTCCTTACTGCCATTTTGCACTGATTACCATAAGCAGTCTCTGACCTTTTTGAAAGACATTTGTTTCCAGTCTTTGATAGCATCCTGAGTGACCTCTGTATACTTCCAAACCTCCTGTCGTAGATTCATTTTTACCGCCATTTCCCCCAAAAACTTGAGGTTGTATGCCTCTCCCAAGATGGCTTCCCTACACTGACTGGCCTCATGAAGCTTCAGCTCAACACTAAAAAACTTCTCCCTTATCTATTGCAAGATATTCAATTTGCTAAATCAGTAATAGCTTTTGCAAGAAATGTATTTAAAGTGAATGTCCTGCATTAATAATAACCCAAATATCAAGTATGATAGAAAAGTATGAAGTAAAGGGCCACACATTAACTTCTGGTAATATCTATGCACGTATGAACCAAAAGGATTTAGTTGACATCTTTATGAATGGGATTAAGAGGGACAGCCTAGAGTTGACTGTACAAGAATGGAGTCTATATTCCAACATTCCAAGCCACATTTACCCAATAAACTTTAGAAAATCTGTACACAAACTGCAGATGATGACTGATTGTATTTAGAGAGAAAATAATGGTCAAACTCAAACAATGAAGAAGGCACAATACAAGTAAAAAAATTTTACCAGTTTCATGTCTGCTAAAATGGTGCCAGGATGTTGAGATGGATCCAGAAACTTGCCACTTGTTGCCATCTCAGAGAGCCTGGTTGCTTCCTTCTTTAGGTTCTGTTGGGTTATACATTCTTTCAACTCAAGTTTTATAAATGTTAATTTAATTTTGTAAGTCAGCAGTTTAAATACAAAAATTACCGAATCATAATTTACACAAGTAACAATTCCAAGCAAACCAATCACTAAACACCCCAGATCTTTTTCTTAATAGATTTTGTTGGATGGTGAATGTAACAACAGCTTGAGCTATGTTGGGATGAAGAGCAGAGGTAATAGAGCAGAGGAAGAAGAGAGGGGAAAGAAGAAGAGCAGGTGGTGAAGAGCAGGTGGTAAAAGAGCAGGTGGTAAAAGAGCAGGTGGGAAAAGAGCAGTTTGGAAAATAGCAGGTGGAGTAGAGCATCACTAACCTGGAAGTTAGTTTCGAGCTGTTGCAGCATGAGAGGGGTCTGGGTGTTGACAAAGTCAGAGGCTTCTTGAATCTTGATCAGAAAACTCTCCCACGAGGTCAAGACTCTCTCCTCACATTTCTCTTCCTCGGGGGTCAGCTGTCTGTAGCTCATCCTGATCACCTAGCAGACGTAAACCACTAATTAAAGCTGGGCCAACTTTAATTAACTACTTTAATAGGATTTTATAAAAAATTAAACCAAATGTGAATATTTATGATAACAGCCATTAATCCTAGGGCTAGCTAATATGATGACAGTCATTAAACAAAGTGTACCTCATAGAGTGACCTGATGTACTCAATCCTCTGTTGGTACTGGACTGTATTTTTCTTATAGTTGCTGAAGTTTTTGGCAAAGGCAGCAAATGACAAGACATCTGTTGTTTTGTCTGTCAGGTTCTAGTGAGAGTAGCAGTCAATAAAAGAACATGTTTTTCCAATGTAAATATCATGTGGCATCATAGTTTGATCAACTATTACTTTGAAAATTAAACTCTAAATTTCCAAGGCTTAAATGGTTATTGAATCACTGTGTAGGATAGGAGGGTCATTGGGTACAGAAAAACATTTCAAGGCAGGTCTGATAATTACTAGTGAACTCAGATTTTTAAAGAAATATTTGTAAATCCCGGATATAGGGATGGATTAGTCACACCCTGAGAAGGGGAGAGAATAACATTGTGAGGAAAGCTTTAGACTGGAATCCCCAGGGTAGGAGGAAAGTAGGCCAGCCAAAGAAACTTGGAGGAGGATAGTAGAAGATGAGTGAAGGGCTGCTGGGCTTATGTGAGGGCAAATGAAGAGGGCTGCTCAAAACCAATTCTAGTAGAGTGGTGTGGTTGCAGCCCTTTGCTCCTCAGGGGCTACAAAGGACTAAGTGAAGTTGTAAACAACACAAAGCTATTTATCTCATAAAAATGAAATTACTTTCAAAATGATGATCATTTCTTCCGCCAGATTTTGTGCCAGAGATTTTGCCTGTTCAGCCACAAATGAGATGAGCTCTTGGTAAATCTCATTCAGCCGAGGCAGGAGTCCGTCATGTACTGCCATACAGTCCACAAAAATCAAACCATTTTCTGTCATGTAATTTTTATCAAAGTTCCGAACTCTATCAGACCATTGGCGAAGCTCTGTGAGTTTTTGCTTTAAAAAATCAATTGTTAAAAATTTTAATGATTAAAAAACTCCTCAAATATGATACATTATAAATAAATAAAAACAACAATATTTTCTTACTTCAATGGTGAATGCAGCTGCTCCTTTGAATTCATGAGTACTTTTCTCTGTCCATTTGATGCAGAACTGCTGTATTTCATTGAGCCAATCATTGCTCTTACAGTAAGTGTCTATGTCAGCAAGGGCAGATAACATCAAATTTTTCTGCTTGTCTAATGCCATTCGATATTCAGTGCTATGTAGAAAAGATTACAATTTCTTTCTTTTAATATGCTTTTGTGATGCAGAAATATAAACTTCAGTTGATTACAATAATACAAAATGCACACACACATCTCATACAAAATACTAGTATACTTCATTTGACTAACACCAATCAGTAATTAAGATCAAACAACATACTCTAAGGAAAGCTTTTCTTCCAGATTAGCTTTAGCCAATGGGTTGTATTGACCCATCAGTCCAAGACCTTCAACTTGTATGCTCTCTTCATCAGTGTGCATGATGACAAGGTCAGGGGTTGCAACTCCTAACTCATCCTCCTCCTTTGTTGGTAACACTGAGACAGACAGGATTTGTACATTTAAAACACAGGAACAGAAGAATTATACAGATTAGTTTATTATCTTAAGATCAGCAAAACGGGAGGCACAGAGGAGGACATACGCGCTAGAGTTAATAAAGCCCGCTGCGCTTTCACAGTCCTGCGACCCATATGGAAAAGTTCGGCCATCTCCATTACCACAAAAATTAGGATATTTAACTCTAATGTCAAGGCAGTTCTGCTGTATGGAGCAGAGACATGGAGAGTCTCCAAGGCAAGCACAGCAAAGATACAGACCTTCATGAATAGATGCCTTAGACAGATACTGAAACTGAGATGGCAGGACAAAGTGCCGAACTTGGAACTATGGAGGAAAGCTAGGCAGGAGCCTATAGGTGTGCAAATAAGAAGGAGGAAGTGGCGCTGGGTGGGTCACACACTGCGAAAGGCTCACACAAATGTTACACGCCAAGCGCTTGAGTGGAACCCCCAGGGAAAGCGGAAGAGAGGGCGCCCAAGACAGACCTGGAGGCGGAGTCTTCTTGAAGAACTGAAGCCAATAGGGATGTCTTGGGAGATGTCAAAATTAATAGCCGAGGATAGGAAGAAATGGAAGGAAATGGTGGAGGCCCTATGCTCCATAAGGAGCAAAGAGGACTAAGTCAAAGTAAGTCAAGTTTATTATCTTGGTTAGTACATGGTGGTATTGGTTCAACATAAATTCTGAAAAGGTACACTGTATACCTTTGATTATGTGATTTTTATTCTGTAGTCTACATGTAAAAAATATTTGCCTACTTTGGCTTTGTGGTTCTATCTGTTGTTATTTTTAAATCATATCAATGTTAAAAATATGTTTCGATGCTACTTGTTTGTTTGGAGATTTTATGTTAAGGTTTTTTTAATTAGAAAAATTGGGCCCCTATTCTTTAAATAATTATTTTATGAAATAACACCTTATTTCAGAAATAGCCAAAAGAATTGATGTGCATTTTTTAAATCTATTGAATAAGAAAGTGCAGAAAAACAAAAACTAAAGGGAAAAGTGAAAATATGAATAATATTGAAAAGCTGTGGCATATAAAAAAATATGTTTTTGTTTACCTGACTGATATTGAAACAACAGTAACAGAAAGAAAATGCTTACTTTGCTGATGGAAGGTGGGCAATGATAGATTAGCTTCAGGTGAGAGACAGACACTGCCAGCTTGAGAAGACTTGTCAGATTTATCTGATCTGCTGGTCTGAGAGCCAGTGAGGGAAGAATTTAGCTTGGAGTACGTCTGAGAAAGCCTGATAAAAGAAAATAATATATTAATTCATTCAAGAAATTGTTTAGTAATCAAATCAATAATCTCATGAGTGTATGATATAAAACTTGTATATTTTAAAATCACAATTTTCATAAATAAAATACATGATAGATCCCACTTTTTTTAAACAGCTTTTAAAGAATTCCTCCATTTGCAGATGAAAATAGTTCTTGTAAAAAATTTTGATACGTTAAAGTGAAGAAAAATGAGAGAAATTATTTTTTACTTGTCTTGTGTTTTGACATCACCATTTCTTGAGTCTGTCTCTTCTGTTTCCTCATTTGATGAGCTAAAAATAGCTTTGGATGCCAGCAGCATGGGAATGGCTGTAAGTGCAGAACTAAGAACTTTCTGGAAGCGTTCTTTAGCTGGGTATAACGTGAGGATCCCTGTGTAATGTGTAAGACAAGCATTAAACTTCTCTGCTCTTTAAAAAGTACAAAAATTACATGCTCCTATAAAGTATGATTTTAACTCATGAATGTTAAAGGGAAGTAATATGGGTTAGTAGTCTATTTTAGTAGGATTGTTACCATCATTTGTAAAGAGTAGTTTCCCTTTAAAGAAGCCATCTCTAGATGCACCAGACTCCAGAATTTCATGAATGAAACAGATGGTTTGTGTTTTGGAAATTTCAAACATGTGCTCCACTATCAACTGATCAACCAACTTCACAAAATTACCCAAAAAACTGGATGGGAAAAGTGAAAGAAATTAATTATAACCTGAAGGCCTGTTTTAGAAAAAATAAATCTTTAAAAAAATCTGAATGCAAATTCTCTTATATGCTTTTGACTTACCCTGCTTCTCTTTTAGCATTGGCCAAATTCTTCTCTCTCTCCTCTTTTTTTGTCCTCTGTAATGACAGGGAATCTTTTGTGCTATAAGGTAGAAAAGAGTTTTATCCATTAAACTGTTTTTCAACACTTTTCTCTAACTAAATCTGAACTGTTCACCCTGCCATCTCTAATTTGCCACAATTGCAGTAAAAATAATTCAAGATGTTTCATCTTACAGAACAACAGGTATCAGTAAATGTGCAACTAAACGTCAGTGTGCTATTAAGAGTGACAATGACACTAAACTACTTATTACACACAAAAATTCAGATGAATATTTATTTATACTAACAAAAAGGTTTTTTTCTTTAATTGTTCCTCACAATACTGCAACTTTTTGAAAGATTCATCAACAGTGAATTCAATTACCATCTTCGTGTACCTGTTGTCAAACAAAATTTTTTAATTTTTCATATTTCTATATCAGACATTAAAAACAAATGAGCTACTGAACTTGAATGAAGTCTTGGATTGTTTTGTATTAAAAATTATTTGGTTAAAAAAGTCACAGACATTAAAGTCTAAAGTGTTTGTGTATTATTACACAAAAAAATTTATAATTGGCTTACTTGAAAAACCTTTCCAAAAATTTTTCTGCCTGAATATTTTTGAAGTTGATACTATTCTCAAACTCTCCAAGCTGGTATGTTTTGCTGAATTTAAAATGTATTTCACTATTTAACTTTTGAAGAAAATGATAACATGCTGACACATAATAAAGTAGTTCTACATTAACTATATAACAGAAACTTCTTTAGACACATTATACTAAAAAAAAATGAATCTAGCTTTTAAAATCCTCTTTACCTTATCTCTGTAGGCAAAAGTGGAACTGTTGTTAATTCTTTTAATAATCTACAAGAAAAATTTTTAAACACATTTTATACAGAGCAATGCATTTTTAATAAATTAATCAAGCATTAAAGCTTAATATTCCCTTTTTACTTTCTCGTATATACGTAGTATAGAGAAAGTATTGTAATCGTGCAAAAAAAAAAAATCGAGATTTTTACAAATCTCGACGTTTTACACCTCACTGATACGGAAAAACATAATTTTGCAATCTTGTCCGTATGTCTGTGTGTGTGTGTGTCTGTCTGTGTGTGTGTCTGTCCGTGTGTAAACACGATAACTTGAGTACCGTTACAGCTAGGTTGATGAAATTTCATATATAAGTATTTTATCAAAATCGTAGATCCGTATCAACTTTTGAGCGATTTCCGATAACCGGAAGTGGTACTTTTCCTACTTTGAATTTTTTAAAAGCCTATAACTTGAGTACTATTTTAGATAGATAAATGAAATTTCACATGTAAGTAAAAGATCTAATTCTCTACCTTCTGTTAAATTTTGAGTAATTTCCGTTGACTGGAAGTAGTAATTTACGCTACTTCCGATTTCTCAAAAAACTAATGTAAATTTTAAAAGTACTAATAATATTGCGCACCATTATGAACATCTTTATTCGGCGTTCGGTTGGTGCGCAATACTTTTTTCTATGAGATTCTATTCTATTTTAAAAAGTTTAAGTATTTAAAATGGATTAAAAATCATAACTATATCCCCAGTTACCATCCCCTGTTGTTTTATATAAGAATATTCGAGAAAGTTTAGGGGAGATCACTACCGGTTTATTAAACAACACTTTTTAACAAACAACAAAAAACATCAATTGTTTTAATATTTAATTTTATAACTTAAGCACTTTATTTTTATAAATATTATTTTTATACAGGCTGCATAACTATAGGTAAGTTACTAAAAGCACAGAGTACAAAACTCCCTATACATAATGGCTATTTGTATTACCTAGAGATCTGGAGAAGTGCAGCCCCAAAGGGAGGTAAAGCAGATAAGAGATTCATCTCCAAATTCTTCAGCCTTCTCTGAAAGTCTATAAATTTCTTGTTTGTCTTCCACCTGTTCACAGAAATTTAATTTACTGTAACAAGTCATATCTAGCAACACAATTTATAGCACATAATAATAATAATAGCCTGCATAATGTTTTTAGTTAAAATAAATAACTGCCTGAACTATTATTACTTCAAAAAGTCTGAGAAATTTAAAATACCTGAAAAATGCTTTGGTGATTAAATACTTCTTGAAAAATGGAATGTTTGATATTGCCTTCCATAGCACAGCTTCTCTTTGCCATTCAGCCAGGGTCAAGGTCTCTGATGGCTGGTCAGGATAAACATGGAGGACACCAAAAGTTGTGAATACGTAATGCTCTGGATTGACCTGGATACAAAAATATGGGCATTTTTATTAGAATTTAAAATACTTCAGTTTAAGTTAACATGTTGTTTATTATATGTCCAGAATACAGTTTAGTTAAGATTTTCTAAATGATTAGTTTACCAATGTTTTAATGGTTTGTTAAACATAGTCCAGAGTAAAACACAAAGCAGACTCACCAAAGCTTTAGGCACAGAGATGAGGTCGTATGGCTGGTAGTGTCTGTTGGGCGCCAGGTTGAGGTACAAAGATTTGACTTGACCCATGTGGTGACAGCCAGCAAAATACTGGACTGCCTCGCGTCCATTCATGATTGGGACCTCTTCCTGCATCTGATCACAACATTGACATAAATACAATAATGTGTTGCTCACATGCTGGGTAGCTATCCTATGCTAATGAGCCTCATCTTTTCAGGAACTTGCATATGATAAAAAGGATGTGTGCCACAGTCTTCTTTTTTTTTCTTTCATGGAAATTTTTTGGTTTTATCAAAATATTTTTAAAGACTTACTTTTGGTGCTGGCCGTGGAGTTTTTTCCACTCTAGGTGACAATGGCACTTGTGGCAGATTGATGAAACTAGATTTTTCTGGCAAGCTTTTTTCTTTTTCCTACACATTTCAGAAGTCAAAATATTATAATTAACCACAGGATAATAACAAAAAAATCTTTTAAAAAATCAACAAAATTGCTAATTAAGTAGAATATATTAAGTCTAAAAATCATCCTATCTAAAGAAACCAATGGTAAAAGATGCCCATAGAACTTACTTCTTCAGATAAGGCTGTAGCTAAAGCAAGGGCAGTAGTCCCAAGTGAGTGGCTCCAAACAGACTCCCCTATAGAACAGTAAACATCAGCACTCAATGGGTCAAGGTAGGATAAAACTAAAAACTTTTTAATGCCATGTTACAGTTTACCTAAACAATGTAATTTCCTAAATTAAAAATATTATCAGTACATTTTAAGATACTTTTAAAAATATTTTACTTGCTGCCATTTCTAAAGCCACATCCGCCATAGATTTGTTGAGATCTCGAATTGACAACTGCTTAGCTGGAAGGACCTTGGCATCACTCTAAAGTTGTAAATGTTTCATTAGCAACAAGAAGCAATGCAACTATCTCTGATTGTTTAACATTACTTCTGCATCAACATAATGTGATGCTTTTTTCCTTACACAAAAATGTATGAAGATTTTGCAGTAGACAAAATATATGTTAGGATATAACACAGCTTACAGGAATGCATCTTGCATATGGGTTAGTTCCATCTGGCAGTAGGTTTGAAGGGTAGGTGTGTCCCCTTGGTGATGGTGACTCTTTTTGTTTCTTGATGACAGGTGAGATGGGGGCATGCACTGGTACCACTGGTGTGGAGTAGTTCTTGGTGGGAGTTGAACCCTGAGCTTTGATCAGTTTAACATGCTGAATACGGAAAGTTACACAATTTTTGTATTCTTCAGTTTAAAATTGTGACTTGTACAAAATGTTACAAGTGTGGTACATTATTTATTTAACCTCGGTTAATTTTCTGTTTTATGTCACCGATATATTCAGAATTAGGGATAGAGCCTGGATTTGGATAACATTACTACAAAAAAAAAATATATATATATATGCTCAACAAGCAGTTAAACAAGTACCAACTTTGTTCAAAAACAATGAAATATATATTATCCATCTTTACAATTGTGATGATCAGATAACAGAAAACTGCTTAGATCTTTTACCTCTGGGAAAATCTTGATGAGAGTTGCCTCCACATGGAGGTCGAACAACCTGCTCTTGTTGACATGGACATGGTGTAAGACACGCTCCAAATAGTGGTGAAACTAGGGGAGATAATTGAGATCAGATGTTAGTTTATCACAAAGTAGACTGGTTAAACATGGATTACTACTAAAACAAATTATATTTTTCATTAGACCTTTCTTGTAATTTTAATCAATATAGCTTTTTTAATTCCATGTGAAAACATTTAATTTAAAAAATTGTAAAAACCTCAGCTTTAGTTTCAAAGTAGTCAAAAAAATCTTTGAAAGGCTCCAGGAGTGCAAGTGTTTCAATAAATATACACCACTGAGCTCGGCTGTGAAAACATTCAGTAACATCACAGTTATAACATAGTGTCTATATAAAATATAGCCAAGCATTGGCTAACTAAATTTTTCTTTACATGTTAACAAGAGTATAAATGTAAATATACCCTGTATAGCCAGTGAATGAAGACTAATGTTGACAACAATAAAAATTATTTAGTTCATATTAGTGAATAGTAAAACATTTAGTAACCTATCCATGTGTGTTGGTATATTTGTCAAATTTAGCACCTTATCTATCTGTTTTGATATTAGAGCACCTTATCTATCTGTTTTGATATTAGTGTAACATTTAGCATCTATTTATTTGCGTTGCTATGTGTTGGTATTTCTGCCACATTTACACCTTACCTATCTGTCTGCAGTGTGGTGATGAATACTGCAATCAATTCTTTTTTAAGGCTCATTATGTCATCCTCATTAACGTCCTCATGACACTCAACATTTTCTCTGATCCTAAAAGTAATTTTTGCTTTTATTTTGTATATCCATCAAAAATAAAAAGTTTAGAGCAGTAAAAATACAAAGCTGAAATAACTATTTGGTTGAAAAAACAAAACAAATTTTAGTTTCTTTACCCTAGCTATTTAAAAAAAAGGAAAGTGGTTTTCGAGGCACTAACACTCCCAAAAATTAAAATTAGCTTCATCCCAATTTTTTCTATAAACTTAATTAAATAACGTGTTACTTTGACTAAGTAAATGTAATACACCTAACATTTACGATAAAATTATCCACGAAAGTAATGCATGATAATGAAAAAACTTTTAACCTGTTTCTAAGCTCAAGAGCCCAGTTTGCTGCAACTTCCTTTGGTGAAGAATTTTTCCATTTCTGGGACTGAACAGGTGAAACTAAGTAGCTCCTGCCGCTAACAACAAATGGTAGTTTACTATCTTCAGTGACACTTGATGCCATTTCTTTTAGTTCTCTGATAGTTGTAAAAATACACACTAAAATGTAGTTTACTATTGTTAGAGTTTAATAATGTAAGATCAGACTAAAATCCTGTTTTTTACTTCAGCCAACAATGATTAGTTCCCTTCAGAGACGTAGTGACCCCTCCCAGTGCCCAGGGACAAACTTTCGATTTGGCCCCCCCCCATATATTTTTTTTATGTTTATAATTCAAAACTGCAGCTAAAATGAGCTTTTAATTATTTTTTCCAACCCATTTTGGCGCACCTAGGGTCGACACGCGGGAAATATGTACCCCCCACCCTCCCCCTTCGCTACGCCTCTGCTCCCCTCTTAGCAAAACTGGTCAGATGCTACCATATATTGTAATAGGCAGGAATATTACTGAGTTAGTGTTTTGATGTCATTGATTTAGAAAAAAAGCAAACATTAGTTATTAGGCCCCTAAATTAATACACCAGAAAAATTCTATAGAAAACTATAGAAAATTATATATTGTGTCCTACTTAAATAATTTCTTTAATTGAAAAAAAAAAATGCAAGGTAAAAACTAAACCTTCAAAAAATAACTTGATAGAGACACCAACTAGCTAAGCCTGCCCATTATGCCCGCTGTGTATTTGAATGGGAAGATATCTAGCAGACGACACATTTCTGCTCAATGGCAGTGAATGGTCGATCCTGTCACAACAACACTGCTTAAAAGCATACCCACATATCAGTCATATCTTCATAGCCATTTAAAAACAAAAGCGTTTTCTCACAAATCATTTTTAGCGCAATTTCCATACTGGGGGATTGTTAGCGCAATTTCCATACTGGGGGATTGCGATTATTAACTCGTCATTTCTGGATGGATGTGTGTCCGCAGCGTGTCCGCAGCTTTAAGTCGTATCTCCTCCTCAACGAAGCAATATCGAGGACTAGTTCCAAAAGCAAATATGTTAAGCAAGTTCCGAGGATGAACATAGGCCAATAAAATTCCCGGAATTCCTTCCTGGATTTCCCGGAAAAGCCAAAAAACCTAAAAAAAATATGCAGTTTTTGGCCCATATCTCGGCAACCAGACCACTTAGCGACTTGAAACATTTACCAATCGATTCCTGCTATAATTTAGAATAATATTGCAGAAGAAAGTTTTCAAAAATATCCTTTAGGTCGGTCACAAATTTTTTTTAAAAATTACATTATACATAATACACTACAGTACTATATAGCAATATAGAGAGCGCGACAACTAAATACCCCCTAAACGTCCGCATATTTTTTAAAATCTCGTTAATAAATATTTTTTCTATTTTATTTTGAATTTTTAAAACTACTTGTGTTGCATTATTTATTTGCTGAATATATGATTTATCTCGATTTAAAATTGTTATGGATAACATAAGGAAATTGCGCTTAAATTGTCACTAGACTTTTTATTAACTTGTTTAAACTACCAATTTATTTTGATAACTAAAATTTGTCTAAAATTGGTATAAAATTACTGGTATAAAATGAAGTTTTAATTGTTTAAGTCATGTTGAACGATAATGAAGTTTAAAATCTTGGGTGCCACCCTATTAAAAGCAAAAAAAAGGATAGACCAACACACTCTGCACCACATTATTCATTATTGTCATTATTTGTTTTTATTATGAGAGTACATGAGTACACATTAAAAGTATAAGAAAGCACTAGCCACTACACTAACAACTACACAGTACCACTCAGTAAAGTCAGTGAGTCATAGTACCTTCAGTCCTACACACTACACTCAGAGTACACTGAGACACTCAAAACTCTCACTCACACTGACTCACTCATCAGTCAGTACTCGGTACTGACTACTCGTCTACTCATACTGACTGACACTCAAAACTGTAACTAAACATGAATTATTTACTGATGTAATCATCGACACTGACGAGGCTTTAAGCGCAAAATCATACTCCCAAATCCCAAACGTAACCTAATTATAAAAGCTTATTTTCATTAGTATAACCAGCTATTTATTGTTTACTTGTTTCACTACATTTGAGTTTCTTTTAGTCTATGGTTGCCAAGTCGCCATTTTTTCACATTACAAACATAGCAGTTGCGCACTCAAAACAATTAAGACTCATTCAACGCTTTAGTTGTCATTTTATTTTATATATTTAATTTGAAAATATAAAAAGTTATAAAAATATATTATCTCTTACTTAAATTAATAGATTTACGTCATTTTATAGACTTCCTAATTAAACATATAGATCCAGATTATCAATGCTGCTGAATTTCAATAATACAGCTTGGTAGACAACCAAAATACCAGAGAAGTAAAAGACTGATGATGCCGCTAATGCGGATATAAAATCAACATTCGAAAACTTGTATTACGTTAGCTATTATAATAAAGAGAAACTATTATCTTAATTCTCAAAATCTATTAAAAAGGTATTGAATTTTTATAATTTAATGAAGAATGCCAGTCAATATATTAATATATATTATCTTAAACCGAATCGACAGACGGAAATTAATCTAAAACCTATTATCGATAGCTCAAAAAGAACTGTTACATTTTGTGATTGCTTAGCTTAGGCCTTAGGCTAAATCACAAATACATTTTATTTTAGCCTAACTTATTTAAAATATGATTGATTAATGTTTGATTCAGTTCAATCATAATCAAAATTGTAGGCCTAGATTTTATGAAATCATAAATTAAATAATAGTACACAACAGTAGGCCCTACACGGCTACAGTACAGGAGTAGGCCCTACACGGCTACAGTACAGGTTCATCAATTTTTTAATAGGTTTAGGTAGTTTAGGACTTAGGTACGTAAAATCGCCGGCGACTAGTAATGTGAAAAACAGGTGACTCCTTAAATTTTAATAATTATTTCACATTTATAGGAGGATTTATGTTTTGAAAAATACAAAAATGGTTCCTTTTTTCACGTAAGTACCAGTTTTTAAACAATTATATTAAAACTTTTCAGTAAGTAACAAATGAAGACTAGCGATGTTTTCAACAGATGCAACCATGCTCATTTACTAAAGCAACCATCTTATTTAAAAATTTTTTTGGTAAACTTATAGCGCAAGTTTCAGGGGAAGCCACTCTATTTTACAAATGGCTGCTGTTTATATAGTAAATCTTGCTCACAAACACTGATGTTTAAAGTTAATTTCTGGCCTATATTGATATATTTAGCCATTGATTTGTTTTATTACTCATTAATCTATAATATTTGACACAAATATATCACAATATAATTCTATTAAAGCCTTGACAATGAGGTAACTTTTTCGTACATTACTAGCCGCAGGCGATTTTACGTACCTAAAACGATAGATTACCTTCTTACTATTTCATATTCATATTAATATTATTAATGATGATATTATTAGCCTAATTATTATTAGTAATATTATGCTATAACAAGGCCTAACATATCAGGCCTATAGTCTGTCTCCTTAAACTTTAAAATTAAATGTAATTAAAACATTTTTTTTTACATTTACAGGTAGCTTCTAGTTGTTGAAACAAGAGTGCAGCAATGACTGGCAGACCTAGACCAGTCACTGCAACTGTTACAAAACCAAAGTATGTACTTCTCCAGTCTGTAGATAATTGATGCGTCAATGCTTAAATATCAATAAACCTGTTATAAATACCCTGTACAACTTGGCAAAAGTGACAATGTCTGGTTGTTAGAGCTTTTTGAAAACTGTTTCATGTTTGTGTTATTTTTCTGAACTACACTACTATTTCATTTTGTTTTCACATAAGAGTGCAATTACACTACATCGAAGTAGTAAAATAATTTCTGGCATGCCATTATTATGAGAACATAAGAATCACAATCACCCATAAATGACTCCCTACAACTTCCCTCAAAATTGCAGTTACATTTTTTTAAAAACATCAATTTCTTTAATTTAAAAAATATTGACTGAGCCCTGTCAACATAGAGTAAGTTAATCAATTTCTTTTAAAATTAACAAAAATAGTTTGTTAAAGCGGCTAAAATTCAGTTTCTAGCATTACTTTTTAAAAATGAAAATGTGTGATGTCACACTATCTCAACCTTCCTAATGCCCCCCATTCCTCTTAGGAGTGTGGCGTCATTTAGGGTTGACCCATGATTTAGATAATTTAAAAATTAAATTGAGTTTGTCAACTTCGCCTAGATTTTTCATTTTCTAAAAAAATTTCTTTGATTTTTTATTAAAACTGTTTAAAGATATATCAAAGTTAAGTTTCTAATATTTTGGTAGATGGATGCAATTACCTAGCCCAGATGCCATGAATAAAATTCGAAGAAAATCCTTGGAGTCGAATGGTTCAACTGCATCATTGACTTCCCTTCTGGAGCACAGCAGCTTTGACAGTGATTCAGATGTGGACAGAAGGAATACCCACATGTCAGATTCTGAGACTTTATCTTCACCAAAGAGAGTTGAAGTTTCAAACAGAAAGTAATTGCTTGTGTTTTTAATTTACATTCCTGTTTGATGGTTTTTTTTTAATATTTTGAAATTAAAAATATTTATTTTGTCTGTATGCTTTTTTTTAGAATATTACTATTTTGGCATCAAAGTTATGTTGTTGAAATATTCAACATCAGACAAAAAAAAAAGCTTATAATTATAAAAGGTAGATGCTGTTGAGACCATTATTTGTGTGTCTTGTTCATTTTCAGAATATCTAGTTCAAGACGGAGCAAAACTTCCAACAGTAATCTTTCTGCGTGGGAACAATGGATCATTGAGAAAGCAAAAGAGGATTTTCATAAGAAACAGACAGAGTTAATTGAAAGTCGATTAGCAAAATTGAAAAAAGAAGAAAAAGACAGGGAAAAGCATATGAAACAAGTTAAAGTTCAACAAGTTAGGCAATCTTGGATAGAGAAGAAAAATGAGGAAATTTTAATGCAGAAAAAGTTGAAAAAGATGAAAATAAAAGAAGAAAAAGAAAAGGAAGAGTTGAAAGAGAAAATTAAGCAAAAGGCAGCAGAAAAGTTTGAGGAGTGGCAGGCGTTGAAAAGGAAAGAAGAAAAAGAGAGAAGGAAGAGACAGAAAGAAGATAAGGAGCGCTTGCAGCGGGAGGAAGAGCAAAGAAAACAGAAAGCAGAAGAAAAATACCAAGAGTGGCTACAAATGGCTAAAAATAGACCCAAATCTGCACCCAATAGCTTTGGTTATTTGTCTGGTCAGATTAAAGGTTAGTGTATACTACACATTTTAAATTAAAGTATCAGCTTAGCTACAACTATTGGTAGGTTTTCAATGCAATATTTAAAATTCTAGAGTTGTTGCTGTTGATTGTAATTTGAGCATGTTTGAATAATACCAGAGCTGACCATCTCTTCCCTTGCTCCACAGGTTACCATGACCGCAGTGCCTACCCACAGCCCACTTTTTGCAATCCCATACCATGGCAGCCTGTTGCCATTCCAACACAGAAAGCAGACAGGACAAAGAAAAATAAAACAAAGGTTTATAAGTGGAATCCAGATAAATATTACTAAATTACTAACTAGTTCAGTCTGGATCTAAAGCATTAAATCTGTGATATAATGTGTGTGGATGTAGTTGTTCAACTTGTGGTGGCAAGATTGTTTATCTGAGAATTACCTGTTTTGTGATGGCTTAGTAGTACGTAAGTAGTGACATTTAAAAAAATTTCAAATAAAAATCCATGAAGGGAGATTACTTGGGATTTTAGTTTTACCATTGGCTTAGCTAATAGTCAACATAAACTATGTATCCTTAACCTAATATTATGTGTAACATTTTTGTAACAAATTTATTTTGTTTTAAAAAAAAATGTAACTGTACAGATTTTAATAAAAAAAATGATAAAATGTATTTAGTTGTTTTTTAACTTCAAATTGTTAATGCTTTATTGGTTAACTTGAAACAGCATTGCAATTGCATGTACCTGATTTAAAGGCAAATATGGATTAAAAAGATGTAGTGGCCATGGACTAGATATAATTGCTGGGAGTAAAGGGTGGGGGTTTTTCAATATTCACTCTAAACTAAAACCAAAACCAAAATCACCACCTTCATTCAATTTAACCGGAAATGAAAAATGACATTGAAAATGGATTTTTATCCAGAATCGGTACTTTAATTTATACAAAATATAGTTATAGGCATATCCCTAAACCATGCACCTAATCTCATTCATGACAAAAGTCGCATTTAGAGTTTCTTTCAGGCAACTCTACTTGGGAGAAGGGGGCTCCGCCCCCCCCCCCCCCCCCCCACACACCCCAAAACATGTCTACCGTCCCATTCAACGAAATATAATTATATAATTTTTCCAGTGTCCGCCCCCTCCCAGAAAATTCTACCCCCGCCCCCGAAAATTTCAAATACCCCCACCCCTCTCCGGGGAGGAAAAAGTCTGAAAGAAACACTAGTCGCATTTGTAGATCATACAAACTAAAGGAAGAATCTGGGCGGGGCTTCGCCCCTACCAGAAGAGAGGAAAAAGTCTGAAAGAAACACTGGTGTCGCGCTTAGCCACTACCCGAAGAATTGCATTAAAGAAATTGCAAGAAAACCACTTTTTAGATTAGACACATTAATTAGGCGGTAATTTTATTATAGAGTATCGATGAAGAAATTTCTTTTGAGTTGGGGAGGGGGGGGGGGGGCTTCGCCCCTACCCGAAGAATTGTATGAAAGAAACCCTTCACACAAACCACTTAGATTAGGCAAAATTTTCTTTTTATTCAATGTTTACTCGAGAATCAATGATGTCATATTACTGTGTGCATTCTCCGGCTTGATATTATTTTCTACTCTATGCTCAATACGACGTCATACTTCGTTTTTCGAATTACTATGTATGTTTTTAATTTGCTTGTGTTTTCTCTAGAGCGTTCTTGTCAGATACATAGATAGATAGATACACAGACAGCGAAACTATTAGTATTAATGTCATTCTGCCACACTGTACTCATCTAGTCATAGTTAGATGTTTGTTCAAACATACTGTACTTCAAAATAACTAAACAAAAATGTTTGAAATAAAAACTTTATTAACCAGCAATATATAATACAAAATAACATTTCATGTGGAGGACACAAGGTATAGTTGCTTACACCTTTGGAGATTTACACAACTCCAGAATCCCTGGTCAAATAAACTTAAAGAATAACTTACTCAAGATACCAACTTCATTGCACAATTTGTCATGGAATAAATATCTTGCTTCAGTTTTTATTAAAAAAATAGCTGTGAGATTGAACAGATCATTCAATGCAATCATGCAGGTATAAGTTAAAAGAGAATAAAACAAACAGGTCCAAACCCTAAAATACCTTAGATAATTTATCCTTAATGTGGAGGAATTAAGAGAAAATTTACTGAGAATAATTTACAAAAAAAAAAAAAACAACACCTGATCATTTCAGACTTGGTAATCAAATGCTGGAAAAGCTGATGTTGCAGGCTCTAACATGTCTGCCAAAAAGTAAACAGTCCCAGCCATTCCTTGAAAAAACAAACAAAGGCAGACATTACAAAACTAATATACTTTTCTCTTTACTATGAGAAAATCATGCTTCATCAGCGACAGGTTATAAATTATTGATTATTCTAAAGGTTGTTTGTTAATTTAGCTCAGCAAAATAGTCTATGTGTAAATTAACCTGATCTCACTTACCCTCAAATAAAGAAAAGGGTCTGTCTGGGGTTCGACATCCATGCTTCCCATAATCAAAGCACCACTCTGCAAACTTGTTAATACACACAAAAAATCATGTATGACCAGTAAATATAGAATCTTAAAAATAACCTAAAAGAATACAATGATGACTATTAATGAGAACTTACTTTATAAGCATAGTATAAATATCTGTGGTCCTCAGTTAACTTATAGAGTGTAAGAAAAGTGTAAGCATTTCCTGCTGTTCCATGACAGATGCCATAACCTTTCAGCAGGAGACCTCTCTGCCATACCACATGACCACACTGCTTGGCTGCTTCCAGATACCTTTTGTCCTTATAAATCTGTGCACACATTTAATTCCTACATAACAGATCTGATGAAGTGGATATCAATTTAATATGCACCTTATCTTATAAAAGCAGAATCTTCATTAAATGTACACCACAGTACTCAGAAAAAAAAACAAGTAGTAAAACCAACATATGAGACCATACACATATGCAAAAAAAATTTGCACAGTACCTTGTACACTAAAAACATGTGACAACCTACACACAGTACCTTGTACACTAAAAACATGTGACAACCCACACACAGTACCTTGTACACTAAAAACATGTGACAACCTACACACAGTACCTTGTACACTAAAAACATGTGACAACCCACACACAGTACCTTGTACACTAAAAACATGTGACAACCTACACACAGTACCTTGTACACTAAAAACATGTGACAACCTACACACAGTACCTTGTACACTAAAAACATGTGACAACCTACACACAGTACCTTGTACACTAAAAACATGTGACAACCCACACACAGTACCTAGTACACTAAAAACAAGTGACAACCCACACACAGTACAGTGTACACTAAAAACAAGTGACAACCCTAACACAGTACAGTGTACACTAAAAACAAGTGACAACCCTAACACAGTACAGTGTACACTAAAAACATGTGACAACCTACACACAGTACCTTGTACACTAAAAACATGTGACAACCCACACACAGTACCTAGTACACTAAAAACAAGTGACAACCCAAGCACAGTACCTTGTACACTAAAAAACAAGTGACAACCCAAGCACAGTACCTTGTACACTAAAAAACAAGTGACAACCCAAGCACTGTACCTTGTAGGCTAAAGCAAACATGTGCACCCAACCAGGGGCTCCATGACACCAATGAACCAGCTTGTCCCCACTGCTACTGCCCAGTGATGAGGGACAGTTACCCGAGGCAAATCTCAGGGTTAACATGTAATCAATGCATGGTCTGACAATCTGGTGGATGTGTTCTTGTAAATTTGGCTCTTGCACCTGAAATAAGACCATTAAGTTCAACTACAAATTAATTAAAGAAGCATGAGGAATTATTGTATAGAATTCAACCATTTTATAACCATCAATCTTCTAAAATAGAGTGTGTTACTAGTCAAAATAGCTAGATATTTATTCTTAATACATGACATTGCAACAGAGCAACATGAAAATAATTTGCTCACTTGTTTCTGGAAATTCTTAGTGTGACTTTTTACTTAGTGCAAACATCTTTTTTATCTAAATATAATCGAAGAAAAAAGTAATCCAAAATAGAAAACTAACCATATTAGTAAACTGAATGAATGAAACTTAACCTGGAGTAACATAAAATAAATTCCAGCTAATCCATGGGCTGCTCCAAGGTAAGGCTTATCATGCCATTCATACATTAAAGGTTGCTGACATCTTTCCCTCCTTGCAAACTGAGTTCCAGAGTTTAAAACTGCTTCAACTACTTTGCTGATGGTTTCATTGTGAACAATACCATGTCCAAGTTGGCGTTGAAGAAACAGCAGGGAAGACAAGTAACCACATCTGCCAAAGAGGATCTCATCAGGTAAAGTCTTGTCACTGCACACATCCTCACACATGGCCTCCACCCTGAAAAAAGTATTTCAGGTTTGTAACGTTGTATAAAGAGTTTGTATCCAAATATGTTGAATATTGGTTAGTAAAGAGTTCGTATCCAAATATGTTGAATATTAGTTTATCAAAATATTAACAATATTAATTGTGTAGGCTATATGTGTCAGAGTAATGGGAGAGGTAAAAATGCAGTTTTAGCTATGGATTAGGCAAAAAGTTGATCTGTTTTGTATCAGGTTTCAAGTCAGTTTTAATAAAATAAAATCCAAATAAAAAACATAACAAATAAGAAAATGAAAATCAAATAAAATATTTGATAAGTAAAACATAACAATGTTGTTTCTAGCATTAACTTTGTAACACTTAGGAAAATGAACAACATCATAAAACAATAATCAAATCTATTTTAAATTTTACACCTGGAAACATAGTCTTTTGATTTCTTTTTATCTCAAACAATAATCAAATCTATTTTAAATTGTGCACCTGGAAACAAAGTCTTTTGATTTCTTTTTATCTCCCATTCTATCAAAGAGCACAGCAGCTATAGCTAAGGGACCAGAATCACCACACAGAAAAGATGGCTTTGAACCTTTGAGACGTGACAAACAAGGTTTCAGCCAGTTTAAAGCTATCTGCAAGTGTCTGCCATCATTTCTGCTAGGTAACCTTGTATGCAAATGAAGATGCAGTAGAGCATGTCCTGTAATAAGTGATATTAAGCAACAATTTAAATTTTAATATAATTACAGAAACTAATTAAAACAATAGTTCTCATAAAATAGCCACTATTCATGATAAAAATTTAATTTTTGAATAATTGAAAATAAAGTTAACGAGTGGTACTGTGGTAAGTTCTCACTACAAGTGTAAAATAACAAGACTTTATTTTTTAAACATACATAATGTTGATTTTGTCCACAGAACTGACCAGAGGATCCAGTGTACACAGAATAATCCTTGCCATCATCAACTGCACTATGGTCCAAAATTTTAAGCAGCTTTTCTATGTTAAATAAAATCTGGCTTTGGGGAGCTCCTTGAAGCTAAAAGTTAAATTTGGCAAAGTTAATAACATTATAATTTATAAGAACAAAAGTTTTATTTATACTTAACGTAGTGACCTAAAGCCTAAAAATAAAATGCTATGCTTAAATTCTTAAATGTACTAGATCAAGATAGAGTCAAATGCTCAACAAATTGTCAAATACTGATTAAGCCCTAAGATTAGAATAAGATTAAGACGTCCGTTAAGTTTAAGACAGTTTAAGACGTGTTTAAGAATGACTGTGAGTGTTTCACTGTTTGACAGTGTGTCTTAAAAAGTAAAAACTGAATAAAAAGACTCAACGAGTCTTATCTTCTAAATTCTAAGTTTAGATTTAAAAGTACTTAGAAAAAATCTAGTTTAGAGTTTAGAATTTAGATATCTAATTATTAAAATTAACAGACAGACTAAGACCTGAACCTATTGACATTATAATTAGATCTATTAGTTATTTTTTTTATTAGTATTTACTATTTAGATCTAGATCTAGATCTAGTATTAGTAAATTAGTTTATTACTATTAGATAAGATTAGTCAATCATTAGATTCATTAGTCCTGTGGGCTGAGACTGAGCCACTGAGATAAGTCCCTTCAGTCAGAAGTGCGCATCGTCAAAGCTCGCTCAGAACTCATTTCAATGCTACAATCTAAAATAGATATTCCAGAGCTAGATCTAGATATGAATTCTACTATTCTTAGCTAGTCTACCTGTTTGTTTTTGTCAAGTGAAAATTTAGAGCCATCATAATCTGGAAAAGCGTTTTTAAAAGCTCTGTCGCCATCCATTTGAATCTTTTATGTGAGAAGTTTAGTAACTTCCTTTAGATTTGTTTACAAAAGGAAGGCGTAAGTTAGTTACTATTCTAGATCTAGATCTAGATATTCAGATAATCACTAGAGTCTAGATTGATTAGATCTAGTCTAGATATCTAGATCTGGATCTAGATTCTAGATCTATAACTATTTGTGGATGATATTTAGAATCGACCCTTTGAATCTCGGCAGTATCTCGGAAATACTCTCAGTTAGTCTCAGTTAGTTATCTCAAGTCAAGTCAGCAGTCTCAGCACTCTCAGTGATAAGTGAGTGCAGGAACTAAAAACATAAACAATTAAATTTTGAGAAGCGCTAGATCAGGGGTTCCCAACCCCGTGCCCGCGGGCGCCATGGCGCCCGCCGAACGATTCGTATGTGCCCGCCTCTCACTATTCGACAGATACAGAATTTTTTTCATAAACATTATTGAAAGGTTGAAGGGGATGGAAATAGAAAGTTTGAAGGGAGGGGGGTGCAAATCGAAAGTTTGAAGGGGGGAGGGGGGTGCAAATCGAAAGTTTGAGGAGGGGGGGGGTGCAAATCGAAAGTTTTGTCCCCGGGTGACGGGAAGGGTCGCTACGCCTCTGGAAGGAGTTTGTCGATTTAAAATAGGTGGTGCCCGCCAACCTACCGATATTTTAGAATGTGCTCTAGAGTAAAAAAAGGTTGAAAACCCCTGCGCTAGATTTAGATCTAGATCAGACATTCTTAAGTCGAATTGACTCGAAAGTATTTTATCAAGAGCTTGCTGAGTCTGAACTAGATAACTAAAAATGCAAAATTAAAATGAATTAAAAATTAGGCCCTATATACTATACTACTATACTATATATAATTATATATTCTATATCTAGATCTAGATCGAATAGCATCTGGCATCTATTGTTCAAAAATTAATAGGCCCTATTTATTTAGGCCCAAGTTTCATTCAAAACTCACTTAGATATAATAAATAATAAATATTATATAGATTATAGATCTAAGCAAAATGCAAACCAAAATTTATGTTATGACAAAAACATAATCTTGCAGAAGAAATGGCTTGCAGAAAACGACATCTGAAGACACCTGAACCTAAGTCTACCAGCAAACAGCCAAGGTTTTCCACTAAACCGGATGTGTCACACTCACAGGCTTCTGCCCAATCCCTTCAGCCTGACAACAAAAACCAATCTTCATTTCTCCAAGGCTTACACTTCTACATCCTACCTGCATGTATTGAAAAAACTCGTTTAAATATTTTCAAAAACCAAGTATTGAATTTTGGCGGCAAAATTTATGATGACTTTGCCAGTAGTTTTATCACTCACATAATAGTGGAAGACAAAATGGACATTGCTAGGATACAAAGAATAATGCAAGTAGAATCTTTGCCAGCAACAACAATTGTTAAATCTGCCTGGCTTAGTAGTTGTTTGCGCAACAAAGCAGTTGAAAGTATAGAGAAGTATGTCATTCACCAATCCTGTAAAGAATCTTCAAGAGGTAATCAAGAAAAAAATAATGAAAGTGATGTAAGTAAAGAAGTGCGACTTCACTCATTAGTGAAAAATAACTCTGGTTCAGACAGTGAATACTCAGCAAGCGATGAAGATATAGTAGTCAGTAACACGCAGAAAGCTACAACTTTCTCATCACCACGAAATATTCCAGTAAGTTACTATTTGTTTTAAGATAAATTTTTGATTTAGTTTGAGATTAGGACTAATTACTTGGTTAAATGTAGGCCTACATGTTTTTAATATTACGTTTTTTTTTAAACTGTTCCTTTTAAAAAATTGTAATGTTTGTTTTGTGCACTTGTGTAAATCTTTGATGCTTCTGTTGAATAATAAACTATTTTTCAAATTTAGGTGGATAAATGGATTTGTGCTCAGTCATCTAAAAACGTGAAGCCCAACTTTAACCAAGATATTGTTGATAAATTAGAGGTAATGTAAACTATGTAAAAGTTATGTATTGTAATGTTTCCTAATGACATCTGTCAGAAATAATGTTTGTTTCATTTAATAACTATTAAAAATTTAGTAAAGTATAACTTATTGTATTAACTTTAAAATATCAAAAGATTGCTTGTTTTGATAGAACTAGCTGTTCTCAGTATAGGCAATAAGATTGATATGAGTTATTTTGATCTCTTTATGTAATCAACCTTCTTAATGTGTTGCTAGGAAATGGCTAGCACCTATCAAAGCACTAACGACAAATGGAGAGCCTTTGGGTATCAAAAGGCTATTCAAGCACTCAGGCGCCATCCTAATAGGATTTCATCATGGGAGGTAATTTCTATTGGTTTATAACATGCAATTATGAATTCTCTTCTTGCAGTTTTTGATGTATATCAGGAGTCTCCAAACTTTTCTGTCCTAGGGCCACATTAACTATCAATTTTCAGTTCGGGGGCCAGTTTCTTCCAGGCATGTCTTTGATTTTTCTGGGCAAAGTTCCTCAGCCATCACCAACAAACGATTTTTCCTCAGGCAAAAAGATCTCCGCAGGCCGGATGAGAGGACTTTGTGGGCCAGATGCGGCCTGCGGGCCGTAGTTTGGAGACCCCTGATGTATATTATTTATCTAAAATGCATACATATAAAATATCAGCTTATTGAGTTATTTAATTACACTGGTCAAAGAAATTATCAGGAGAAGCAATATGTCATAGCCAGTTATCTTCCTACATTGGGTAATTTGAATTTGATTAGGAATTATTGAACCACCTCTCATACCCATCAGCAGACTATTATTTGTACAGGTATGATTTGTTCCTGGTACGCAGGAAGCCAAGTCTCTGACTGGTGTTGGAACAAGACTGGCAGACAAAATCTGGGAGATTGCTGAAAGTGGCCAGCTGCGTAAACTGAAAGAATTTGAGTCCAGTGATGAAGTGACTGTGATGAAGCTTTTCACCAATGTCTGGGGTGCTGGCCCTCACTCAGCCAAAATCTGGTACCAGCAGGTATTACTCTACTATCTTAGTGACTGACAATCCCTATCAATTGTCACTCTATTGTGTCAATTGCTTTCTGATTTTAAAATAGCATTTACAATTTGCCATGCTACTTGTCAATCATCTTGACATGCTTGTGATACTGGAAATGCATTCTCTTAAAACAGGGTTTTCGCACGATTGATGATTTGAGACAAAAAGCCAATTTGACTCACCAACAGGAAGTGGGTGTGCGCTTGTATGATGATTTGCTGGATAGAATGCCAAGAGAGGAAGCAGCAGAAATAGAAAAAATTGTAAGTAGAGTAAGTTTACCTGAGAGCTGGCATGGTCTGAAGTGAACTGATTAACTTAAAGTGTGTCAAAGATGTGTAGTTTTGGAACCCAAAATTTATAGATACAAATTTTTTTTAATTGTCCTGTTGAGAGAACTAAAATCCTATTTTTATATTTCTGATTTTATGTCTCAACATTTCTGTAGGTTAGAACTGCAGCGGAAGAAATAAAAGAGGGAATTATTGCTCAAGCTTGCGGATCATATCGACGAGGGAAACTGGATTGTGGTGATGTTGATGTGCTCATTACTCACCCAGATGGGAAATCACATAAGGGAATATTCCAGCCCTTACTCACTCGGTTAAAAGAGACAGGTATAACATTTTCAATTTTTGAATAGACTTACAAATATTACAATTATTTTTCAGCTTGCTCGCATTTTGTAACAGGTGTCACTCTTTTGGGATTGACGACCAATTGCAAAACTGACTTAAAAAACAGTGTTTTATCTATTTAAATTAATAAATGTAAAAAACCGGAATTTTTGTGTGGTGGTGAGGAGTTTTTATGGTGAGATGTTACTGTCCTGGGTGATGTAGGTAAGTGTAGCTACAACCTAGTGTTACTGTCTTGGGTCATGTAGGTAAATTTTCACTCCCCCCAGGTTTTATAACCGATGACTTGGTATCAGTAGAAGAAAGTGGGAACCAGAAGAAATATTTGGGTGTCTGCAAGCTACCTGGACCAAATCAAAAGGTAGGTCTCGGGTCCTGTCTCTAAGATATCTTGTATGTATAACTTAGGGCTTGTGGGGGTATAACACACTTAACACCTGGCTTCTGGAGGGGGGGGGGGGGGGGCTAATTAATTAGGCTCTGAACAAATGTCATTTCGGCAGCAAATCTACTTGGCACAAAAGTTCTAAAATTTAAAATTATTATATGTTCCATTTATATAAAATAATTAATTAGCTAACCATATGTAACTAAAATTTATATTTTGTCTTTGTTTTTTCTCTGTCCAGCATCGACGTCTTGACATAATTGTAGTGCCTTACAGTGAATATGGCTGCGCTCTTGTGTACTTCACCGGATCCGCCCACTTCAACCGCTCACTGCGACACTTGTGTAAGACACAGCATATGTCTCTCAATGAACATGCACTGAAAGCTGGGGTTGTGAGGAAGGTAACAGTTTTATTCATTCAATTTTTAGGGGTGTTTTGAGATCCACCTGTGGTGGTAATTTAGACACCTGTGTGGTGAGTTAATCACCCTTGTGGTGGTCTAGACACCCCTGTAGTGACTATAGCACAATACATATTTTGAGAGTGTGAACAGTGTCCAAGGATCCCATACCTTGATTAAAACACTGCTGTAGTGATTAAAGATATCATTTTAAATTGAAACATTTTGATAATGTTTTCTGTGATATCTTTGTAGGGAGCTGAAAAGTTATTTGAAGGTACTATAATACCTACCCCAAGTGAGAAGTCAGTTTTTGAAGCTCTGAAAATTCCATATCGTCCCCCTGAGGAGAGGGATCACTGACCTTTGATGACTTCAAATAGGTTTTTGTAACTAAATGTCTTTGGGTTAATTCAAATTAATTATTCATGATACAATATTTTCACAAAAGAAACACTTTACATTTCAAATAAGATGATACTTTAACTTTGTGTTGAAATGGTTTTTTAGAACTAATTATTTACTACCTAAGTGGTTTATTTTTACATAATCAATCATCATAAAGTAAGTTATTTCCCTTCGCAATTGTACAAATATTTAAAGTGACCATTTTATTTATATTTAAAAAACAAAACATTTTAATAATTTATGTGATAAAAAATATTTATTCAATTTTTAGCAATATTTATTTATTCATTTTCATATTTACATAAAATTGTACATACAATTTTGTACACACAATTGTAAAAATTGACATTGCGAATGTTCAGGTTTTATGAATGGCTGAATGAAAATACATGTTAAACACATTATCATAGTGATGAATATTTTAAATAAATAATCGTTTCATTGTTTTGCATATATTTTTTTTATTGTGAGATTTTTAAAATGTACGTTTTATGAAAAATATTTGACATTTTAATGTGAAAAAAGTTGGTTATTTCCCTTCTCTTTCTTGGACCCAAACTGGCACATTATCACCATGCACATATCTGGCCAGTCTCCTTAAAACCTGTTCAATCCGTCCAGCAGTCAGTCCGAGAATTTGAATGATAAGTGTGAACCCATAGAGGGCGCCACTGATGATGCCATAAATATTGAGTCTGGAAAGTGGTGAGTCCAAGCCCAAGTAGAAATAGGACAGGAACCCCAGCCACAGTGCATTCAAAAAAAGGAACCCTCCCAGCAGACGATTTCTCATCCTGCCAAGACCGAGCGCCAGCTCAGCTTTCTCCAGTCCTTTATTGACGTCCACCCCGAGGTGAGTGGAGGTCAAGGCCTCCCAGAACTTGTACTCCTCCTTGGCCTTGTCGTCCCCCTGGGACATGTCCAGCACCAGCGCTGAGATGATTTCCTGCAGCTCCGTCTGTGTGTCTGTACAGTCAGGACAAGAGCCTAGGGAAGGGGAAACTTCATTAGACACATAACATTACAACTGCTTGCTATACAAGAGCCTAGGGAAGGGGAAACTTCATTAGACACATAACATTACAACTGCTTGCTATACAAGATCCTAGAGAAGGGGAAACTTCATTAGACACATAACATTACAACTGCTTGCTATACAAGAGCCTAGGGAAGGGGAAACTTCATTAGACACATAACATTACAAATGCTTGCTATACAAGAGCCTAGAGAAGGGGAAACTTCATTAGACACATAACATTACAACTGCTTGCTATACAAGAGCCTAGAGAAGGGGAAACTTCATTAGACACATAACATTACAACTGCTTGCTATACAAGAGCCTAGAGAAGGGAAAACTTCATTAGACACATAACATTACAACTGCTGGTTATACAAGATCCTAGAGAAGGTAAAACTTCATTAGACACATAACATTACAACTGCTTGCTATACAAGAGCCTAGAGAAGGGGAACTTCATTAGACACATAACATTACAACTGCTTGCTATACAAGAGCCTAGAGAAGGGGAAACTTCATTAGACACATTACAACTGCTTGCTATACAAGAGCCTAGAGAAGGGGAAACTTCATTAGACACATAACATTACAACTGCTTGCTATACAAGATCCTAGAGAAGGGGAAACTTCATTAGACACTAACATTACAACTGCTTGCTATACAAGAGCCTAGAGAAGGGAAAACTTCATTAGACACTAACATTACAACTGCTTGCTATACAAGATCCTAGAGAAGGGGAAACTTCATTAGACACTAACATTACAACTGCTTGCTATACAAGATCCTAGAGAAGGGAAAACTTCATTAGACACTAACATTACAACTGCTTGCTATACAAGATTCTAGAGAAGGGGAAACTTCATTAGACACTAACATTACAACTGCTTGCTATACAAGATCCTAGAGAAGGGGAAACTTCATTAGACACATAACATTACAACTGCTTGCTATACAAGAGCCTAGAGAAGGGGAAACTTCATTAGACACATTACAACTGCTTGCTATACAAGAGCCTAGAGAAGGGGAACTTCATTAGACACATAACATTACAACTGCTTGCTATACAAGATCGTAGGGAAGGGGAAACTTCATTAGACACTAACATTACAACTGCTTGCTATACAAGATCCTAGAGAAGGGGAAACTTCATTAGATACTAACAAAACTACTGCTTGCTATACAAGATCCTAAAGAATGAAAACTTAATTTAACAGTAATGTCTTCTTTAACTTTAACTAAATAGTAATAGACAGAAGTGTCCAATAAATGCTTTGTCAAGTTCTACTGTTTGCCCGTAATTAAATTTTAATCCACAAATCTATCACCTTTTGGTACTCTAGAAACATAGAACCAATTAAATTGAAAGAAAACCCAATATCAAAAGCCTCATCTGACTGGCCAGGGTTTTAGTTTCTTGTTCTGACCAAAAACATTTTTAAGAGAACTACCTTGTTGGATGTTCTTTGACTTTGATTTCTTGATCCGTTTCCTGAACTTCTTTAAACTTGGCATACAGGAGAGTTTGGGAAGCTTGGCTTTGTTCTGGGATAAGAAAAGAAACAGTGAGAATACATATAAATTGTGTATATTAATAAAAAATGTTCTGAAATTGGCGTTATTGGGCATTGTGGACATAGAGGCACTTTTCCCTATAAAGTTGTAAGCAAAGGCAAAAAAAAATAAAAATAATTTTTTTTTTTAAAGAATCCAGTCTGATCTAGATTTAAAATAAAAAAGTAAAGCCACCCAATCGAACCTGGCGGTCCATGTGGCAGATGAAGTAGAGTTCACCTGTTTTTGTGACCCAGCCCTTAAACCTATTGAATCTCCGGTGCCACTACTCTGGTTTATGATGTTGTCACCTTTAACCCCCCCTCTCCACCCAGCCCTAAAACTTACCGAATCCCTGGTGCCCGAACTCTGCTCTATGATGTCACCCCCCCCCCCCCACCCACCCAGCCCTAAAACCTACCGAATCCCTGGTGCCCCAACTCTGGTCTATGATGTCACACCCCCCTCCCCCCAGTCCTAAAACCTACCGAATCCCTGGTGCCCCAACTCTGGTCTATGATGTCACCCCCCCCCCCCCTCCCCCCAGTCCTAAAACCTACCGAATCCCTGGTGCCCCAACTCTGGTCTATGATGTCACCCCCCCCCCCCTCCCCCCAGTCCTAAAACCTACCGAATCCCTGGTGCCCCAACTCTGGTCTATGATGTCACCCCCCAGCCCTAAAACCTACCGAATCCCTGGTGCCCCAACTCTGGTCTATGATGTCACCCCCCCCCCCTCCCCCCAGTCCTAAAACCTACCTAATCCCTGGTGCCCCAACTCTGGTCTATGATGCCCCCCCCCCCCCCCCAGCCCTAAAACCTACCGAATCCCTGGTCCACCAACTCTGGTCTATGATGTCACCCCCCCCCCCCCAGCCCTAAAACCTACCGAATCCCTGGTGCCCCAACTCTGGTCTATGATGTCACCCCCCCCCCCCAGCCCTAAAACCTACCGAATCCCTGGTCCCCCAACTCTGGTCTATGATGTCCCCCCCCCCACAGCCCTAAAACCTACCGAATCTCTAGTGCCCCGACTCTGGTCTATGTTGTCACCACCCCCCCCCCCCTAAAACCTACCGAATCCCTGGTGCCCCAACTCTGGTCTATGATGTTGGCTATGCTATAGATGGGCAGGAGGACGTGCATGGCTGGGAAGATGAAGAGGTAAGCGAAGCCGTAGATGATCTGGTAGCTCTCCCGGGGGTGCATCAGGGCGGCGTACACAAGACTGAGGGTCAACAGGAGGATGACGTAATGCTGTTGGTAGTGGAAGTGGCCAGCGTTGATTTCTGGGGACAAAATAGAGTTCATTAATTCACTGGGGGCAAAATGGAGTTTATCATTTTAATTGGGACAAAATGGTGTTCATCAATTCAGTGGGGACAAAATGGAGTTCATCAATTCACTGGGGAAAAAAATGTAGTTAATCATTTTAGTGGGGACAAAATAGAGTTTATCACTTCAATGATAGGTGTCGGTGTGGTCGGGTCGGTATAGCTCATGATTGGTAAACCGAAACCCCGGGAAAATGAGCCTCAATAGCTGGTTTTTTCTTAGATGGATAAAGGCTATGTGAGAAGATCCAAATAGAAAAGCAGGCTCAATACGGAGTCAACGGCGCATAACAAGTTGACACATACTGTTTAAGTGTAAGTGTGTTAGAAGATCCCAGCCAACAATACAAGTGAGAACGAAGAAGAATACTTTAATGATGGGGACAATTAGAGTTTGTTACTTTAATGATGGGGACAATTTGAGTTTGTTACTAAGTTAAAAAAAAGTATTTTACAAGTGACTACTATCTACCAATCTAACGGCCAATATAAAGTTAATTACTAATTAAAATAAAGACTGACCTTTGACCATCCCAGCGGTGATCTTGTACGAGCCATATATGGCCACAGACGAGAACATGCTACCGAACAGCACCATGAGCACGCTGGTGAGCAGTCCCTGAGTCCTGGCACTGGTGCACGTGCATATGAAGGCGTACAGGTAAACAATGGCAGCCATCGGGAGGGTCGTGTACACGTACGGGATATCAAAGACCAGTTCCAGACCTACACAGGGAGGCAAGATGTAGAGTCACGTGATTTGGATAAGCCGACCGGAAGTGGTGGGGAAGAATTGGGGTGGCTGGGAGGATTTGGGGAAAATGATCGCCTATGTGACCACCTATTTGTCTACATATATGACCACATATATGACATATATGTTCACCTATATGACCTCATATATGATCACCTACATGTCTACATATATGAACACCCATATGACCACCTATATGACCAAATATATGACCAAATATATGACCAAATATATGACCAAATATATGACCAAATTTATAACCAAATATATATATGACCACCTATATGACGAAATATATGACCACCTTTATGATCACTTATATGTCCCCCTATATGTTCCCCTATATGACCACATATGGCTCCACCTACCGGCAGTGATCATGACGATGGCAGTTCCTGGAGTGATGACATTGTTGAGGAACATGTTGACGAGATAGATGAGGTAAATTAGGCTGAAGCACTCGTTGTTGCGCACCAACCGGAACAAGTTTTGCACAACCAAAATGGCGTTCGCCATGTCGGAAAGTATCCATCTTCTTCGTTGTTTATAGTATTCCTGAAGCGATAGCAATTTTGATCAAATAAAATGTAATCAATTATTTGACGTATGAACTAACGCATACATACTTTGATATTTCTTAAAGAATAGTTTAGTTCGGTAACAAAATGCTATCAAACTTACGGATTAAACAGCATGGATACACTATTTTTGGGATTTTATATTGGGTTTATTACGATTTTTGGACTTCATAAGTATCGCATACCTCAAAAGTATCCGGGCAATAGGTCGTGTTGTCCGCAAAAGGTGAGTACCGCATTCTCCATCCGTTGATCATCATTAGAGTAGCCATCCATCGATCTTCACCTGTAAGTAGACTAGTAGGTTACATTCTGTACACTGTCTTTCAGGATAACATGATGTGTGTTATTTAACCCTCCACAACCCAATTGCAACACCTCACATACTACACGCTCCACCACACAACCAACCAACAGCATCCCCACATCTTACTTAAATCACCCATCATCCAACCTACTAAACCACACAACCTGCACAGTATGAAGTACATTAGGCTCTCCCGAAAAAAAAATAATTAAATCCACCTCCCCCCATCTAAAAGATTTAACATCCCCTCACACCTCGAAGAAAAATGTCTGAAAGAAACAGTGCACATGACGCCCCACAATCCACCCACCAACCTACCCGTATCTTTAACGTAGACTGTGAACGGCGTGCGGGTGGGGCTGGAGTACTTGCTCATGACGTCACGGATTGCGCTGGCCCTGTAGAGACTGAAGCAACCAGGACAACAGCTGACAGAGCCGATGATGTTTTGGGCGTTTTTGATCATCCAAAAATCTGGGGGGAAAGTAAACCAGAGCTAGATAGACAACAATACATCACCAACTAGTTGAAAAAGTACCACTTCCGGTTATCGGAATTCGCTCAAAAGTTGATACGGATCTACGATTTTGATAAAATACTTATATATGAAATTTCACCAGCCTAGCTGTAATGGTACTCAAGTTATCGTGTTTACACACGGACACACAGACACACAGACACACACACACACACACACACACACACACACACACAGACATACGGACAAGATTGCAAAATTATGTTTTTCCGTATCAGTGAGGTGTAAAACGTCGAGATTTGTAAAAATCTCGATTTTTTTTTGCACGATTACAATACTTTCTCTATACTACGTATATACGAGAAAGTAAAAACGTACCTTTAGCATACTCAAAGACCTGGTGCCATACAATGGAGCTACACTTTTGACCAATGGGATGTGTCCGGCCACAAGCGGCCCCTATTCGCTGGTCAGAGACACATAGGTCAAGCAGTTCCTTGATGGCGTCGGCCTTGAAGTCCATGTCTGCGTCTGTGGCCAGAATGAAGGTGTGGTCATCGTCCACGTAGGCCGACTCGCCCAGCACGACGTCCGTGTAGGGCGGCCTTGACAGGACCTCAATGGCGTCCTTAGTTACCACGAAGGTTTTGTCTATAGATAGTATATAAACATTAGTTGTAGCTTTAGTTAACAGGTAGATAGGACCATCATTGTAGGGTTATCATTAGAGCTCACATACGTATTAGATGTGGTTTTATAATAACATGAATACACACGTATCTTCAGTATTTAGCTTTGTAAACAAATGGTATTATTTCTTTTGAACTTTGAATTCACATTTTATTTTAGCTGGATAAGAATACTGAATCTAAAATTTGACAACATTAAAAACTGAGCAATTAATTAATCAATCAATGAACTTTGAATCAATAAAGAAATGTGAACGGGGACCCACCATGTATGGAGACGGTGCTGCTCTCGTCCGACTGGTACCCTCTGTTGATGTACGCCCCTGGGGCGGGCTCTCGGCATTTCTCGTCGGGCAATGACTCGAGGTCCGAGCTCTCTTTGCTGTGACCAGTCACCTGGAACAGTCACGTGATCATTTGTTGACATGTTGACAAATGTATGACAGGCAACACTGCCTATGATCTTTTCTATTCTTATTTAATGCATTATATGAAGTAGTGGATAAACCTAAATCTAAATGTATTTTTATTAAATGAGTACACAGTCTGATACAAATAGAATCATTGAATGGTATGTAACGTTTTTTTTTGCTGATGTAGGTACTCAACGTGAATGTTTTTATTTTAGTGTTGTAAAGTTGGTTTAGACAAGTCGTGTAAACAGATTTTTTGTAGCAATGTTGGAGCCTGCTTCAGCCCGTGGGGAAGGGATTTTAGCGTCTGTGTGCCGGATAGGCTTAGCTGTGACTACAACAACGTGTTTACTTTCTGTTTATTTAACACATATCAGCACGTCGGCAGGCTGACACATAGAGATAAACACACACAGACAAAAACACACACACTTACACATCAATACACACAGCCTTGTCCACAAAAAACGAAAACAATTTGTTTTCGAGATTTTTCTGATGGCGGTCGTCGCTAGGGACAGATTACTCTTTGAACCCTAGTTATCTCCCTATATTTACTTTCCTAGTTTCCTCCCTTCATTTGCTGAAGATCAAAGGAGCGTAACAAGATAGCCTTTTGGTCAACAACGTTCCTAACAACCAAACTATAGCCTGTGACTTCTACTAATGATGCTTCGGTTTAACTCATTACATATTTCACAGATCATTATGGCATTCTAATTTTTTTATGGCAAAAGTTATGTATATGTGTACATAGACCTTGATGCAAGAACATACAGATAAACTGACATAGATCTAAATGTTATCTAAGACACTGACAAAATTTATGGATGTGATTTGACCTGAAAGCCAGGTGTATGACGTTATTTATGGATGTGATTTTACCTGAGATCCAGGCGTATGACGTTATTTATGGATATGATTTTACCTGAAACCCATGTGTATGACGTTATTTATGGATATGATTTTACCTGATATCCAGGTGTATGACGTTATTTATGGATATGATTTTACCTGAAACCCATGTGTATGACGTTATTTATGGATATGATTTTACCTGAAACCCATGTGTATGACGTTATTTATGGATATGGTTTTACCTGAAACCCATGTGTATGACGTTATTTATGGATATGATTTTACCTGAAACCCATGTGTATGACGTTATTTATGGATATGATTTTACCTGAAACCCATGTGTATGACGTTATTTATGGATATGATTTTACCTGATATCCAGGTGTATGACGTTATTTATGGATATGATTTTACCTGAAACCCATGTGTATGACGTTATTTATGGATATGATTTTACCTGATATCCAGGTGTATGACGTTATTTATGGATATGATTTTACCTGAAACCCATGTGTATGACGTTATTTATGGATATGATTTTACCTGAAACCCATGTGTATGACGTTATTTATGGATATGGTTTTACCTGAAACCCATGTGTATGACGTTATTTACGGATATGATTTTACCTGAAACCCATGTGTATGACGTTATTTATGGATATGATTTTACCTGATATCCAGGTGTATGACGTTATTTATGGATATGATTTTACCTGAAACCCATGTGTATGACGTTATTTATGGATATGATTTTACCTGAAACCCATGTGTATGACGTTATTTATGGATATGGTTTTACCTGAAACCCATGTGTATGACGTTATTTACGGATATGATTTTACCTGAAACCCATGTGTATGACGTTATTTATGGATATGATTTTACCTGAAACCCATGTGTATGACGTTATTTATGGATATGATCCAGGTGTACGACGTTATTTATAGACGTGAGTTTACCTGAGATCCAGGCGTATGACGTTATTTACGGATATGATTTTACCTGTGACCCTGGTGTATGACGTTATTTATGGATATGATTTTACCTGAAACCCATGTGTATGACGTTATTTATGGATATGATTTTACCTGAGATCCAGGTGTATGACGTTATTTATGGATATGTGTTTACCTGAGACCGAGGTGTATGACGCTATTTATAGATATGGTTTTACCTGAGATCCAGATTCGCTACTGGGTGGTGTCGAGTCGTCCACTGACGTACAAGCCTTGTCCAGGATCCTGAACTCCGCCAGGGTGGGGTAACCCACGCTCGTGATCTGCCTCAGCATGAACTCCTCGTTCTCGCTGGTACACTTAGCGTCCCCACCCTCCAGCACGGCTTTGGACAGGGACGTGACCGTCATGCCCGACAGCGTCCCCGTGGTGAAGATCTTCACATTCTCGCTGTCGTTCTTCCACAGAACTTTCCGGAACCTCATGACGTAGTTGATGTACATGGCCTGGCTCCAGCGTTTCTTGGACTTGACCTTGGCCGGGTCCTTGAGGTGAACGAAGAGCGGGAGACCACTCGGGAGCTGGCAGAAGATCTGCAGGCCGTAAGGAGTTCCCCAGCATTTGGCGCGGTCAAGCGAGACCCCGCCTTTGCTAACCAACAGCGCTAGAAACTGGAGAGCGAATTCATTGAGAGTCACACCAGTACAGCCGTTGTCCATGAAGATGTTGCTCTCAAAGTGAATATCTTTCAGAAGCGGATCTGACGAGATTTTCATTAAACTCAGCAGCAGACGCTCCATCTCGTAGTCTGCTTCTCTGTACATAGTAGTGCAGATGTAGATTCTATTTTTAGCCTTTGGAGCGAAACTGTCTGTTTCGTAAGTCAATTTAGGATCGTATCCTAGCAACCATTTTTGGTCGGTGAAAATCGGGTTCCAGCCGTAATTTTTGAATAAAATTTTGTACGGGGTGAGCAGATGCCTTGGTCTGCGCAGGAAACTGGAAGAGTTCAAAATATAAGGCCAAGCCCAGGCCCATCCCAAAATAGATGCGCTGATTAAATATGGCGAAAAGGCGCCGAAAAAACTGGTTTCGTCAATAGCGTAGATGGACGGTGCTATATAGACACACAAAACTAGGGTGGTTACCATAGAGAGAAGGGAGGGGATGACCATCCCGAACAGGGGTTGGCACAGGGCGAGAGACACGTAGGATAAACCCAACCCGACGAGGCTGGTCGAAAAATGGACAACCAGCGGTAGGAGGATGTCCGGCTTTTGCAGGACAACAAACCCTTGCAGGTACCTGGCCAGGAGATGGTCGGCCTGAGACACGTCACTCCGGAAGTACATTTCTACTAAAATGAAGAAGACGATGGCCATGACCTTGACCACGCCGTAGAGCAGACGGAACCGTTTGTGACACAGCGGGTTGATGCCGGTGGGGTCGAGAATGTGACCTTGAAGATCTGGGCTCCAGATGATTCCAAGGAGGGCCGGGATGACGGCCAGGCTGAGTGACGTGGCCACGTCTGCTAGACCCATGACGTAGAGGAAGCAGGCGACAGCAGGCGACACCAGGGTACACAGGACTGACGTTGTGATCCTGGCGCCGATACAGAGAAATGATCGGTCGTCTGCTGATCTACCCTCTTTGGGATTCCCCTGTAGAGTGACGTCGTAAAACATTAATCGTTAGTGAAAATCGCTTGGTTTTTACCATCGGACGCGAACATCAATATACTTTGAATTAAAGTAAATAGAATTTAAAAAAAAGATTAGTAAATATGATCAGTAAATATGATACATTGAATAACTAAGGAAATGAAAGACACTCATTGAATAACTAAGTGGATAAAGAATAATTTTATTTTTACAAAAAAAAAAAACAACATACTTTCGATAAGTTTCGATAATTTACTTTTTGATTTATACATGAGGATCATAGCGGAAGTGTTGAACATTAATTCAGTTAATGATTGATAAAACAGCTACCTTGTTGTTGTTGAGGGATGTTATCACCGAAGAGATGGAGAGGACACCATGGGTGGCCGGAAGGGCAACGAACACCGGAAGTAACGCCATCACTCGCGTGCTGAACAGAACGACACACACGGCCTCGACAATGCCGGCAAAAACACCCTGAAAATAATTATTTTTCGACTATTATAAGACCAAAAAAAAGACAGACAAAGATAATAAACATAATGAAAAAATAATTATTTCTATTAGCTTTTTCTAGGGAAACAAATTGATGCGCTATTTAAGTTAAACGATATTTCAATCAACTATATTGAGATTGATCTGCATGTAGTGAGTAATGTAAGTACTCACCAGAACTGACACGGTAAAGTCTTACATGCACGTAATGAGTAATGTAAGTACTCACCAGAACCAAGCTTGTAGTGGACGACAGGGAAAAGTCTTGACATGCATGCCGTGAGTAATGTAAGTACTCACCAGAACTGACACGGTAAAGTCTTGACATGCATGTCGTGAGTAATGTAAGTACTCACCAGAACCAAGCTTGTAGTGGACGGCAGGGAAAAGTCGCTGGACTTGGTGAGAAACGGCGTGTTCCAGAGAAGCAGGAACACGGCAAACAGGTAGGGCGTGGCCAGTAGCACCGTGATCACAGCGTACCTGGGAGAAATACAACTTATGTTGGACAACTTTCGTTTAAATACAACTTACGGTAGGCATACAGCGTTTTGGTGGGTGTACAACTTTTGGTGGGCATACAACTTTTGGTGGGCATACAACGTTTGGTGGGCATACAACTTTTGGTGGGCTTACAAATTTTGTCTGAATACAACTTTTGGTGGGCATACAACTTTTGGTGGGCATACAACTTTAGTCTGAATACAACTTTTGGTGGGCATTCAACTTTTGGTGGGCATACAACTTTTGGTGGGCAACTTTTGTTGATCATCCACGTTTTGCTGGGTGTACAACTTTTGGTGGGCATACAACTTTTGGTGGGCATACAACTTTTGGTGGGCATACAACTTTTGGTGGGCATACAACTTTTGGTGGGCATACAACTTTTGGTGGGCATACAACTTTTGGTGGGCATACAACTTTTGGTGGGCATACAACTTTTGGTGGGCATACAACTTTTGTTGAACATACAACTTTTGTTGGGCATACAACTTTTGTTGAACATACAACTTTCGGTGGGAATACAACATTCTGTTGATCACATGTACACGTGACCTTAGTACATGTGACGTGAGTACATATGGCGTGTGTACACGTGTACACGTGTACATGTGACGTGTGTACATACCCCGCCTCCAGTGTGACGTCAGGCTGCAGGACTTGACGTAAAGTGACTACCAGCGCCGTCTTCTGGACGGTCATCAGACAAAGGGCGATAACAAACAGGCAGCAGGCCAGCACACACTAGGGGAGATAACATATGTGTTAGAGGACATTTTGTAGCAGACGTGTGTTAGAGGACATTTTGTAGTAGACGTGTGTTAGAGGACATTTCGTAGCAGACGTGTGTTAGAGGACATTTTGTAGTAGACGTGTGTTAGAGGACATTTCGTAGCAGACGTGTGTTAGAGGACATTTTGTAGCAGACGTGTGTTAGGGGACATTTTGTAGCAGACGTGTGTTAGAGGACATTTTGTAGCAGACGTGTGTTAGGGGACATTTCGTAGCAGACGTGTGTTAGGGGACAGTGGCTAACATGAATGTACTAGAGGGGCAGAGTATGATATTATGGTGAGAAAGGGACGGCGTGGTCACCGTAAGGTGGTATAATAGTAACTCCAAAAGATCGGAGTTCGGACCCCTGACAGATTAGGCTGGATAGCTGAGGACAGCAACCCATCTGGGAGAGAAAACTCCAATATCAAACAAATACTAGCTTATAGTTTGTTCCTGGATGGACAAAGGAAGCAAATCTAGAAAGAAAAGCAGAGGCCATTTGGCACATAACATATTGACAGGCACAACTCTGCTGGGGAAAATTTTCTTCTAATTTTATAAGAACAAAGAAGAAGAAATGTTGAGAAGATGAATGATATACACGATGTATTACACAGAAAGATGAATGATATATCAGATGCATTACACACAAAATGAATGGTATATCAGATGCATTACACAAAAAGATGAATGATATAGGCCTACATGATGTATTACACACAAACAGATGAATGATATACAAGATATATCACACAAAAAATGAATGATATACAAGATGTATCACACAAAAAGATGAATGAAATACAAGATATATTACACACAAATGAATGACATACAAGCTGTATCAGACAAAGAGATGGAGAGAAAAGTTGAAACAAGTACACGAGTACCTACCTTGGCTAGACTGGCCATGGTCAGACAATCTGTTCACGTGACTACAACTTTGATCACGTGACTACAACTTTGATCTGAAGGTCAGCTCAACTCTAACAACATCTTGAAAAGAACACAAACACTAGATGGCAGCACAACACTCGTTTTCCGATACTTTATTCACGGAAAAAACAATTCAACACGAGTCACCATCGTTGGGGAAAGTAGTGTTGTCGTAGGCATACAGTGAGCCCTAGCGCACGACAGTTGGAAAGTAGAGTTGTTGTCGTGCACATACAGTGAGCCCAAGCCCACGACAGTTGGAAAGTAGAGTTGTTGTCGTGCACATACAGTGAGCCCAAGCCCACGACAGTTGGAAAGTAGAGTTGTTGTCGTGCGCATACAGTAAGCCCTAGCCCTCGACAGTTTAAAACATTAACCTGTTGATGAGGCAGGATTGAGCAGCAAACACAATTACCTCCCTTTAATCCAAGTTTTGCTAATGTGAATGTCAACTTACGGTCGGCGTTTTCGTTTAAATATTGGCTTTAAAAATGTGCTTGCTAATAAGGGAAGTAACCCTAGAAATATGAGCTAAGTCAGTGGTCGGAAATCCGCAGGTTCGCAGTTGTTAACTCCCCTTGAGACTCGCCGAAAAGGGAAGCTAAGCGTGATCAAACAAGGCGCCGCAGTCTTGAAACAGAATCTTCTTATGTTTTTGGACGGTCGTAAGCTTGCTTGACCTGACGACATTTCGGATTGTGTGGACCCCGCGTCTGAACCCTGGATCAGCAGGTAGGAGAAGATTTGGGGGCCGGGGAAGATTTTGGGGGTTAGGGAGGTCGGTGACTGCGCGTAAACTCAGGTGTAACTATGTAGCAGACGACAGACTGGTCTTTACGCGGCGGGTAGCAGACGGGGAGACAGTGGGAGTGCGCATGGGTTAGCACGTGATCGCGTGAGGACGTGACGACATGTAGTGACGTCAGCACGCCCGGAATACAAATAGCTAAATGCCTTGGTAAACAAGGATAATTATGAATGTATGAACAAGATACAAGGATAAGTGTGAGTGTATGAACTAGATACAAGGATAAGTGTGAGTGTATGAACAAGTTATAAGGATAATTACGAGTGTATGAACAAGATAGAAGGATAATTATGAGTTTATGAACAAGATAGAAGGATAATTACGAGTGTATGAACAAGATAGAAGGATAATTATGAGTTTATGAACAAGATAGAAGGATAATTACGAGTGTATGAACAAGATAGAAGGATAATTATGAGTTTATGAACAAGATAGAAGGATAATTACGAGTGTATGAACAAGATAAAAGGATAATTATGAGTGTATGAACAAGATAGAAGGATAATTATGAGTGTATGGACCAGATACAAGGATAAGTGTGAGTGTATGAACAAGATACAAGGATAATTATGAGTGTATGGACCAGATACAAGGATAAGTGTGAGTGTATGAACAAGATACAAGGATAAGTGTGGGTGTATGAACAAGTTATAAGGATAATTATGAGTTTATGAACAAGATAGAAGGATAATTACGAGTGTATGAACAAGATAGAAGGATAATTATGAGTTTATTAACAAGATACAAGGATAAGTGTGAGTGTATGAACAAGATACAAGGATAAGTGTGAGTGTATGAACAAGTTATAAGGATAAATATGAGTGTATGAACAAGATAGAAGGATAATTACGAGTGTATGAACAAGATAGAAGGATAATTATGAGTTTATGAACAAGATAGAAGGATAATTACGAGTGTATGAACAAGATAGAAGGATAATTATGAGTTTATGAACAAGATAGAAGGATAATTATGAGTTTATGAACAAGATAGAAGGATAATTACGAGTGTATGAACAAGATAGAAGGATAATTATGAGTTTATGAACAAGATAGAAGGATAATTACGAGTGTATGAACAAGATAGAAGGATAATTACGAGTGTATGAACAAGATAGAAGGATAATTATGAGTGTATGAACAAGATACAAGGATAAGTGTGAGTGTATGAACAAGATAAAAGGATAATTATGAGTGTATGGACCAGATACAAGAATCAGTATGAATGTATGGACCTGGTATGTGACACTTTGAGCAGGTAAGATCAGGTAGGAGCTGAAGACATTGCCCGCTCGCTATGTGAAGTATGTTATGAACATGAAGGTTGTTGTAGATTTATGTTGGTAGATCATCAGAATTGCTATAGATTTATGATAGTATCTAATATATAAAGCTCAGTTCTGTATGTAATGCATTTGTATGTCGTTGGAAGTGTACGAATTTAAAAGTTAGAAAATTATCGTGCGCATTTGTCTAAATTTATGAGCTAAAATATTACCATTGAAAGTGTTGGGAAATAATTTTCATTTTTCAAATTATAGTAATAATTGTCGGCATGTTCATTAAACACAAGTTTTAAAAATATATCATCTTTTACAAAAATTACTTCCCTTTGATAAATTAGGAAAAACACAATTACTTCCCTTTATAAAACATTGCATTTTGTGGAAAAGTATTTACTTTTTAATTACTTTGTTTTGGTGTTGGGAAAAAAAATAATTACATAATTAGCGGGGATTGATCAAGTGCAAATGTTGTAGGTATTTTACGGATAAGCTTGGAGTATTAAAATTGTTCATCAAATTGAAACAGGCGCGTTCGTTTAAGTGAGTGCAAAAGACTATGAATAAGTTGGGGTACTATAGTCGTTCATTAAGCTAAAACAGGTGATTCCGCCCCGGGCGTTTATGTTCGCGTTAGTGTTTTCTTTGTGTTTAGGTGGGTTTGCGTTAGTGGTTGCGTTTTGATTTGGTTCGTTTTTGTTCTTTCTTTTTTCGTTTTTGTTTGTGTTTCTTTGTTTGGGTTTGTATTTGTGTTTTTGGTTGGTTTTGCGTTTGGATTTGGTTTGTTTTCGTTTGCTTTTTCGTTGTTTTTTTTTTGTTGGTATTGGTGTTTGTGGTTGGGTTTGTTGTTAGGTTTTTGTTTTCGTTTGCTTTTTTGTTTGTTTTTTCTTTGTGTTTGTATTGGTGTTTGTGGTTGTGGTTGGGTTTGTTGTTAGGCTTTTGTTTTCGTTTGTATTTGTAATTGTGTTAGCGTTATGTTTGCGTTTTGTTGTTTTGGTTTTGGTTGGTTGTGGTTTGGGTGGGCAATGCCGGGTTTATGATGATTACTAAACACACAGGTAATGGTCTTTAACAGAAAGGTTTTTAACAGAAGCCAGAGCAGGGCCTGGCCGGGACGGCTAGTATCATTATAATTATAAATACAATTTTGTGAAACATAAATGCTGTTTTTGTGTGTAAAACAATTAATGTTAGAAGATAATTTGTGTGATGCAGTGAACATAAGGCTATCGTGAAATTTATGGTGCAGAAATACTGTGCCTCTTGTTGGTAAAACTGTAAATGTATTTTTTATGTCGTGTGTTTGTAACACGCTAGGAAAATATAGTTACTTGAAATTTTTAAAAAAATTCACTTGCATTTTTTCAGTCGGCCACATTCAAATTTGAGTAGATTCCATGTAGTGACACGTCACATTGTCCCTTGAACGTCCGCGCAAAATCTATATCGGGAAGTGTCAGGGTCGCCCGCGCGGCTTCGCAAACTTTCAGTTAGCGAGCTTACGTCATCCGTCAAGTTACCGAACGTAAATCTCAACAGCGCCGAGAACCGTCACAAGAAGATGTCTTCCGAGTCCGTGGTCTCAGACAACGCCGAGGCCGAGTGCAAGAAAGCCGTCACTCAACTAGACCAGGTGTTTCACGCCATCCGGGCGCTAGGCGACCGCAATGGGTCATCACGTGACGAGATCGTGGACTTCCTCGTGTCCAGGGACCTCATGCACCACAAAATCGCCAAGGCCTTGGTCTCCAAGGCTCTGTACAGGGGCATGGACTTAGGTCTAATCAAGAAGCCTAGAGGATCCAACCTCTACCAGGTTACGACTACAAAGATCAGCGCACGGATGCGCCACTCGCACCCCCACTCGCACTCGCACTCCCGATCTCACCGGAAGAGCAGCAGCCGCGACAAGAAGCGCCACACCAGACGGAAGTCAGACAGCCGGAAGAAGAGAGGTCGCAGCCACAGGTAACTCCGTGTCAACAAATCTTCAGCGCATTTGAAGAATAATTTTTAATTTAAAGGTCCTTTTAAGGACCAGCTATTGTTTTAACCTCGTAACGGTTTGGTTCAAATACAAAACTTTTTTAAATTCTTGAAACTATCCACATCCCCTTTCCCTCAATGAAAACTTGTAAATCTTGAAACTAATATCCCCAATCCCTTTTACTTAATGAAAACTTCAAATGATCAAGTCGTAAAACTAATATCTCCAAACCCTTTTCATCAATGAAACTAAAAACTAACTTGAAACTAATATCTCCAACCCCCATCCCTTATTTTGGCTTCAAATCATTAAATCTTGAAACTAATATCCCAAACCCCTTTCATCAAGGAAAACTTTAAAATCTTTAAAATCCCCAACCCTTTCCTTAAAGATAATTTTAAATCTTGAAACTTTAAATCTTTAAACTAATATCCCAAACCCCTTTCATCGAGGAAAACTTTTAAATCTTGAAACTAATATCCCCAAACCTTTCCTTAAAAAAACTTTTAAATCTTGAAACTTTAAATCTTTAAACTAATATCCCAAACCCCTTTCATCAAGGAAAACTTTTAAATCTTGAAACTAATATCCCCAACCCCTTTCCTCATTGAGAAATTCTCAACATTTTCCTTCAACAGATTTTTCTGATTTGTGACCCTTTTATTATTGCCCTTTCCATAGAAGGCCATTGTTTTGTTGCCCTTTCCATAGAAGGCCATTGTTTTGTTGCCCTTTCCATTGAAGGCCATTGTTTTGTTGCCCTTTCCATTGAAGGCCATTGTTTTGTTGCCCTTTCCATAGAAGGCCATTGTTTTGTTGCCCTTTCCATAGAAGGCCATTGTTTTGTTGCCCTTTCCATAGAAGGCCATTGTTTTGTTGCCCTTTCCATAGGGGGGCATTGTTTTGTTGCCCTTTCCATAGAAGGCCATTGTTTTGTTGCCCTTTCCATAGAGGGCCATTGTTTTGTTGCCCTTTCCATAGAAGGCCATTGTTTTGTTGCCCTTTCCATAGAAGGCCATTGTTTTGTTGCCCTTTCCATAGAGGGCCATTGTTTTGTTGCCCTTTCCATAGAAGGCCATTGTTTTGTTGCCCTTTCCATAGAAGGCCATTGTTTTGTTGCCTAAGTGAGGCCCATCCATCACTGGCCCATATGATAGGGGACAGATACCTCACTCAACTGATACATTAGATAACGACATCATTCAACTAATACGATTTCCTTGGATAAAAAGATCTCCGCGGGCCGGATGAGAGGACTTCGCGGGCCGCTTACGGCCCGCGGGCCGTAGTTTGGAGACCCCTGCATTAGATAACGACATCACTCAACTGATACATTATATAACAACATCACTCAATTGATAGATTAGATAACAACATCACTCAATTGATACATTAGATAACAACATCACTCAACTGATGAATTAGATAACAACATCACTCAATTGATACATTAGATAACAACATCACTCAACTGATACATTAGATAACAACATCACTCAACTGATACATTATATAACGACATCACTCAACTGATACATTCGATAACAACCTAAAAACACATAGATATTTTTTAACGCCATCTTGTGGTTTTATTGAGTCTGCAAGAAACTTTACTGCCGTTTTTGTTGTTGGTTGTAAGTCGATGCATTACCTTATTTTATGCTGTAGTTAAAATATATAAAAACTCGCCTGGGGGGTTATCTAGGCTACACTAGAATCTGTATAGACTAGGTGGCGGTAACACTTTTGTGTGAATATCCATATTCACGAAAATTAAACTACGATTTTAAAAAAAATGAGCCACCACTTTCACAGACGTTCGTCATGATAACCCCCCTCCTCTAAACCGCCGCCGAACAACATGTTTCCTCGCCCTGGGTCCCCACGTTCGACCGCCCTCTCCCAGCTCTATTAGCGAATACAAAGTGTCCATATCAATGGAAGAAGGTTGGAATTGCGAACTGAGTGCGAAACGACACTGGCGGCTTATATTATAGATTATATTATAGATCTTGCAAGAAAAAAAAAACCCATGAATCTGAAATAATTAAAATCGCTCACATGCACGCACGCAACAGTTTTTAAAAACCAAACACTAAACAATGTCCAGGAAATGAAACAATTTAATTGTGCACGTTTTGATTTTTGCTAGGCGATTTAATTATTTATGGTGACAGTTGGTTACAGTTAATGATTTAGCGTGACTGTTTGTTACAGTTAATGATTTAGCGTGACTGTTACAGTTAATGGTATCGTCTGTCACCCCGGCCATTTCCTCGTGTTGAACAGAGCTGCGGCCAGAAGCAGGATATGACGTCATCGGAGCTGGTATGAGCACCCGAGGCGGTGCTGAGAGGAATGCACTCACGACGAGTGGTGCCCTCTCGCGGCTGGCGGTGCGCGTCTCCGGTGGAGAAGGTGCAGCTCCTGACGTCATTGTTTGAGTGGCGCCACCTGGAGTGCCGTCCCCCGAACTGGCTGTGTACCTGTGTGGTAAAGGGGGGGGGGCATGATAGTGGAGGGCATTTAGAAAGGTGGGGCATGATAGTGGAGGGCATTTAGCAGAGTGGGGCATGATAGGATAGGGCATTTAGCTAGGTGGGACATGGCAGCATTTAGGTATGTGATTGTACGATTTCAATCACGAATCGTGTGTTTACATAACCTTTGAATTTTGTACAGTTATTGCTTGCTTGTCCAATGCTAAGTCTGCTGTTGTCGGCCATACTCACTTCCGCATTAGGACCAATATCGGCCATACCTACCTCACCATTAAGACACATATCGGTCATACTAACCTCACCATTAAGACACATATCGGTCATACTAACCTCACCATTAAGACACACATCGGCCATACTAACCTCACCATTAAGACACATTAGACACATATCGGTCATACTAACCTCACCATTAAGACACATATTGACCTTACTTACCTCACTATTAAGACACATATCGGCCATACTTACCTCACCATTAAGACACATATCGGTCATACTAACCTCACCATTAAGACACACATCGGCCATACTAACCTCACCATTAAGACACATTAGACACATATCGGTCATACTAACCTCACCATTAAGACACATATTGACCTTACTTACCTCACTATTAAGACACATATCGGCCATACTTACCTCACCATTAAGACACATATCGGTCATACTAACCTCACCATTAAGACACATATCGGTCATACTAACCTCACCATTAAGACACATATTGACCTTACTTACCTCACCATTAAGACATATCGGCCATACTAACCTCACCATTAAGAAAACAAAATATTACTGCCACTAATGCACCCTGGAACGACAAGAAATATTTGTACGTTGTAAAATACGACCACAATCATAGGATCAAATTAATATTTTGTTATATATCACCTTGTATGTCTACATCACTAAATACTTTTCCCTGTTTATTGTGTGATCATAACATTACCCCAGTTACGTCACTACGATTGTATGTTACCCGGATGTTATGCATCTCATTACACGTTTGACCTGGTTTTCGAAACTCGTGTACATCTGATTTTAAAAGGTGAAGGTCATATGTAAGTCATGCTGATTTACCTGTGAGTGACTGATGACTTTAGCTAGAACCTCGTATGTGAAGTCAGCCACACTATCCTTGCCAGGTCTGTAGACTATCAGGAAAAGGTGAAGGCCGAAGAGAGGCACCAGGATAAAGGTCGCCTTTAAGGCACGTCTAGGGGGGGAATACACAAACATACACATATATTTAGGGGACACACATATATACATTTAGGTACACAAACATACACATATAATTAGAGGACACAAACATACACATATCTCTGGAATACACACACATGGACAAAAATTTAGGTACACAAACATACACATTGTTTAGAGGAAACACATACACATTTAGGTACACACACATACACATATATTTAGAGTAGACAAACATACACATATCTTTAGTGTACACACATATTTAGAGTACACACATATACATTTAGGTACACAAACATACACATAAATTTAGAGGACACATACATACACATATCTTTGGAGCACACAACACATATACATTTAGGAAATGCACAGACACACATCTTTACAAGACACAGTAAAACATATCTTTGGAATACACAAAGAAAAATATCTTTGAAATACACACAGTTGCAAACTTTTAGAAACACCCACACATCTTTAAAAAAAACACACCCAATAATCAGAGTATTGTGATGTTGCAATTTTGAAATAACCCCCACCAACTCCGCCCTCCCCATTATTGCGTGATAACCTCCCCTACTCCAACGGAAATGAGTAAATATTTAAATCAACTGTTGAATTTATGAGGAAGTCTTTTCGGCCAATAATTGGTTTAAAAGGTTTTAAAGGTCAAGGTTGCCCCATTCATCATTACAATCCTCTCCCCAAGAGATTGAAGTCCGATTATCGCTTCATTAAAATTGATCTTGTCCCACCGTTGTTAGATTGCAACGCTCAAATTAAGCAACTAAAAAGTTGTTCGATATTTTCGGACATGAAAAGGCCAAAGTGAAAAGAAAATCAGTTAACAAGATTTTTAGGAAATAGAGAATTGTTTTTATACGAGTTGGGCAAAATAAACATGATGTTTTGCGGATGTTGGTTAAATATTTGTGGCGGTTTGTGCGTGTTAAATTAAATATTTGTGATGTGGATGTTTCATACATTATTTATCTTTTCTGGATCTTGGATGATATACACGTGATGTTTCGATGATTTTGGATAAAATACACATTATATTCGCATGATGTTTGATGAAATACACGTTATGATGTGATATTGGTACGTTGTAAAATACGATAATATACAAGTGATGTTTTGATGCTGTTGGAAGGAACACATTTGATGTTGGATGAAATACACGTTATATATTTGGTGATGGATGAAATACACGTTATATATTTGGTGATGAATGAAATACACGTTATATATTTAGTGATGGATGAAATACACGTTATATATTTAGTGATGGATGAAATACACGTTATATATTTGGTGATGGATGAAATATACTTTATACAGTTGATGTTAGACGAAATACATGTTATACAGTGGATGTTGGATGAAATACATGTTATACAGTGGATGTTGGATGAAATACATGTTATACAGTGGATGTTGGATGAAATACATGTTATACAGTGGATGTTGGATGAAATACATGTTATACAGTGGATGTTGGATGATATACACGTTATACAGTGGATGTTGGATGAATTATACCTGTAATTGCTCGGCTCATTCCGATGTGTTTGGATCTGTGTGACCAAAATTCTTAAAATGATGAGTAGAAACGCCAGATTTAGCTGAGGATACAGGCAGGCATAGAGCACCAGATGCACGTACATAATCATCAGAGGTCATAGAGCATCAGGGGCACGTACATAATGATTAGAAGTCATAGAGCATCAGGGGCACGTACATAATGATCAGAAGTCATAGAGCATCAGGGGCACGTACATAATGATCAGAAGGCATAGAGCATCAGGGGCACGTACATAATGATCAGAAGTCATAGGGCATTAGAGGCACGTACATAATGATCAGAAGTGGTCATCTAGCTGACAATCAGTAACGCATAGACAGGAGAAAATGCTTACCAAAATACAGGTGAGGTTAGGTCCATAGAGGATCCATTCAATGGTGCCAGCATTGTTGACCCAGCATCTGGACAGGTGGCAGGTAGGGACAGGTGGCAGGTAGGGACAGGTGGCAGGTAGGGACAGGTGGCAGGTAGGGACAGGTGGCAGGTAGGGACAGGTGGCAGGTAGGGACAGGTGGCAGGTAGGGACAGGTGGCAGGTGGTGACAGGTGGCAGGTAGGGACAGGTGGCAGGTAGGGACAGGTGGCAGGTGGTGACAGGTGGCAGGTAGGGACAGGTGGCAGGTAGGGACAGGTGGCAGGTAGGGACAGGTGGCAGGTAGGGACAGGTGGCAGGTAGGGACAGGTGGCAGGTAGGGACAGATGGCAGGTGGGGACAGGTGGCAGGTGGTAGGTAGGGACATGTGGCAGGTGGCAGGTAGGGACAGGTGGCAGGTAGGGACAGATGGCAGGTGGGGACAGGTGGCAGGTGGCAGGTAGGGACAGGTTGCAGGTAGGGACAGGTTAAGAGTGGGAAGAAAAAAGCAATAATAGAAACACACTTGACATAAATAATTTGAAACACATATTCTTACATAGCCTATTCTAATAGGACCATAATGTTAAACTCTCCCGACCAAAACAATCATTCACTGAACCAATCTCTTGTTCACACACACACACACACACACACACACACACACACACACACACGCACGCACGCACGCACGCACGCACGCACGCACGCACGCACACACACACACACACCTTTACTTAAAATTCAACCATTAAAATAATATCTAATACACATACACAAAACAAAAACAACAGATATATGAAGTGTACTAAAGTAGTACGTACTAACATCAAAATATGAATTATGCTTCGTTTCTATAATCAATTGTTTATATTTAGTAAATAATTTAATTATATTTAAAATAACATAAATGCACGGGCATACGTATGAAATAAAATATACAAACACAAAAACAAACAAGACGTACAAGACGTATGACAAAAACAGTGACCTAACCGGATTTGACATAATACAGTGACCAACATGTAGATATGACCTAAAACAATGACCTACCCGACTATGACCTAATACAGAGACCTACATGTATATATGACCTAAAACAATGACCTACCCGACTATGACCTAATACAGAGACCTACATGTATATATGACCTAAAACAATGACCTACCCGACTATGACCTAATACAGTGACCAACATGTAGATATGACCTAAAACAATGACCTACCCGACTATGACCTAATACAGAGACCTACATGTATATATGACCTAAAACAATGACCTACCCGACTATGACCTAATACAGAGACCTACTTGTATATATGACCAACTAATGACCTACCCAGGGTGTGACTGTAAACCTCGAATGGCGGAGTAGATTCCAATAGGCACACACGGCAATACTGTAATAGAAGGTCACACAGGTGAGTGATAACACAAGGTCACACAGGTGAGTGATAACACAAGGTCACACAGGTGAGTGATAACACAAGGTCACACAGGTGAGTGATAACACAAGGTCACACAGGTGAGTGATAACACAAGGTCACACAGGTGAGTGATAACACAAGGTCACACAGGTGAGTGATAACACAAGGTCACACAGGTGAGTGATAACATAAGGTCACACAGGTGAGTGATAACACAAGGTCACACAGGTGAGTGATAACACAAGGTCACACAGGTGAGTGATAACATAAGGTCACACAGGTGAGTGATAACATAAGGTCACACAGGTGAGTGATAACATAAGGTCACACAGGTGAGTGATATGGTGTAACACAAGGTCACACAGGTGAGTGATATGGTGTAACAGAAGGTCACACAGGTGAGTGATATGGTGTAACAGAAGGTCACACAGGTGAGTGATATGGTGTAACACAAGGTCACACAGGTGAGTGATATGGTGTAACACAAGGTCACACAGGTGAGTGATAACACAAGGTCACACAGGTGAGTGATAACACAAGGTCACACAGGTGAGTGATATGGGATAGAACCCCCCCCCCCCCCCCCCCCCCTCGAGAAACACTACTCATTATTAAAAACAAGAAAAAAGTATTTTATTGAATTCAACAGCTTGAAAGTGATAGCACATATTTTCCAAGTCACATCATTATTATTTGATTGGTCAACCAGCGGCTAACAGTTACATTACAAGGATACGCTGCATGAACATGTAGCATTCATTTCTTATTCGTTCATTTATGGGGATCTCTTAGAAGCTGGTGTCAACAGAAGAGCTAAACTAGAGGGGGCGCGCATATAAGAGTGGGAGATTTAACTGGAATTTGATTGGCTGAAAGGGTTTTTAAAGTCGTGATTGACAGGAGCTTATTAAGGAAAATGTCAAGAACAGGATTAAAGGAAATAAAAAAAACCCGGGGGGGGGGGGGAGGGGGAGGTAAAGGAGTACAGAATCAGAGCATTACATTTTGTTCGTTTATTTTGTATACTCGAGCCTTGGTTTAGTTTATTCTTTTGTAAAAAATATTCGAGTGTTTTTGATTTGGTATTTTGATAGTTTCGATTTTTGTTAATTTATAGTTTCAGCTTTTCCACTGAATCCACTTTTGTTATTTAAATTGTTCCGCCGTCATTGCTCATTATTGTGGGTGGAAGATCAATATCAGCCAACAACAGGCTTCGTAAATCTGTTCTTTCCACTAAGTAGAGAACATATTTATCAGTTGGGTATGTAGGCCTCTACATATTTACTTCTTGTGTCATCAATGGGGATCATAGTACTAACACTGGGGCTTGTTGTGCATCGGGGGGGGGGGGGGGGAATTGTTGTAAATAAGGGTCTTTGTACAGTGATGATTGTGGTACACTGGGGATTGAGTTGCATCGGGGATTGTGATACAATAAGGGTTGTTGTATAAAGATGAGTGCGTTACACTGAGATTGTGATAGATTGGATGATTTTGGTAGGTTGGATGATTGTGGTACAATGATTGTGTTACACTGTTGATTGTAATAGTGTGGGTGATTGTGTTAGGCTGGATGATTGTGGTAAGCTTCATGATTGTACTTACACCAGCCGACGAAATAATAGCAGACGATGGACTTGGGCGTGTGGAAGGCGTGGTTGATCAACCTGTACAGGTGAAAACCTTCCAGAGACATCCACAGGAAGTTGCAGGCCCACGAGTACCTCAACAGCACATACAACACCCTGCACACAGCCTGCAAGCAGGAAACAGCTGCATCATGGCAGGTAAACAGCAACATAACAGGCTTACAGTAACATGACAGCATACAATCAGCTGTATCATGTCAGGTAAACAGCAACATAACAGGCTTACAGTAACATGACGTCATGCAAACAGCTGTACCATGGGATTGTAGCAGGTAAACAGCAACATAACAGGCTTACAGTAACATGACAGCATACAAACAGCTGTATCATGTCAGGTAAACAGCAACATAACAGGCTTACAGTAACATGACGTCATGCAAACAGCTGTACCATAGGATTGTAGCAGGTAAACAGCAACATAACAGACTTACAGTAACATGACAGCGTACAAACAGCTGTAACAAAATAGACCCTGGATTTCGATTAACGTTCGCAAACATAGATCCAGTTTACATAAAATAGACACACCTCCCCCCCCCCCATCTCAACAAAAACTTGTTACACTTGTTAGAGGTGACTTGTGAATTGTCTATACTTGTAGCACGAGGTGTGACACGAGACCAATCAGGTGTCACATCTGACCATTAAGGTGTGAACGACACATACACAAAAATAATTTGTTCGTGGTTTTCCGTGATAGTTTTGGTCGACTTCGCGACAACGTGACTTAAAATGTTCAGATGCTACTCAAACACGTGACTCACAATGTTTTGATGTAGTCTCGCATGTTCCCGCGAGTTCTCCAGTCGGTCGCGGAAGATCACGTGGTCCCAGCAGATTGAAACTGCGTTGGTCAGGGTGAAGGACACGAACAAGTTCAGATGGATGCGGATACGATGCTGGTTCCTCAGCTGCCTGAAGCGAAAATAGCTGTGTTAGATCTGTATCAGTAAAATGTAGGTACACAAACATACACGTACACATAGTGGATAATCAGTTATACATATACACTCATACAAGTACACCCAATTAGTACGCAATGATGCATGGTTTAAGATCTCAAATACAAATTTTGCATGTACATGAAACCGACACATAATTATACATGTACTTCAAACTGGTACACAATCATTCATATTTGCAGTTTATCATACTTGCCATCTATCATTTTTGCCAACTACCATTCTTGCTATTTATACTATATACCCCAAATACAATATACTATATACCTTACTTGTTATATACCAGTATGTTATTTGGCTAGACTGGTATAAAGCAAAAATGGTACATTGTATCATTCTAGACGTTTACCTGAACGTGAGAAATATGGCACAACCAGGTAACAGACAGACAATACTACAAATATTGCAGGACACTCCGGCAAGGTACAGGATTCGGTAGCGCTGTGGGGAAGAGAGGGTTAAAGTATAGGATAGTGATGTGGAGAACAGAGGGTTAAAGTATAGGATAGTGATGTGGGGAAGAGAGGGTTAAAGTATAGGATAGTGATGTGGAGAACAGAGGGTTAAAGTATAGGATAGTGATGTGGGGAACAGAGGGTTAAAGTATAGGATAGTGATGTGGGGAACAGAGGGTTAAAGTATAGGATAGCGCTGTGGAGAACAGAGGGTTAAAGTATAGGATAGTGATGTGTGGAACAAAGGGTTAAAGTATAGGATAGTGATGTGGGGTGGAGAGGGTTAAAGTATAGGATAGTGATGTGGGGAACAGAGGGTTAAAGTATAGGATAGTGATGTGGGGAACAGAGGGTTAAAGTATAGGATATCGCTGTGGGGAACAGAGGGTTAAAGTATAGGATAGTGATGTGTGGAACAGAGGGTTAAAGTATAGGATAGTGATGTGGGGAACAGAGGGTTAAAGTATAGGATAGTGATGTGGGGAACAGAGGGTTAAAGTATAGGATATCGCTGTGGGGAACAGAGGGTTAAAGTATAGGATAGTGATGTGGGGAACAGAGGGTTAAAGTATAGGATAGTGATGTGGGGAACAGAGGGTTAAAGTATAGGATAGTGATGTGGGGAACAGAGGGTTAAAGTATAGGATAGTGATGTGGGGAACAGAGGGTTAAAGTATAGGATAGTGATGTGGGGAACAGAGGGTTAAAGTATAGGATAGTGATGTGGGGAACAGAGGGTTAAAGGATGGATAGTGATGTGGGGAACAGAGGGTTAAAGTATAGGATAGTGATTTGGGGTGGAGAGGGTTAAATTATAGGATAGTGATGTGGAGAACAAAGGGTTAAAGTATAGGATAGTGCTGTGGGATGGAGAATAGAGGGTTAAATTATAGGATAGTGTTGTGGGGTGGAGATTAGAGGGTTAAAGTATAGGATAGCCATGTGGGGTGGAGATTATAGGGTTAAAGTATAGGATAGCCATGTGGGGTGGAGATTATAGGGTTAAAGTATAGGATAGTGATGTGGGGTGGAGATTATAGGGTTAAAGTATAGATAGTCTTGTGGGGTGGAGATTAGTTAGTTATCATACAGAATAGCGCTGTGGGATGGAGACTATAAGATTAAACGCACGGGAAAGCGATGTTTGTGTGTGTGGTTGCGGGGGAGGATTAAGATTAGATGTTTAAAGTACAGGATAGCGTTTCTTAAAACAGAAAAATTAGAGGGGTAACCACAAGGGCGGGGTGACCTAACTGACCTCAAGAGATACACAGTTGGTGTAGTCCGTCCATTCTTGCCCGTCCCCCGGCTCTCTCCACCACGTGCCGTTCTCCGTGCAGGTTTTCTCAGCAATATCTGTGGTGACATCAACACAAGACATCAACACAAGACATCAGCAACAAAATGCAGGTATGGCAGATTTACCTGTTCAATAACTTAACCCAGCCTGATGTACCTGAACGGTGCGAGACACATCTGAACAGTGCCAGATGTACCTATTTAATGATAGTTATACCTGTACACGGGCTGATTTACCTGCTCAATGACATACGCACCTGTGTAGTGTATGGTACAGTGGTTCCTAACTTGGGTTCCATCGAACCCCAGGAGATAGGTGAGTTAGTCTCTGGGGTTAAGAACCACTGGTCTAATACACGTGTAACACACACACACACATAACGTATGTTCAGATATATAACTTGATAACTTCATAATCTAAAATGATCCCCATTTTTCTAGCGTTGAGTCTTAGATTTGCCCAGTGAGTGTATGAGCTAGTTCCTCCATTGAGAGCTAATATGTTGTCTTTCCTCCATTGAGAGCTAATATGTTGTCTGACAGTGCGCTCCCCCCCCTGCCCGGGGGTGGACCTGGTTGGTCAATAAAATCCTTCGTCCCGGGGAGCACGGGCTAATAGAATCTTTCATCAACCGGTCATCGTCAAAAGCTACTGCTAATAGTTCTTTTGATAGACAGTCAACGATTGTGTCGTGTTGAACGGCAGCCAACTTTGTGCCGTACTAGATGTCAAACTTTGTGCCGTACTGACTAGATGTCAAACTTTGTGCCGTACTGACTAGATGTCAAACTTTGTGCCGTACTGACTAGATGTTAAACTTTGTGCCGTACTGACTAGATGTCAAACTTTGTGCCGTACTGTCAACTTTTGTCCTCTACAGACTGACAGTAAACTATTTGCATTTGTGCCGTACTAACTTGAAGTGAAATTTGTACCGTGCTACTTGCAGTCAACGTTTTATTCTGTACTAACTAGAAGTCAAATTTGTACCGTGCTACTTGCGGTCAACTTTTTGTTCTGTACTAACTAGAAGGCAAACTTTGTACCATATCGATTGTACAGTCATCAACATTTGACACAGAGAGTAGTGAGAGTACCAAAGAAAATGACAAGATGTCACCTGACTGGTGTGTTGACCCAAGAAGATTGAAGAGCATTTAGTTGAAGAGATTGTGTACGTTGTCTGTGCATGTTCTCATAAATTATGCTAGTATACTATCTGTTTTATACAAACTAAATTATGGTATACTTACATAGGTCTCACTCTCCGAACATATTCATGTCAGACTATTCTCTGTATCACTATTCGAACAATCATCCCAAGCAACCATCTACCTCATTCTCTGAACTATTCCAACCAACCCTCTACCCAATGCTCCGAACTTAATTATCCCAATCTACCCTCTACCCCATTCTCCGAACTATCCCAATCTACCCTCTACCTCGTTCTCCGAACATTATGCCACGCCAATCTCTGTCCACCATTCTATCATTATCAGACCGATTTGTTCAACTCTCTGAACCAAATGTTATAAAAATAGACCACTAAATCTCTGGCGCCTAATCCCGAATACAACTATCTGTTCAATGTCTTCCAGTTATCAGTAATTAAACTTTAATGTAGCAACTGTCTCCCATAGGGATGGGGCCATTGCTAATGACCGCTGATTACGTTAATGGTGCCCATTACATTCCTACAGGAAGGCGGTCCTTATCAAGGTTGTTTTAATTAATTTAAAATGCAGCTCAGGCATTTGTACAGGATTTTAAGTATTGATTCTCTAGTCTTTATGGCCTCATTACTCTAATTAGATTTCCTGCTTGCTACAAGGTTCGCGTGTGCAAATCTACAAAACAAAGTGAAATAATGTATTTCTGGCACACACGGTTCACCGTAGTTCAAGCTAAAGGATAAATAAAGTTTTCTGACATACACGGTGTACCGTCATTACACCTTAAAATTAAAAGTATAATAATTTGGCATGCGCGGTCTACCGTAGTTCCGTATCATACTTTACATTTACATCTTTCTCACGCAGCTGGATGTTGTGAATTTAGTAACAAAAATAATTATACAATTTAGTTCGGACGGTCTACCATACTTAGTAAATATAAACTAATGCAAGTAGTGCCGATTAGGAAAGACAGAAATGAATTAACATCAACACAAAAGACCTACAGCCCATAGTTTATACAAAAGACCTACCTTAAACAGCCAACACAAAAGACATGCTGTCGATAGTCCCCACAAAACACTTACCTCCAACAGTTCCACATAAAAGACCTACCATACGGAGTCCTCTCTGCTATGTACCAGGGACAAAAGACCTACCGTCTAGAGTCCTCTCTGTACCAGGGACAAAAGACCTACCGTCTAGAGTCCTCTCTGTACCAGGGACAAAAGACCTACCGTCTAGAGTCCTCTCTGTACCAGGGACAAAAGACCTACCGTCTAGAGTCCTCTCTGTACCAGGGACAAAAGACCTACCGTCTAGAGTCCTCTCTGTACCAGGGACAAAAGACCTACCGTCTAGAGTCCTCTCTGTACCAGGGACAAAAGACCTACCGTCTAGAGTCCTCTCTGTACCAGGGACAAAAGACCTACCGTCTAGAGTCCTCTCTGTACCAGGGACAAAAGACCTACCGTCCAGTCCTCTCTGCTATGTACCAGGGACAAAAGATCTACCGTCTAGAGTCCTCTCTGTACCAGGGACAAAAGACCTACCGTCTAGAGTCCTCTCTGTACCAGGGACAAAAGACCTACCGTCCAGTCCTCTCTGTTATGTACCAGGGACAAAAGACCTACCGTCTAGAGTCCTCTCTGCTATGTACCAGGGACAAAAGACCTACCGTCTAGAGTCCTCTCTGCTATGTACCAGGGACAAAAGACCTACCGTCTAGAGTCCTCTCTGTACCAGGAACAAAAGACCTACCGTCTAGAGTCCTCTCTGCTATGTACCAGGGACAAAAGACCTACCGTCCAGTCCTCTCTGCTATGTACCAGGGACAAAAGACCTACCGTCTAGGGTCCTCTCTGCTATGTACCAGGGACAAAAGACCTACCGTCGAGAGTCCTCTCTGCTATGTACCAGGAACAAAAGACCTACCGTCTAGAGTCCTCTCTGTACCAGGGACAAAAGACCTACCGTCTAGTCCTCTCTGCTATGTACCAGGAACAAAAGACCTACCGTCTAGAGTCCTCTCTGTACCAGGGACAAAAGACCTACCGTCTAGTCCTCTCTGCTATGTACCAGGAACAAAAGACATACCGTCTAGAGTCCTCTCTGTACCAGGGACAAAAGACCTACCGTCTAGAGTCCTCTCTGCTATGTACCAGGGACAAAAGACCTACCGTCCAGTCCTCTCTGCTATGTACCAGGGACAAAAGACCTACCGTCTAGAGTCCTCTCTGTACCAGGGACAAAAGACCTACCGTCTAGAGTCCTCTCTGCTATGTACCAGGGACAAAAGACCTACCGTCTAGAGTCCTCTCTGTACCAGGGACAAAAGACCTACCGTCTAGAGTCCTCTCTGCTATGTACCAGGGACAAAAGACCTACCGTCCAGTCCTCTCTGCTATGTACCAGGGACAAAAGACCTACCGTCTAGAGTCCTCTCTGTACCAGGGACAAAAGACCTACCGTCTAGAGTCCTCTCTGCTATGTACCAGGGACAAAAGACCTACCGTCCAGTAATCTCTGCTATGTACCAGGGACAAAAGACCTACCGTCTAGAGTCCTCTCTGTACCAGGGACAAAGACCTACCGTCTAGAGTCCTCTCTGCTATGTACCAGGGACAAAAGACCTACCGTCTAGAGTCCTCTCTGTACCAGGGACAAAAGACCTACCGTCTAGAGTCCTCTCTGCTATGTACCAGGGACAAAAGACCTACCGTCTAGAGTCCTCTCTGTACCAGGAACAAAAGACCTACCGTCTAGAGTCCTCTCTGTACCAGGGACAAAAGACCTACCGTCTAGAGTCCTCTCTGTACCAGGGACAAAAGACCTACCGTCTAGTCCTCTCTGCTATGTACCAGGGACAAAAGACCTACCGTCCAGTCCTCTCTGTAATGTACCAGGGACAAAAGACCTACCGTCTAGAGTCCTCTCTGCTATGTACCAGGGACAAAAGACCTACCGTCCAGTCCTCTCTGCTATGTACCAGGGACAAAAGACCTACCGTCTAGAGTCCTCTCTGTACCAGGGACAAAAGACCTACCGTCTAGAGTCCTCTCTGTACCAGGGACAAAAGACCTACCGTCTAGAGTCCTCTCTGCTATGTACCAGGGACAAAAGACCTACCGTCTAGAGTCCTCTCTGCTATGTACCAGGGACAAAAGACCTACCGTCTAGAGTCCTCTCTGTACCAGGGACAAAAGACCTACCGTCTAGAGTCCTCTCTGTACCAGGGACAAAAGACCTACCGTCTAGAGTCCTCTCTGTACCAGGGACAAAAGACCTACCGTCTAGTCCTCTCTGTTATGTACCAGGGACAAAAGACCTACCGTCTAGAGTCCTCTCTGTTATGTACCAGGGACAAAAGACCTACCGTCTAGTCCTCTCTGTTATGTACCAGGGACAAAAGACCTACCGTCTAGAGTCCTCTCTGCTATGTACCAGGGACAAAAGACCTACCGTCCAGTCCTCTCTGCTATGTACCAGGGACAAAAGACCTACCGTCTAGAGTCCTCTCTGTACCAGGGACAAAAGACCTACCGTCTAGAGTCCTCTCTGCTATGTACCAGGGACAAAAGACCTACCGTCTAGAGTCCTCTCTGTACCAGGGACAAAAGACCTACCGTCTAGAGTCCTCTCTGCTATGTACCAGGGACAAAAGACCTACCGTCTAGAGTCCTCTCTGTACCAGGAACAAAAGACCTACCGTCTAGAGTCCTCTCTGTACCAGGGACAAAAGACCTACCGTCGAGAGTCCTCTCTGTACCAGGGACAAAAGACCTACCGTCTAGAGTCCTCTCTGCTATGTACCAGGGACAAAAGACCTACCGTCCAGTCCTCTCTGCTATGTACCAGGGACAAAAGACCTACCGTCTAGAGTC